GTCCACTCCAAATTTTATTACACCGAAACGGAAATTCTTTTTGCCCAATTGATCGTGAGCCCGGCAGCCACTGAGCAGCGCCAGATCGACGTTGCTCTATCCCTTATTGTTGAACGCTAAACAAGGTAGCAACAACTCCCATCTTTTAACGTCTTTTGATATGACGCGGCCGGGATTCGAACTTACGACCTCCCGGTTGTGAGGCGGACGCTCTACTGACTGAAAGACGCATTTGATTAGTTCATGGATTATACGCATATCAATCCAGGAGCGTAGCTTTCGAAGTAGAAATCTTTTTTATCTTCTTAAGTTATGAAATGCAAAAGGTCATGCACATTTTTATATGAAACTTACAGCAATATTCGCTCAATAGGAGATGGTCCAAAACCCGACCAATTAACCAAAAGGCCCGACATCTTAGCACCGACCCGAGTAACCCTTTCCTGGGGCAGTGACATCAGGGCACAATGTCAATCCATTACTCACTGTGAGAGCCCCTATCTAGGAAATAAATGATTTCTCAGCCATTGATCATGATCCACAAGCAAATTTAAATTGAGATTTAGGAAGTTACGTATATCGATAATACATTTGTGTGATTCATGGTTCATGTACTTTTTTTTAGGGGGGGGGTGCTGCTGTTTTTTACAATGTTTTACGTTTAAACACTAATAACTTTAGAGACAAATTTCTTCACCATCTCATCACAGGTCAGGTTGGTGATGACATACCTTCAATGACAGAGGAGGAAATCAAGCGGGTTGCTGAAGAGGTCAAACGCTATTATACAATATATCTATGTCAAATTCAGGCTAATCCACTGAACAGCGAGCTTCAACTTGAATTTGACAGGATCTTCACCAACCTAACGTTGATGGAAGAAGACAAAGGTACAACGCGCAAGTCACCGCTTCTCTACGACGACCTCCTAAGGACCAAAGTCAACGGAATCTATGCCAAACGCTTGTTGGTGGAAGGTGAAGGTGGTGCGGGGAAGACCACTTTCTGCGCCAAGATCGCTTGGGACTGGATCCACGGAAAAGGTTACCAAGATTTCAAACTAGTTCTTGTCATCCTTTTTAGGGAGGCAAAAGATAAGACCGTTGGAGAGATAGTGAAGACGTATCTTTCTGACGACAATCCGATCACAGCCAAGCAGCTAGACAAGCACATCCTCTCCAATTCTGGTGATGTTTTTCTTGTCATGGACGGCCTAGATGAGTCTACTGTTGCTCTTAACAGCATTCAGCAAATCGCCCTGATTATTCTTAATAAGCTGTTCAAGTCAGGGACAGTGCTTATTACATCGCGACAATGGAGATCAGATGAGATTAGGAAGAATGCCGATCTCAGAAAGGGGTTTGCTTTCATTGCTGTGGAAGGTTTCTCTGCTGAAAACCTCTCGTCCTACATCACCAAGTACTTTCATCAAGACACAGCTTCCTCTGAAGATCTGAACCGATTCATATCGAACAACGATGTGATCAGAGAGAACATGGCCCCTTACCCCATATACACAGCCATGCTATGCATCATGTGGAAAGAGTTTGATGGAAAGCGCCGAGAAGCAATGTCCAAGCTGCAAACATTTTCCCAGCTCTTCAATGAGATGATTGACTTTTTGGTTGATCATTACCTATCGAAGCACTTTCAACCATGTATTGTTGAAGGCATATTGAGGGAGAATCGTTCAGATATTCGTCATCATCTGCTTCAAATTGGCGACATTGCCTTCAGGGGACTTCTTGAGAGACGGTTAGTATTCACAGAAGAAGAGTTTCAGAGTTATCCAGAGTCCATCGATGTAGGTTGTAAAGTGGGTGTGCTCACCAGAGAAAAGAAAGTTCTTCCAAGAAAAGACAGAAGAACTAATCCAAATACAGTAGTTCAATCGGTGCATTTCCCTCATAAGCTCTTCCAGGAATATCTATCAGGAATGTATCTTGCATCTCTTTACAACACAAACCGTAATGAGTATGACAGGGTGATAGTGAATATCATACAGAAAGCAGGGGAATACCGGTACCTACTATACTTCACATCGGCCCAGCAGAAGGAGGTCGGGTTGGATATCGTATCTCATCTCACAGCAAGGAAAAGAGAGCGTAGCTATTATAACAGTATTGATGATGATGATGACTTCATCGTTGACGTAGCATACGAGAGCCAAGACCAAGCAGTGGCCAAAGCAGTGGCCAAATCAGTGGCAGATCGTCTCTCCTCTGAGTCTAGCAAGACGCTGAAGATCACCAAGAAGATGCAGGCACACACAGTATCAGGGCATGTCTTCATCATGAATCATCGTGAAGTGGTAAGGAAAGTAACGTCGAATTGTTGCAACGTATTCATTTTTCAATGCTGTAGGATCTCTGTGAATGATACAGTTTCTTTTTTATTTAAATTTCATTCTCTCAGACTTAGGATAACGTCGTTTGGTTAGATATACCCTGTATACTAACGATGCGCAACGCATTCTGTAAAAACTTCTCTTCACCTAAAAAAGAAGTTGGATAGAATCAATTTTCTATGATCATGATGCATGTCTAAATCCACTTTTATGGATCTAGTGTGGGTGCAACTCTGATTATTATTTTTAATCTGAAAATTGCAATGTATGCCTTTTTTTATATTTGTTTTACTATTATTATCTACAAGAGTTAATGAGTATTAGGACTTAAGTCTGTTAATAGGAGTTGTGATTTATTGTTATTGTAGCGCAACCGATCTTGCGAGTATTTGCAATGAAATCTTGGTTAATAATATAACACTTTTAATATCACGAATTCCAATGGGATTTGCACGTGCATTCTGTTCAATAAAACGCTAACTTGAAATATGATGAGATATCGTACAGAACCCAGAAAAGTTTACATTTGGTAGGATCAGAATAATTCCTTTCAAATGCAAAATGTTATTATAAAGTTATCTAATTGTTCTTCGTGAAATATAGATTTTTGAAAACAGAAAGAAGAAAAAAAAACGGAAAATGGAAGGAAAAAAACATATAAACAAATCAGTATCAATTAAGGTGATTAATAAGGATAATATGGTACAATTTGTGTGATTTATGTTTCTAGCCTCACAATATTATTTGTGTACATGTACATTGTAGGATCACCTGATAATTGAGAAGCCATGTGGACGGATGGCTTCAGAAGACCTGGCTGAACTCATGTGCTCATCACGAACATTGAGATCTGTGACGATCGCTACTACTACTACTAAGAATGATGTCTTTTACTCGGTGCTTACGAATAAAGCAGCCGACTCCAAGGTCCGTATACATCTGTGTATTATCCACGTTCTGGTATATTTGGTACATCTTTCTTTTAAAAGAAATGGATGCCATATTCAGTCAGGATAATAGTTTTTCTGGTGTCATAAGATTAAATTCAATTATTAGAATACTCGAAAAAAGAGGGGTTTTTTTTTAGATAAATAAATTTCAATTTAAGGCGACTTTACTTTATTCAAGTACACAACAAAGACAAATATTCCATTAAACTATTTGTATAGTATTTATGTTTAAGCTAATGGGTTTCCACCAAAAAAAAATCTTCATCTTTGCTCGCTCTTATCATGATGACCAATTTTTCCCTAGTACACTGTTGGTCATAATGGTGGAATAATTATTTTTACCCCAATTTGTGGAATGATTTTGACAATGAGTTATTCCTAATAGATCTAGATAATAGTTTACACTCTCAGATTTTATTGAATATTAATTTGTTAGTGTTTGTTTTGCGAGACTGCTAAAGCATGTGTGTGCTACTATGCTAATCAACTAGGGGACCTACGTTCTGAAGTCATAATTGACAGTAATGAGGATTAATGCCTCATAAAAGGGCACTAATATAGCACATCGACACGATGTTGATCCTGGGGGCTCACAGTAACGAGGCCATTGCTTAGCTACTGAAACATGGGGCTACATCTTCGCCCCCACAAATACAACAAAACAAAGAAAACGCAATAACCTATCAATAATTCATTGCATTTTGCCCCGATCCCCAAAAATAAAAAATCCTCTATGTGGGCATGCCTTGAACCATAATGCATTGCCCTACAGAGGATTTTTTCTTGTTGGGGACCGGGGGCATTTTCTTCGTTTTTTGTATTTGTTGGGGCGGCGAAGAAACCTAGCCCCCGTTGCGTACAGTCATGATTCAGTGGCTAAGTAAAGGCCTCGTCACTGTGAGGTCCCAGAAAAAAAAACCGTGTCGATCAGCTATATAAGAGCCCTTTTGTGAGGCATTAATCCTCATGACTCTCAGTTATGACTTAAGACGTAGGACCCTGATTAGCATAGTAGCACACACATGCTTTAGCAGTCACGCAAAACAAACACTCGCAAATTTGTATTCAATAAAATCTGAGAATCTATACTATAATTTAGATCTATTAGGAATAAATCGTTGTCTCGAGGAGTTAATTTTTCTTTATCTTCATATATTATCGATTTAATGTTTTTACTTTTATTATTATTATTACTATTTGACGTATATTATTTCCAATTTCTCTCATTGATGTGGAACGAGTCATTTCCTTACAAAAGGTGATCAAATAGTTTCGTTTTTCTTGTCTTTTGATCTTTCGTGCTAGCTTTGTTTTCCAGGTATTCTTCTACGTATTCTTCAGTTTTTCTTTTCTCTGCTAAATATCTTAAATGATTGCTTCTTTTATGATAGGTAAACATTCCTTGTTTCACAAAAAAACAGGAATTTGTCTTTGTTTCGATTTCGCCTTTCCAAGACGTATCATTGTGTTATTCAAATTTTCTACGAAATATAAATTACGCTTCTTCTACATTGTGATCGTCTATAAATTTATTTATATATGATTTTTTCCCCAATTAATATTAGCAAGTCACCTATTTATATATATTACAATATAGGAAAATCACTTCCTTAAGTGGTAAATTCTACATTCCAAGATATCTCATGTGAAAGATTTTGTAGATGAAAAGCATGAAACTTATCAAGATGTAAAGTTTAAAAAACATGTTCAAGTCGAGTAATGTCAGCAATTGTTTAGCCAACATAATGCTACAATTATATCAGATTCGGATTTTGGACACTCAATATGTGGACCCCCCCCCCCCCTATGGAAGTGCTGATGGAGTGACGGCTATTATATTAAGAATTGCTCATGATACAAAATATATGAATTTAAAACCTACACAATGAAAAATCGAATCATTTCATTCCCGTTGTTGTGATTGTGTTTTCCATCGGAAACTGCCAAATATTCTGTGTCTATTTTCACACATTTGTGTTACGTTATTATGAAACAAAAAAAATTCAAAGTAATATCTCTAGTAAATAGATTACAAATGTAACGTATTGATTTTGTAAGTGAATGAGGTTGGCGAGTGTATCATCATGTAATGTTAGATATACTTCAGTATATTAATGTCAGCAATTGTTTATTTAACATCATGTCGTATTATTACAACAGATTGAGACTCTGAACATCCTCTCTGATGATCTCAGTGATCGTCCCGATGCATCACGTGATCTCGCTCAGTTCATCTGTAAGATGCCTCATCTGAAGAACCTGACATTTGATGGTTCCTGTCACGATGACTTCTACTCAACATCATCGGTGATGGCATCATCAGCAAAGGTATTGATTTGATCGTATATTTTAGGACTCTAAGAAAATTACTACATATTTGTTATACGTAAAGTGTACCCTTTCCTATATTGTCAAACGCAAGTGTTCGATTTTACTCTCGTAATTGTTAAGATGAAGCAGGTAGGAAAAGTTAAATGTTCATGGACGTGGATACGAAAAGTGAACTTTCTGTCATAATACAAAAACAGTCTGAAGATTTCAACTATGCTGGTGACTAATATATTATATAACATATTCTTAGTTCCATATGATAATTCGAAATGCTACGGGAATGCTGATGGAGAGACGTCTATTTAAATTGTGAATGCCAATGAGACTAAATTATTTCAATTTAAAAACCTTCAAAAATGAAAAATCGAATCCCATCGTCTCTTCTATCCCTTTGGAAACCGCAAAGTGTTCCATATTTTTGTTTTTACACTTTTATGTTATGTAAAAATAGATTTTCAAAGTACTATTTCCGAATTGAATTTCAGAATAACGTTTCCAATCATAAATGAATGAGGATGGCAACTGTATCAAGATGTAAAGTGTAAACACATGTTCAAGTAATGGCAGCAATTTTTTATCCAACATAAATATAAATGCTACAACATCAGATTGGGACTTTGGACACTCAGTTTGTGGACCCCCCCCCCCCCCCCTATGGAAGTGCTAATGGAGTGACGGCTATTTTAATTAAGAATCGCCGATGATAAAAGAAATATATGAATTCAAAACCTACAAAATGAAAAATCGAATCTCTTCTTTCCCGTTGTTTTGATTGTGTTTTCCATCAGAAAACGCCAAATGTTCTGATTCTATTTCACACATTTGTGTTACGTTATTATGAAATAAAAAATTTCAAAGGAATATCCCTAGCAAATAAATTGTAAATGTAACGTATTGCTTTTGTAAGTGAATGAGGGTGGCGACTGTATCATCATGTAATGTTAGATATAATACATTATAGTAATGTCAGCCATTGTTTATCTAACATGATGTCGTACTATTACAACAGATTGAGACTCTGAACATCTACTCTGATGATCTCCGTGAACGTCCCAATGCATCACGTGACCTAGCTCAGTTCATCTGTAAGATGCCTCATCTGAAGAACCTGACATTTGATGGTTCCTGTCACGATGACTTCTACTCAACATCATCGGTGATGGCATCATCAGCAAAGGTATGGATTCAGTGATACATTTTAGGACTCTAAGAAAATTACTACATAGTTGTTATACTTAAAGTGTACCCTTTCCTATATTGTCAAACGCAAGTGTACGATTTTACTATCGTAATTGTTAAGATGAAGCAGGTAGGAAAAGTTAAATGTTCATGGACGTGGATACGGAAAGTGAACTTTCTGTCATAATACAAAAACAGTCTGAAGATTTCAACAATGCTGGTGACTAATATATTATATAACATATTCTTAGTTCCATATGATCATTCGAAATGCTACGGGAATGCTGATGGAGAGACGTCTATTTAAATTGTGAATGCCAATTAGACTAAATTATTTCAATTTAAAAACCTTCAAAAATGAAAAATCGAATCCCTTCGTCTCTTCTATCCCTTTGGAAACCGCAAAGTGTTCCATATTTTTGTTTTTACACTTTTATGTTATGTAAAAATAGATTTTCAAAGTACTATTTCCGAATTGAATTTCAGAATAACGTTTCCAATCATAAATGAATGAAGATGGCAACTGTCTCAAGATGTAAAGTGTAAAAGCATGTTCAAGTAATGGCAGCAATTTTTTATCCAACATAAATGCTACAACATCAGATTGGGACTTTGGACACTCAATATGTGGACCCCCCCCCCCCCCCCCTATGGAAGTGCTAATGGAGTGACGGCTATTTTAATTAAGAATCGCCGACGATAAAAGAAATATATGAATTTGAAACCTACACACAAAAAAAATCTAATCATTTCTTTCCCGTTGTTGCGATTACGTTTCCCATCGGAAACTGCCAAATGTTCCGAGTTTATTTTTCACACATTTGTGTTACGTTATTATGGAATATGATTTTCAAAGTAATATCTCTATCAAATAAATTGTAAGAGTAACGTATTTCTTTTGTAAGTGAATGAGTTTGGCGACTGTATCATCATGTAATGATAGATATAATACATTATAGTAATGTCAGCCATTGTTTATCTAACATCATGTCGTACTATTACAACAGATTGAGACTCTGAACATCTACTCTGATGATCTCCGTGAACGTCCCAATGCATCACGTGACCTAGCTCAGTTCATCTATAAGATGCCTCATCTGAAGAACCTGACACTCCGCTGTTACTATCATGATGACTTCTACTCAACATCATCGGTGATGGCATCATCAGCAAAGGTATGGATTCAGTGATACATTTTAGGACTCTAAGAAAATTACTACATATTTGTTATACTTAAAGTGTACCCTTTCCTATATTGTCAAACGCAAGTGTACGATTTTACTCTCGTAATTGTTAAGATGAAGCAGGTAGGAACAGTTAAATGTTCATGGACGTGGATACGAAAAGTGAACTTTCTGTCATAATACAAAAACAGTCTGAAGATTTCAACAATGCTGGTGACTAATATATTATATAACATATTCTTAGTTCCATATGATAATTCGAAATGCTACGGGAATGCTGATGGAGAGACGTCTATTTAAATTGTGAATGCCAATGAGACTAAATTATTTCAATTTAAAAACCTTCAAAAATGAAAAATCGAATCCCTTCGTCTCTTCTATCCCTTTGGAAACCGCAAAGTGTTCCATATTTTTGTTTTCACACTTTTATGTTATGTAAAAATAGATTTTCAAAGTACTATTTCCGAATTGAATTTCAGAATAACGTTTCCAATCATAAATGAATGAGGATGGCAACTATATCAAGATGTAAAGTGTAAACACATGTTCAAGTAATGGCAGCAATTTTTTATCCAACATAAATATAAATGCTACAACATCAGATTGGGACTTTGGACACTCAGTTTGTGGACCCCCCCCCCCCCCTATGGAAGTGCTTATGGAGTGACGGCTATTTTAATTAAGAATCGCCGATGATAAAAGAAATGTATGAATTCAAAACCTACAAAATGAAAAATCGAATCTCTTCTTTCCCGTTGTTTTGATTGTGTTTTCCATCAGAAAACGCCAAATGTTCTGATTCTATTTCACACATTTGTGTTACGTTATTATGAAATAAAAAATTTCAAAGTAATATCCCTAGCAAATAAATTGTAAATGTAACGTATTGCTTTTGTAAGTGAATGAGGGTGGCGACTGTATCATCATGTAATGTTAGATATAATACATTACAGTAATGTCAGCCATTGTTTATCTAACATCATGTCGTACTATTATAACAGATTGAGACTCTGAACATCTACTCTGATGATCTCCGTGAACGTCCCAATGCATCACGTGACCTAGCTCAGTTCATCTGTAAGATGCCTCATCTGAAGAACCTGACACTCAATGGGAAGTACGAGGTCTTTCTTCACGATGACTTCTACTCAACATCATCGTCGATGGCATCATCAGCAAAGGTATGGATTCAGTGATAGATTTTTGGACTCTAAGAAAATTACTACATATTTGTTATACTTAAAGTGTACCCTCTTCTAAATTGTCAAACGCAAGTGTACGATTTTACTCTCGTAATTGTTAAGATGAAGCAGGTAGGAAAAGTTAAATGTTCATGGACGTGGATACGAAAAGTAAACTTTCTGTCATAATACAAAAACAGTCTGAAGATTTCAACAATGCTGGTGACTAATATATTAAATAACATATTTTAAGTTCCATATGATAATTCGAAATGCTACAGGAATGCTGATGGAGAGACGTCTATTTAAATTGTGAATGCCAATGAGACTAAATTATTTCAATTTAAAAACCTTCAAAAATGAAAAATCGAATCCCTTCGTCTTTTCTATCCCTTTGGAAACCGCAAAGTGTTCCATATTTTTGTTTTTACACTTTTATGTTATGTAAAAATAGATTTTGAAAGTACTATTTCCGAATTGAATTTCAGAATAACGTTTCCAATCATAAATGAATGAGGATGGCAACTGTATCAAGATGTAAAGTGTAAAAACATGTTCCGAGTCTATTTTTCACACATTTGTGTTACGTTATTATGGAATATGATTTTCAAAGTAATATCTCTATCAAATAAATTGTAAGAGTAACGTATTTCTTTTGTAAGTGAATGAGGTTGGCGACTGTATCATCATGTAATGTTAGATATAATACATTATAGTAATGTCAGCCATTGTTTATCTAACATCATGTCGTACTATTACAACAGATTGAGACTCTGAACATCTACTCTGATGATCTCCGTGAACGTCCCAATGCATCACGTGACCTAGCTCAGTTCATCTGTAAGATGCCTCATCTGAAGAACCTGACACTCAATGTGAAGTACGAGGTCTTTCTTCACGATGACTTCTACTCAACATCATCGTCGATGGCATCATCAGCAAAGGTATGGATTCAGTGATACATTTTAGGACTCTAAGAAAATTACTACATATTTGTTATACTTAAAGTGTACCCTTTCCTATATTGTCAAACGTAAGTGTACGATTTTACTCTCGTAATTGTTAAGATGAAGCAGGTAGGAAAAGTTAAATGTTCATGGACGTGGATACGAAAAGTGAACTTTCTGTCATAATACAAAAACAGTCTGAAGATTTCAACAATGCTGGTGACTAATATATTATATAACATATTTTTAGTTCCATATGATAATTCGAAATGCTACGGGAATGCTGATGGAGAGACGTCTATTTAAATTGTGAATGCCAATGAGACTAAATTATTTCAATTTAAAAACCTTCAAAAATGAAAAATCGAATCCCTTCGTCTCTTCTATCCCTTTGGAAACCGCAAAGTGTTCCATATTTTTGTTTTCACACTTTTATGTTATGTAAAAATAGATTTTCAAAGTACTATTTCCGAATTGAATTTCAGAATAACGTTTCCAATCATAAATGAATGAGGATGGCAACTGTATCAAGATGTAAAGTGTAAAAGCATGTTCAAGTAATGGCAGCAATTTGTTATCCAACATAAATGCTACAACATCAGATTGGGACTTTGGACACTCAATATGTGGACCCCCCCCCCCCCCCCCCCTATGGAAGTGCTAATGGAGTGACGGCTATTTTAATTAAGAATCGCCGACGATAAAAGAAATATATGAATTCAAAACCTACACACAAAAAAATCTAATCATTTCTTTCCCGTTGTTGCGATTACGTTTCCCATCGGAAACTGCCAAATGTTCCGAGTCTATTTTTCACACATTTGTGTTACGTTATTATGGAATATGATTTTTTAAAGTAATATCTCTATCAAATAAATTGTAAGAGTAACGTATTTCTTTTGTAAGTGAATGAGGTTGGCGACTGTATCAAGATGTAAAGTGTAAACACATGTTCAAGTAATGGCAGCAATTTTTTATCCAACATAAATATAAATGCTACAACATTAGATTGGGACTTTGGACACTCAGTATGTGGACCCCCCCCCCCCCTATGGAAGTGCTTATGGAGTGACGGCTATTTTAATTAAGAATCGCCGATGATAAAAGAAATATATGAATTCAAAACCTACAAAATGAAAAATCGAATCTCTTCTTTCCCGTTGTTTTGATTGTGTTTTCCATCAGAAAACGCCAAATGTTCTGATTCTATTTCACACATTTGTGTAACGTTATTATGAAATAAAAAAATTCAAAGTAATATCCCTAGCAAATAAATTGTAAATGTAACGTATTGCTTTTGTAAGTGAATGAGGGTGGCGACTGTATCATCATGTAATGTTAGATATAATACATTATAGTAATGTCAGCCATTGTTTATCTAACATGATGTCGTACTATTACAACAGATTGAGACTCTGGACATCTCCTCTGAAGATCTCCGTGAACGTCCCAATGCATCACGTGACCTAGCTCAGTTCATCTGTAAGATGCCTCATCTGAAGAACCTGACACTCCGCTGTCACTATCATGATGACTTCTACTCAACATCATCGTCGATGGCATCATCAGCAAAGGTATGGATTCAGTGATACATTTTAGGACTCTAAGAAAATTATGTTATACCTGAAGTATACCCTTTTCTGTATAGTCACACGGACGTGGACTATTTTACCCTCGCAATTGGTACACAGTTGAGAGGAAGTAGGTAGGAAAAATGACGTATCATGAAGTGTATGCGAAAAGTAAAATTTTCGTGATAAAACAAAAACAGACTGAAGCTCTTAAGATTAAAAGTGAACAATATATACCATTTTTCTCTGGATAGACGGCTATTTTAATTGTGAAAACTGATGAGACTAATACTTGAATTTAAAAGCCTACAGAAATATAAAGTGAACCTCTTATTCCCCGTTAATTCGATTCTGTAACATGTTAAAATTTGCCAAGTCTTTAAGTTAAATTAGGTTTTTCACAGTACTTTTTTAATCAAAGGTCAGAATGACATATTGCTTTTGTCAATAAATGAGGTTGGCAACTTCATTATGATGTAATATTCAACAATATTTGTAAGTAGTGTAATGTCAGCAACTGTATATCCAACATAATGTTACTATTATAACAGATTAAGATTTGACATCCGATATGTGAATCACCCCCCCCCCCCCCCCCCTCACTCATTCAGACGTGAACATATACAGTGTAGTAGGGTCAGTAAGATTACCGAATCATATGCCGGGGGAAGGAATTTTCTATTTTTCAGACAATCATGGATCCACAACTATTATTTCGTCGATAATAATAAAGCTCAAGTTTTTTTCTTCAAGGGCAATGTGATTAAGGAATGGTTTACGACCGTTTTGTCTTCATGTTTTTTTGTTTGTTTTTTTGTTCTGTAAGGCTTAAGATCATGAGCCACGTTTTCCATTCATATTTAACCACTACTCCCTCTCTCAACAGATCAATATGTTCTAGAAAATATCATTTTCAAATCTTTATCCGTACTGCCCACAGTCCCGATTGCAGAAATGAAAAAAACTATTGATCACCTCTACCATTACCTATCATTCATTTAATTAACACCATTATGCATTATATCGGTCTCAAAAGAATCCAGGAAATATTCAAATGCGTGATAATTTCAGGTGTCAAGACTTGTAGCTCATTTCAAAATACAATGTGATTTTTTAAAGATTTTTTAGTTGTGGCAACGTTATTAATATAATTTGAAAACATATTGCTGAATTTTGAATATATTTGTAATGGGTTGTTATAGTTACATTCAACATAATGTTACTATCGCAACAGATTGAGACTCTTTACATCCTTGCTTGGGATCTCAGTGAACGTCCCTCTGCATCACGTGATCTCGCTCAGTTCATCTGTAAGTTGACTCATCTGAAGGACCTGACACTTGGCGGTCAGTACCACAATGACTTCTACTCAACATCTTCGTCGATTGCATCATCTGCAAAGGTATTGATATGATGTTAAATTTTAGGACTCGTATATAACAAATCACTACATTCTTTGTTTTACTGGAGGTCTACTCTTCCCTATATCGTCAAACGAAAGTGCACAATTTAACTTCCCTATTGGTCATTCGTTAAGAGGAAGCAGGTATAGGAAAAGTTGATCGTTTTAGGAGGTGGATGCAAAAAGTGAGCTTTCTGTCACAAAACAAAAAAGACTGAATATTATAAGATTGGTAGTGAATAATACCTTTTATTCATTCGATATGACTATTCGGAGTGCTACGGAATTTCAATTTTTAATACTGAAGAGACTAAATAGTTTAATTTAAAAACCTACACAAATATATAATCGAATCTCTGCAAAGGTTGACCTATGACCTATGACCTGAAATACGATCTTAAATGTTAGGACTCGTTACGAATCACTACATGCTTTGTTATACTGGAAGTGTACTTTATTCTGTATAGTCTAACGAAATTTGACAATTCGCCCGCCTTCCTCCCGATAGGCCTATGCATTAAAACACATAACAATAAGCTAAATGTTATGGTGGTATATTTGTACCTGTAATCACGTTTAATATTAAATATCTGTTAATTATGCAGTAAAGCTTTACATCGGACATTCTTAAACGGTCCACTATATATCACAATTCAAGTAATATTATTAATTCACACTACACTACACTACACTACATTACATCGATAAAGGTTTAAATGTACTTGTGATATAAAATTATATAGTTTTTAACCACTTTCATTATAACTATTTCAAACTCTAATACATGTATGCCAGTTACATTGTATTTTATTATCGTATAATAATTATAATAATATCCTAATAGTCCACTCCAAATGTTATTAAACCGAAACGGAAATTCTTTTTGACCGGAATAATTGCATTTGACTGATTTGAAATTATTTAGTAGGTGTTCATCCTAACGTATATTAAATTAGACTGGTCTTCGTTTCATTGAATCTATAAACGGTACTTGCCTTTCACATATTTATATTAGTAAATAACGAATGATATACATGTACAATTGACTTGTAAGAAAGAAAAACAAAATTCTTATAACTTGTAACTTATAATTGCATTTGCATATAAAGCCTTCTTTCATTATGTTCACCCAATAGTCTGTAATTATATATATGCTAGTTTATGTCAAATAATGTTATTTCCTTACAATAAAAGATCGTAATTATTTAACTATTATAATTGTGTTCATAAGTTTATATCATTTATATTATATCTTATTTTGTCATCATTGTATACGATATGTATTTCTGTTAATTCATGTATAATTAAATCTTTAGATCAATCATGTAATTTATTGTATATTTGATTGTTGTAAAGCGCATAGAGAATTTATTATTATGCGCTATATAAAAATTACTTTATTATTATTTATATTATTTTGCTCGGCTCATGTCTTTTTATAATCCGTGTGTATATTCTACAATACCCATGAGGCTATCAACATCCATGTTTTTTGTTGCTTTTTTCATGAAACTTAAGAATGCAATTATATATCTACTAACAATCGAACCTACTACATTTGTTATTGTACTTTAATTTCCCTTTTTGTGTACATGGTCAGAGTGTTAACACGTGCCCCGCCCTGACTGAGCTGACAGTGGATGATGACACACTAGAAGGATGGCAGGTTTGTGGTTCGATGTTTGATAATGTGAGGAGTGTCACTATACAGGTATGTTACACGATCGACTGTGACGTCATCCAGAGGATCCATCTACCAGGAGCAACAGAACTCACCATTCAAACACAAGAGTATGCATATCGACCGGCTGTTTTCCACGAGGAGTCCACTTCACTACCCAATGCTCTCCTGAATATCTCCCCTCAGCTTGTCAAGGTGACATTCAGAGATCTTGACATTGGTAACAGTGAGATGGAACTAATCTTACAAGCTTTCAGATCACCTCACAACCTCAAACATCTGAAGACTATCAGGTAAGACACATCGTGCTTTTTTCGAAGAGCACTTTGACACTTTTCTTCTTTTGATTCTCCATTCCACATCTGGAAATTGAAGAAAATATGCGTGTTTTTTTTGTTAATTGAATAAAGTGTGTCGATCTTCCCCCTTTTTCCTCCCTCCCTCCCTCACTCTCTCTCTCTCTCTCTCTCTCTCTCTTTCTATCTCTTTATCTCTCTCTTTCAATGTTTGATTTATTATGATTAGAATCGATTTGAATTTAAAGATGACAAAACATCAATACCAACATAGGCCTAAACAATAAGGATGAATAGCTCTGCTCATCTGTACCATGCATTACAGTTGTTTGACTAATTGAGTGGTCTACATGATAAAACAAATAAGATAAAAAGTTACATCATTATGAACAGCTATATTACAAACATTGTTAACTCCTATAACAAGCCCCCATCCCTAATTATTTTACATAGATGATACTGTATTCCGTCTATTTTTATAATGGTAGATTCGTAAGATGCGGGACAGATTTGAGCATGAATGGTGTCACCACTGCGTGCAATAAAGATCAGGTCATGGAGGTGGAGGTGGAGCATGGCAAACCACGTGGGTGAGTCCGTAGAACTTTAACTTTAAGAATTGCATCGCCTGTAATGGTAGCATGACTTTTATGTATGATTGCATGTCTCTTTAACGCTCTGCGACAATCAGTGTTTGTGTATCGTACGCACGACCACAGGTAGTATTTCACCTCAGAGAGGATGTGCAATATTAAAAGCCGCCTTCCTATTTCCTTAACTTAAACGATTCACTGGCTAACTAGAATCAGGGAGATGAGACTAGATGCAGCAGAAATGAGGTCTAGTGTTAGAATTAAGCCAGTCGTTTCTGATATTCATTCAGACGCGAGGTCTGTTCGAAACGCCACGTATGTGTTTTGATATATAGAAATAGAAAAAGAAAAGTATCTTGAATATATTACAAGCATGTAGCTATTTCCCGTCTTGGGAGAGAGGGTTAGATAATTTCTTCAATTGAGAAAAAGAAATGATATTAATGTACAGGAATACGTTTTTTGTTTTCATGTTTATTGTTTTATTTGTGTGTTAAACTTTATTTGTGTTAAACTCACATATCCCTGGTTTATCAGTAATGATACGAACTGGTTTATCAGTAAGATCCCTCAAAACTCACCTTTTCCCCCAATGATCTATGTGATATACTTCCTGTACTGTACTTTCTTGTCCTCTTTACATATATTTGTATTTGTAAGCGCTATGGTACTTATTGTTTTTAGCGCTCCTAAATATTCGATATTATTATTATTATTATTATGTACCACTCATGATCTCGCATGAACCAATCCGTGCAAAATGAAACAAAGAGTCGACAAAGGCGTGTACATAAAAACAAAATGCTATTGGAAATGGGTAATCATGAATATTTCAATTTGCCCATTGGAAAATATAGGCCGGATTCTAGAAGTGATAAAGTAAGGGTATTTATTCCTTTTTTAACATGATAACATGTAGACCTATTTATTTAATGGATTCTCGCATTTTTGAACTATTATGTTTTCTACGTAATAGATAACATGTTAGTTCAAGTGGTGCTGCTTGACGTAAAGCCGTGTAATATTTAATAGCTTTTGTTTGTCCTTTGTCTCCTGCTGTATGTATGTGATTATTTTGATGTAGCGCTGCTTCTTTATATTATGTTGATGCACACATTGACACTTATCTCTCTATCTCTCTCCCTCTCACTCCCTCTCTTTCTCCATCACTTCAGTGATAGGTTTTGAGTAATCAAACAGATGACACCGTACTCGATCTGACGAATCAGAGGGATCAGACGATCTTTGCTTGCCAATGGGAACTCTGGGCTGAAGTAAAGAGTACATAAAACACATCATTATAGGCCTATATAATCACTCAACGTTTAAATTTGAAATCTGAACGTTGGCTATTACAAATACAATTGTCATGCAATCGAGTTACTCACCAAATGAATCACGTTGATATCCATTCAATATTACATGATTGTTTATTCTTTACATCGGATTTGAGGCTATTTTTCTTTCATTTAAGAAATCATGATTTTGAATTCTCTTTGAAATGTTACTCTCACTACCTTTAAGTAGTTCTGGATTCAGGAAGGATTTACACTTTATTTTTTTTTTGTTTATTGTGAAAGGACGAACATGTTGTAAATATTTGCCTGAACGTTTGGTGAGAAAACATTGTGTGAAAAAATACAGTCATTTTCTGTTCTAATTTGAATTTTGCAACATGCAGTGTTTCATTCAAAACATTTGTTGTGTACAAAATGAGGGCCCCAAATTTCCCTTATATGTAGAAAAGCACAATCTGTTGATCTTAAATTTGGCGCACACTGTCATAACATTGCTGCTACAGATAAAGTTTGAGATAAGTTTCTGATGGCTTGCGAATCACTGAAAGGGACCTTTAAACATATACATGTATATAATGAAATTAACATGTGTTCTCATGGAAGAAGAGCCTGCTCAGTTAATCATGAACATTTGACAAATCTTCAGAGTTGGGACGCCTGTAAATAAGGTGATTCATTGATGTGAGCTGTCATTGTGAAGGGAATCGGATAGAATAATAATTTGGTTGTTAATGGCTGCCTACCAAAATTAGAATCCATCAGAGTGTTCAATGTCATGGACGGATGAAAGACCAACACTAAATATCCAATCAGGCTTAGGACAGAGAGTCATTCACGATATAGTCACGTGACTTTGGAAAATACCAGTACGTTTTTACTTCTAAAAACTGCGACAATGTTGCCTGCCTTGTTATTCAGCTGTAAATAAACTCTAGCGTCTCCTTAGATTAATTTAAATTGCTACTTTTGGAATGGATGATATGTTATCGTTGAGAATTATTTGTGTGGTTGACGCAGTAGAGTTTATTTATATAGTGGCTACGCTATATAAATTGATCTAAATAATATAATTGCATTGGAGCTCAGTGCACCCAGTGCGGACTTTACCTAGCGTATGACTGCGTCAGCGACTGACGTAGACATCGACGCACCGTGTGAGAGTAATATCGTTACACAACGTGAGTGCAAATCGAACGGCGTAAACCTTTCTTCAAATTAAGAGCGTTGTAGTCCCGACTGAATCTCCTCAATATGTTAGTACAGGTATTAATGCAGTGTAAACACTACCTCTTGTGCAATGAGCATTATATAATTGATGTCTGTGCCATTATAATCAATCGTCTTTTATGATGTATTGTATTACCTCATATCGACAAAATAGTGTGGTCTTTTCAGAGCCATAAGGCCTTTTTTAAATGAAAACTTTGAATGTATATATATATAAACATATTTTACAGTTAAAAACACACAGCATATGAAATGGCAGTAATTGGCAAACTTAAAATCTATGTATATAGTAGAGAATATAACGGAAATAAATTGAATAATGAACAATAAAAAGAATGTATATAAAGAACAAACGAACGAGCAATTGAGAAAAAAATCAAAACGAACACATGTTCGTTTTCCGATTTCAAATAATTATTTACTTTGATATTAATGAACGTGGATACAACTCAATATTTGGATTGTAAACTAAGAAACGATTTTAGCATTCAGATGCGCAAATTGACGATCATTTCAGTATAAGTTCTAATGTATTTTCACAAACACACAAGAGTGTTACGGTAAACTTTTCTAAGATGTATCCACAACTAGAAATTAAAGGTAATGTAACATGTCGTGTACCCCTCATGGCCCTTGTAAAAAGGACAAGGAAGACAGAATTTCTTTCAGAGATATAACGCTGTATTATTTTGTTATCCAGTATATTTTACGTTTGAACTCTTGCATGTGTTACGTAAAAGGTTTGTATATATTTGTTTGATTTAGAAAGGGAAACTGTCTTGTGTAATATATATGAGTTGTTACTTTTCACCGTAGATAATTTGTAAATAACATAGCTAAATAATTGGTGCCCATACAAAGGAGTGTCCTTGCAATGCAAGTTATTAATCACTGACTAAGTATAAATGTATAGGAACGTCAAATATCAAAGCAAATGTTTTTTTTTCTTTAAAGTTTAACTTTTGATTGGACACCATTAAATTCGACGCAAGAACAGTATTAAGTTAATTCACGAAGCATCAAACTTAATATTCGGAATAAATTTCTGAATTTTCTGTAATCATGGTAAATGTGCACCGATACATTTCAGCATTCAGCGAAAGCCCAATGTATCACTAGTAATAGTAGTAGCATCGCCTTTAGTAGTAGTAGTAGTAGTAGTAGTATCAGTAGTAGTAGAACCAGTAGAAGAAGTAGTAATAGTTGTTGTTGGTGTAGTTATAGTTTTGTTGATGATGTTTCTGTTGTGGCGTATTAGTAGGCCTATATAGTGTGGTACGGTATGTCACTGAAACAGCTCCCGTAGGACTTTTGTGCCAAAATTGATTTTTTGGCATTTTTGGATTGATTGGGGTCCAAGCTATCAGAAATTGATGGGGTTCAAATTTTCCCGACCCTCAACCCCTCCCTGGGGGGGGGGGTAGTTTCCTATCATGAGACCCCCTAAAATTGGGTGTGTCATTCGTCTAATGACTGGTTTCACAAAACTTGAGTTGTTTTCTAGAACTGTGATTAACCCTCAACAGCGAGAAAGGTAATTTGAAGACTTTCAATTGGATAAACCCTCTAACCAACCCATCCCCATCCCTACCCCACCCCCTGTCAGCCCAAATTGCGTACCTTTGTCATTGTTCAGCCAGCTGTAGTACTTTTATTACCATTATCATATGTTTACTAGCCCATTTCCAAACACAAAGAGACAGAAACAAACATACAGACAACCTTCATGTATACACATCTACCACCCACACACACACACACATGCACACACAGACGCACCTTCATGCACACACACACACCCTTCCTCCCACACGCACATACTCACACACACCCAAACATTCACAGGCAAGTGCGCTCGCGCGCACACAGCGCGCGCACACATTCCTACACAATTATTCTGCTCTGTGATCATTGTTTCTAGCTCTTCTGTGGTAAAAGTTGTTTTGTTCCTTGGTCTTCGCAAGTTTGACAGAATAAAGACCCCTATTTTGCAGTATATTGTCTGATTTTCCAACGTAAGCATAAACATTTAGCCAATGGCAAATCTAGATTTTAAAATTTGTGATGTGGGTCTTCATTATCGGTTAGAGAAGAAGAAAAAAAATAGCAAAAACAAGAGAGAACTTTATTACTCTTGATCAATCAATCACTTTAGATGGTTAAATTGACAAATTGGTAAACATTGTATGCATTGATATATATATATATATATATATATATATATATATATATAACTCATGGACCTATTACGGAAGGACATTCAACGTTATTCTTTCTTTGATCCAATGAGATCCACCGCCTTCTGAACATTCAGCTGTTTTAACAATACGACTGCTCAAGCATTTTCGGTCATTAACAAAGGAGCAGTATCTCTCTCTTGGGTTTTGTGTGGATGGTGTGCTCTGTAAGAGTGTGAATTAAATAAAAAGAATTACCAATGGGGAGCAGTAAAGTTGAAAAACAGACGATTTTGGTGATACAGATACCTTTGATGACTTCAAGAATCCACCATTACTCCAATTCTTCCTAAGCCACCTCCTCTTTGGTAGTCATGTTGTTAAAGTATCTGGAATGCGGGACCAAGAAGTAAACAAAAGTGTCGATGTAGCTTGTCAATTTCTAGTCCAAAACACTCATACTAATCGTCAAGTAAAATATCAATCAAAGAGAGATCACAGTTTTCGTCGAAACGTCCTATCACCCTTGTCAATTGGACTGCCTCTTGCTATCCACTCTCGAGTTCGTGACAAGAACCTTGTCCAAAACCTTTCAACGAATGAAGGATGCTGGGGGGAGGGGGGTTGTCTTCCTGATTTTGTCAAGAAGGGTGTGAACATCTGGTTTGCCATTGACAACATTGATCTCTTGGAAGACACACCCACAGGGCAAGGAACCTTTCACGGGACAGTGGTTGTAATCAACCAACAGGCTGTAGATGGAGAGCCAGTGAATCGACCACTTGTCATACCCGAGAAACTTTCTTCGCAAGACCTTCTAGCATTTGAGATGAATGTGCTTCCAGAGCCAGTCATCAGAACTAGCCCACTGAGATTTCAGGCCTACAAGAAGAGGAAACAAAATCTCATTTCTCAAGAATTCACTCATACCTGGGCTCTTGTGAACTACCTTACAACAGATGACAACGGAGAAATCATCCAAACTGAACCTCAGTTGCACGATGAAGAAGCCCAGCGCAGTGGAGAGATGCCAAGTGATGCAGAGTCTACAAATGATGAGGAAACTGAGCCTTCTAGCAACAAGGGGGAAGCTGGGTCTTCAAAGGACAGAGAGGAAACATACTCTGTCGTGATCAGCAAAAAGCAGGTGAAGAAATCAGATAAACTAGCAAAGAATGATGTTCTTCCAACATGGGCTGCAACTAGGTCCTTATTGTTGTCTCAATCCTCTCCCGCTAGCACGCCTACAAACACAGCGGTGGTTGCCCCATTATTCAAGACATCGCCAACTCATTATGGGACCCTCTATACTGTTCTTCGGTTATCCCAGGGAATATCTGCGACTATTGTTGGCCCTCACAGAAAGACATTGATAACGCTAGATCTTGATCTTTACTCCCGAGCGTTGAAGATTCAGCAGGAGGTGGGAAACGCCAACTGGATCTTAAGAGCAGGAGCTCTCCACATTGCTTTCGCTGCCTTACATGCTCTTGGCAAAACCATCGATGGTAGCGGTCTTGACACGTGTGCTATCAAATGTGGTGCGTACACCTCAGCATCTCTTCGCAGGATCTTTGTTGGTAAAGCTTATAAGCGTGGCCTTGAATTCCACATTACTGCAAGCCTTGCAATCATGATGTTTCGTTTTGATACCATACTATCGGATCTTCCCAAGGGTCCAATTCGCATCCAGTGCAATTCTCTCAAAGAAAAACTTCTTGGACGTGACCCAGAGATGGTGGAGATCTATGAAGAAATCCAATCCTGGTACTCAAGCAATGTCAAACCGCTTAAAGAAGCTGAAGACCTTGGCGAGTTTGCCCAGTTCTTGACTCAGTATCTTAACCAGGTGGAGAGTCTTCTACATCTCATTAGTTCATGTCGATCAGGGGACTGGGAGGGCTACTTGTCATCACTAGAAGACCTCACCAAGTACTTCTTTGCTCGTGATCTCCTGAACTATGCTCGCCTGATGCCAGTCCATCTCGCTCAAATGAATGCCCTAGAAGAGGATGATCCAGAAACATGGAATGCCCTCAAGTCTGGAGACTTTGTGGTGGCAAAGTCAGAGATACCCTTTTCTCTTCTCTTCACTGATCAGGCTCTAGAGCAAGAAATCAAGAAACTAAAGGGGAATGGTGGGATGGTTGGACTCACAAGAAATGAATCCGCTCTGGATGGACTAGTCATTACCACACCTCACTTGCTGCTCTGGTAAACATTACCACAATGACTTCCCAAAAGCTACTGGAGCTTCGGTGAGGAAGGAGCATCATCAGCTCTCAGGAGACATTGCAGTGAGGTAAAAGAAGAATGATCTGAAACTACGCCACCTAATCGAGCTGCACTGCGGAGTCAATCCTTTCAAGGAGAAGACACAATTGAAGAGTCTGGTTTCATCGTCACTTGTGTCAAATGAGGCGAAAAGTGACATTCTCCACTTTGCAGAAAAGGGCCAGAAGCGCTTTGAGGAGTTTGTATCTGATCGTTTGCTTTCATCATCAACCCTCTCGGTGTGGGACAAAATGAAGAAACTGAAGCTGAAATCCTTTTCGAACTGGATGGAGAAAAGTAAAGTGCGTGTTGGAGACAAGGTCATCAAGTTGCGGGAGGAACGTGAATTGCTGGGAAGATTCCTTATCATCCAAGGCAGCCGCCCAAGCTTAGTTCCTAAACTTGCGGAAACAATAGGTGAATATGAAATGTCAGTGGTTCCCCATTCACTGTGTGCTGTCGATGGTTCTTTGTACATCCCAACAGACAAAGCAAATCTGATGCATGCAGTTGAATATGCAAAGGCAGAACCTCCCGATGCTGTAAAACAGCCTGATGTCGTGGAGGATAATCATTCAACTTCCCCCACAGGTTGAAATGATGCAGAAAGAGGTTCCGGTTACCGTAGAACATGAGATAACGCAGGTTCCTTCTGGAGCAGCCCAGCAACCTAACCTCTTGCAGGATCTTCCTGTCAAGGTGCTGATAATTGACGTCATAGGTGTACTTCAAGGCATGAAAAAGACACCTGCAATGCAAAAGATGACAGACCTGCAGAATGCATTCAGCAGGCGCATCGAAGGGATGAGGGCTAGCTATGATGAAGGTCGAGTTGTGTTTGATCGATATATGGAAGAGTCATTAAAGAACAAGACTCGACAAAAGAGAGCAACTACATCAGTAGAATACGAGATACACCCAGAAATGAAGCTCGCAATGTCCATCAAGGAGCTTCTATCTTCATCGTCAACCAAGAAAAAGCTGACGTGCCTGTTAGGTCAGGGGCTGCTTGATAACTTTTCACAGAACACGGACAGCCCTTTCAAGCTAGTGGTTGTGTATGATACCTTCATCAAGGGACATGATTTTGAGGAGGCGCACATACATGAAGAGGCTGATACCCTGATTCCTAATCAAGTCCTTGCCTCTACTGCTAGTGGTGCCTTGCAAGAAATTACTGTCTGGTCTCCTGACACTCATGTCCTCCTTCTCTTAATTAATCTAGCATCTTGTGGAAACATTGCAGTGCCCACTTCTCTACAATTTTCTACAGGCAAGGGTACAAAGAAACGAGAAATAGATGTGCTGGAGCGGGTTCAAGTCATTGGACATCAAAAATGTCAAGGCCTCCTTGGACTTCATAATTTTTCTGGTGCTGACTGGGGAGGAAAGTTTGTTGGGATATCCAAGAAGACATGGATCAATGCCTACTTAAAGCTTGATGATGATGATCCTGCCATTATCTGCTTCAAAGAACTGGGTGAGGGTTCCGTTCCAACTGAGCTTGGCAATGGAGAGCTTCCAACACAGGTGAAGGCACTAGAGCATTTCATATGTCGTGTTTACTGTTCATGAGGTCCAACAACCCTACCATCGCTCAGATGGGAACTGCCTATCAAAGAACCTGGAAGGTGAGATGTTACCTCCAACTCGTGCCGCATTACTACCTCACATCCTCCGTGCCAATTACATCACGATGAGAGATAAATCATACAAGACTAACTACCCAGTGCTTCCTCCTATCGAAGAGAATGGATAGTATTCAGATAATCGAGGATGTCTTCCAGTCAAGTGTCTTGCGCTCCCTGCACCACGGGCAGTACTTGAACTCATCAATGTGGCTGCAAATCAGGATGCAAGGGACGGTGTAGCTGCTCCAACAACGATTTGCCCTGCACTCCTCTCTGTAAATGCTCTAGTGGAGACTGTGAAAACCGGACAAGGGAGGATGCTCCAGATAGTGACAGCGATTGACTTTTACTGGAAGTCTGATGAACTTTCCTGTTGTCATGGTAACCACGAAGTAGGTGGTTACCCCTTTCCCGATTTTATTTTATGTTTTGTTTATAACTGGAAAATGTTTCCGAATAATTTTTTGATTTATATCAAGATTGTGCCATATGTACTATTTCGGAACAAAATAGCTCAACTTGTTTCTGTTTTTTTTCCTTTCGGGGCGGGGGGGGGGGGACCATATCAACAAAACAAAATGCACATTTTCGTATTATTTTGCATTTGAAAAAAGATATTACATATATAATTTGTCAACTTTCTGATTGACTGATGCAATTACAGTGCCTAGAAGTTGATATTTGAGAATTTTGTAATATTATCATATGAAGGTGTTTGGCGCCATCTGGTGTTTAAGTAAGTTATTTATTTGATAGAATACTATAAAATAGGGTTGATTTTTATATTAACAGCTTAAAATAACAGTGTTAATGACATGTGATAGGTTTCACAATTATTCCACTGTATAATAACACACAACACACAATAATGCCATTTCCACTTATTATTTCAAAATTCTAGCCCAAAAGAAAGAAGAAGGGCACATTTTTTAGGAAATATTTCCCAGTTTTTCACAATTTTTCGCAAATTGCGCCCCCATAAGGTCAAAGTGAAAAAATGTTATGACGCAATATCATTAAACATGAATCCGTATATACCTCAGACAACTTCACAGTGAAATTGGCGAAAATATATATGAATTAGGGTGGAAGACACCAAATTTCCCTATTGCGCTTTATATGTGCAATTTTGGCGCCCAAAATGGACCCCCCAGGAAGTGAAGGAGGGGTCTCAAAATTTGAACCCCATCATTTTTGGCCAATTGGGACCCTTTTGAAGCCAAAACAGCCAAAAAATCAATTTTGGCAAAAAAATCCTACGGGATTACATACCATACCACACTAATATAAGAAGTTGTGTTGATTCAATTCAGACATGTTCAGTGTGAGTGGTATATTGTTAAAACGCCAAATTCCGTTTACTACAACTGATTATTTTGTTTACATTGATAAGATTATAAAGAATGACAAACGTCCTTCATTAACATGTAGGTCTATTTTGTTTTACATGTGACTAACTATATATCGTGGAATACATTATGTTGAATTTAACCGTGATGAATTATTTCATCCTCATTCATGTATTGTAATATAAATTCATAAGAATGCATGACAATTTTTAATGCGGTTATAGCATACGTTATCGTGTAGGCCCTTAGTATTTAAATGTAAATAATGCAGCGTGCCTTAAATGTACATACCTATGCTTTTCGTATATTGTGTATGTTCCTATTATCTGTAGTTTGATGTATTTCAATAAACATGGCTATATTGTGTAATTGTGATTTTTTTTTAATTTTTTTTTAAGAATACAAATAATCTGCATTACCATGTAAAGCCCATAGGGTCTTTATTATTCATACTGATCTAAGAATTCTATTTTTTGGAACTATTTTCAGGTAGTCATGTATTTTCCACATTATTGAGAACATTTTATCTTATTCTACAACTGTTTCATTAAGTTTTACTCAATTCTATGATTCAGATGCCTAGGGTTATCACCCCAGCACTCACCCTGTGTATGTGTGTATAGTGGTGTGTGTGGGTGTGTGTATTACACATTTGAACGAATAAAAAAAAATAATAATAATAAATAAAACAAGTGTATGCGTACGTTTGTGTATGTATGTGTAGTGTAGCATTATAAGGATAAAGCAGAGATTTTTAAGAAAACGCTGACTTTGGACCACTAGTCTAAGTCGTCACTACTTGCCTTTTTTGCTGAGCTGGGATGTGAGAGACGGCCTACATATACCGCCCCCCCCCCCCCTCCCCCGAATGCCTCTATAGAAGCAGGGGGGAGATCTGATGGTGGCATCAGATTTTCGAATTCTTACCAGGTTTTTTTTTGGAGGGATATGAAACTGTGCGCGAATTAAGGTCATGCGCGAATTGTGGTCACACGACCATACATCTATCCCCTCACTTTATACGCACACTGAAACTGATCATTTTAATACACACATGCCTACTTTTATTAATCAATCCACCTGATATAAAGTCAAAACAACGAAACAAAAAAATGCGTATATATCTTATCATTTTATTATTCACATGAAATTGTCATTAGTTTATATATCGTGCCTCTTCTTAAAATTCCAATCTGATCTTGCTGCTTCAAAAAAAGAGAGGACTACCTACATGTTCAAAGAGTGATATATATTTCATATGATACAAGGACGGAGCAATGATAACATTTACACATATTAGTAGAAAAAAAAGTCTTATTAGAATTCTAAAATTAACTGATCTAAAATTGATATACGCCCTGCTCACTAATGTACATATTATTTTGTTTAACCTCTTGATTTGCCTTTTCTTCTGGCTATTTGTCTATTTCTCTAGATTTTATATTTTATATCTATATGATATACTCTAATACTCTAATTTCATTTAAATATTCTCACAGTTTAATTTTCTATATTGGATGACATTGATAATGCAAAACCTTCTACCAAAGAAAAGATACAATCAAAAAGTAAAGCAGGTAATACACTCAATGATGATGAATAGGGAAAATGTAAAAGGCTTTTAAATAACGTGACATATTTGATTAAATCAAAAAATGATTGATGAATGGGAAAAACATTAAAGACTAAATAAAATAACGTGACATATTTGATTAGACAGGTCAAGTGCGTCTTTATTTCACAAAAGATTGAATGTTGAATCAAAAGTATACTGTTGGAAGTCTCTTTGTTACGTTGTACCAAGGGAAATCACGTGACAGTCATTTGCCTACGTCAGTCGAAGGCGGACAGGAAAACAACAACAATGATGATGATATTGCAAATACTTGATTACTTGTTAACACTGGTAAAATTTAGCTGTACATGATAGTATAGATACTAGATCAGTTTCCAATGATGTCCATCATGGCGTTATCACTAACAGGTTTACCTTTTCTCTTAAGTCGATTGAACAAAGTCATGTTTTGAAACTTCTGCAATTTCTCTATACCTAATAAAGCTACGGGTTCAAACCAAAGAGCAACAAAATTGCTGAAGAGCATTCCTTGGAAAGACATTAATCCGCGTTTGAAAACTCACCTTTTTGATGAATTCTTCGAGTAATTATGTTAACGTACACATTGTAAAGCGTTTTGAGAGGGCCTTTGGTCCTGAAATGCGCTATAAAAGAACGAACTATTATTATTATTATCATTATTCTCAACCCATGTTTAAATGGGTACCTGGCAAAGATAGCTGGGGTAATAATATTTGCAGGGCCCTCGGAAAGTACAAAATTGATGCTGATGAGACTTCCATGTGTAAGCAAATTATTATCATTTAAGAGAAATTTTAATTTTGTGCCCGTGCTATTTATTTGGAGCTGATAAAACGGACTATAAAGAGAGACACCACTTAATGAGTTTTAGGACATTCGTATTTTATCGATAAAATATGCCAGGAACGACTTTGATTTCAATGATTATTGTATCAATGATTATTGACCGTCAGTCTTGACGGGTAAACACTACAAGACCAAATAACGACGTGTCTCGACTTCATCATGATGGAAATAATGGCAAGTTTTTAACGAGGAGATCTTTGGAATTTTGTTCGGATTGTAAATAAACAGCAGATATCACCACCACTTCGCACTTGAGGAAGACTTTCAGCTCTCTGCTATCCTTTCTTGGACATCGATCTATTGGCGTCTCATAAGCCTCGTTCCGAGATGACGCGGTTAACCGTCTCAAAAAGCCGCTGCGGTAAAATAAAATGATGTAAAGCTCGTCTATAGGAGTGCTTCTCACATTTCTGTGTGTTAAAATATTCCGCTGCGTGTGCACACGAGGCTTTATGACGTTGACATGGGACTGTGTCAGCCGCTGCGTCAACCACTATGTCAACCACTGCGTCAGCCATTGACACGGTCTGTGATGCGTCAGTGACACCGTACTCGGAGTCAATGTAACATGAGCGAGGCAAATGCTGCGTTGAATTACCAGCGTATTCCCATTGCCTTCAAGGGCTCAATTACTAGCGCAAATAATGACGCAATCAAAATGACGCATGGAGCTCAACAGGCATAACACAGATAGGTGGGTATGCTTAGCAGTCGTTCTTTAGCAATTCGATACTTTTTTCCGTCACCGCCTTTCTCCGCCTTTCATTTAAACGCAGCGTGGTTTAAATCTCGCTGCAACCAAAGTTTTAGACCCGGTTGACAGGAGGCTTTTCGATGACGACCAGGCATAGAAATGCACAGAACAGGTCCGGGTCCAGTCTCAGACGCAACTTTTAAAAAGTAAGGTGCAATGGCCTAGCGCAAGGCTGCGAATTGGTCTGTAAATCGACTTTCGACGGAAAACTGGCGTAAACAGAATACACAAAGAAACGTTTATGTGGTGATTCCATGCAGATGCAGCCAGCATTATCTGTAGAGGCTTATTGTTCACTGCTCACTGTGACATGAATGTTATTGAACTGAATAATCAGTTGGTTTAATTCGTGGCAGTAGGAAAAAAAACGCTTCGTGTGCATCGGGCTTTAAGTTGGTTTACCACGTCAAGTATGAACGAGGCTCAGCGATCCAGGACTCAATCTTGGTTCACCCGCTGGAGCCAGGCTTTCACTTCATCCCGATGGTTCTGGACCCATCTGATGTTAGCCCTGGTCTGCTCTACGGCCTGGACCATAGCTCTGGCGCCCGTCCCTTGATCAGGGTGCAGTGATATAAAGTTCTGAAGCTGAAAACGAAAAAAGGATTCGCTAAGTTAATCAGGGCGGATCAAGGATTTCAGTTAAGAGGGGACAACAATGTTTGACAAGTAGTAAGCAAACAACTAACAGCAAAAAAGGGGGGAAAATCAGGATTGTTTTGATGCCGTTTGTTCATTTTACGTCGAATTCTCTGACGATCAAAACCAAAGTGTCATCACCTCAAAAGAGGGAGGGCACGTTTACACTTGTGTTCTTAAAGGTACTGCGTCCCATTTGCAGGCCAAAATAATGAAAAGGTTAAATTCCAACGGCATTTAAAAGATAATACTAATTTAGAACTTCCCTAAAAAAAAGGGGGGGGGCTTGAAAATCTCTTTAAGTCGGAAAACAACGACTATTAGTTGTCGAATCGACTTAAGAGCTATAGAGCCAGTAAGTAATAGTCTCATTTTTAGACCATTGTACCGAATGGTCATACGTTTTATGCTGCGCAAAGATTCAATCAGTTTAATATTGGCCATTACAAGAAGTGGGTTATTGATGTAGACAAATGCTTATGTACCCTTTACAGCTCATTTTATGTATGTTATTACCAAATAAGAAAAAAGCAAGTCAGTCACTCAATAGTGTCTGACAGTGAAGTCTAGCAAGTAAACGGGTTTCCTTGCATAATTTGAATATTAGGACACTGCTAACGTTTAAATTTCACAGATAGGACATACATGACATATTTATAATTCCTGCAAAGTTCTACAGAATTTGATGTTGGCTGTAAAAGGGACATATTATCTTTAAGCAGATTTTCACCACTACTTCCAGTCCCCCCCCCCCTCATAATGCCATTGCCCCCTCCCCCATCCCCTCCAATGACCGAACCCGTAGTACGCCACTAGAAAGAGGAATAAGTATTTGTTAAAATTACCTCTCTGAGTTGTGACTCCGTGTTGAAATGCGCCGTGACTTTTTTGATTAGGTTGGCAAAGTGAAATAATGAACTGCCATAGCTGGAAATAAGAAAAGAATAATCAGGAAATATATTTTCGAATTATAATCAATAACAATAAATAATTTATCAATAACAATTTGTTATTATTTGCCTAGGGTTGTGACAACGGCCCACCCGATAACTCTTTGTACAAGGCGAGTGAGACATATATTGTCACTGTGATGGATATCGGACTCGTAAGCCCAAACCCCGTGGGTATTTCCTCTAAACAAATAAATTAAAAATGACAGGTATATAGGTTAAATGCATAATAATAGTTACGTTTGTCTGAAGAATTCCCAATTAGTCTGGAAAAACCGCCACGCTAGATCGTATCCGACGGGATTTTTCGCCACGCTCACTACAACAGACCCCGCATCCTGAGATTTTATTCCGTCGATCGTCATTTCTAGATATCTGTAATAAAGCGAGAATAAAGGACTTTATTAGTTAAAGGTATCTGCAATATATAGGGTAAAGATAACTTGTCCTATGTTTTGTCATTTCTAGATATTTACAAGAAAATATGATAAACTTAATCCCTTTTTATAGTCAATTTCTTTATTATGTATAACAAAAATAAGAACAATGCCTGCAAATGAAAATAGGTAGTATAAACATAACTTACGAGGCGACTTTTAAAGATAAAGACCAGTTATGGTCATGCGATTGCATTGTGAAAGAAACGTTGTCGAATCGATCAAAAAAGGTTGATCATCTAGCATATAAGTATTGGTGTGTACTGCAAGGTTCTGGAATCATCAAAATGATAAGAAATTTGGTCCAGTCTTGGTAAAATTACTAGCACTGTACACAGAAATATGTATATGGGACTACGCACACGTGCGCGACACGTGCGTTATATCTATCAGGTCCAAATAGACATAATGATTTACTAAATATATCAATTAGTGGGCGGTTTCTCGGCAAAATTTGTATCATTACGTATTATTCAAAACATATTCTTTCACATGATTGGTAATAAAAGCATCCATTTCATTTTTTGAGAGGGGGGCGTTTCCCAAACTGGTCTTTACCTTTAATATATTCTAGGTAATTATTATATTTTGCTGACTATAGTAAGTTATTGGCACTCTAAAAACTAAAGTGTGCAATGAAATTTTAGATTTGTGAAGGAGTAATAGCGCTTTCAAAATGGCTAATGTCACGGCGCGGCCATTTTGAAAGATAGCCCGACTGTCAGGGAAAATGTACAGAGCGGCCATTTTGAGCGACCATTTCGAAGAAAAAAAAGAAGAAAAAAGGGGTATAACATACTTGCTGAGTATCCAGGGTTGATTGGCGCATGCCAGAGACTTCAGGAGTAAAGCCCGTTCGCTTGCGATGAGGGTCGATTCATACTGGTCGAATGCAAAGGACCATTCTGCATCTCCTCCCCCTGCGATAGCAGTGCAGTAGACGCTCTTCTTTTGGTCAGGTGGTATACTGCAGTACCAAAGAAAAGGTTAGATTTTGTTTTCCAATTTAATTTAATTCTTCTTTATTTCAAATTACATGAAAAGAGTATACAAAATAGACAGAAACTTTTTTTTGTTAAAGGACAAAAAAATTGACATAATCAGCACCTGATACAAAATACTTGCAAAAAGAAATGGATATAAAAAAATTAGAGTAAAAGGAAAAAAACTGAAAAGTAACAGCAGAATAAATTAATTGGTAAATTTAAAGACCAATGTCTAAGTTTGTATAAATATACATGCCGTATAGCAAAGTCTACGGTATACATGGTATGTTGTATTTCAAAATGAATGCAACGACTTGTAAATCATGTCGTATGTTTAGGGTAATCCGATATTTGTTCTGGACCTATGGCGACTTTAACTTTGTAAATCCAAGTTTTTTCCTCATTTCAAATACATTGGATTATTCCTCAGTTACACTCTAAAAGCCGGTGAGTAAAGGGTGCATAGGAAAAGAAAAAGTGGGTAGGTGGAGATGAGAAGTTAAATGGGCCCTGTTTCACAAAATTTGTTATCAATAACAAGTTTCAATAACTATTATAAGCTACAGAAATCGTCGCATTTGATTGGCAAATTTGTCATAGAAATGTAGTATTTTTTATTGTGACAAGTTTTATGAAATAGGGCCCTGGAGCATCTCCTGCACCCTCTAATTAGTAGCCTTGTTAATTGAAATTTAATTTCAGAGTAAGACCGCAGCCCCCCCCCCCCCCCCGATCTTCCCAATGCCCTCTCAATGGGTGGACACAAACTAGGCTGCTGCCTGTGCTTTCAAATGTTTCTAGGAAAAATACGGCTCTATAAATGCTGAGGATCTCTTTAAAGGTATTGGGTATCTTTGCCTCAGATTCTAAATAAAATCCCAGATTTAGCTAGCTCATGCTGCAATCGTAATTATAACCCTTTAGGTCAGTCAGGAATCCCATGACTTTTACAAGCCGATCACCTGTCTGATTATCAAGATATTTGTGATTGGAAATCGAAATTTTACAAAAAACGTTTTCCTAACGATTTTGATAACACTACAGTCTGTTGGGGTAAAACCGGTCACTCGAAGATCTTTATATTTTTTGAGGCACTTCATGATCATTTTGAAGCGCAATTTGTTTAGGGCTTCAAAATTGCACCATATCAAAAGACACTGATAAGAAGTAGGACCATGCATCTCAGATTTAACATTGTTAAACGATGCCTTTAAGAATGATATGACTTGAATTGATCGACTCTTGCAATAGTGTCTGCCCCGTTGCCCTCGGAGGCTCGGAATACTGAGCATGATTTTTTTTAAAGTTCGACTTACGAATTATAGGAGCTATTCCTCATCCAGGCTGCAAACAATGATGTTGCCGTGGAGATGCAGTCTGCGTTGCCATAGTTACATGCTTCCTGTATGGCAAGAACACGGGCCAATCTGTAAATAAATGAACAACAAAAATATCATCTTAACTCTCAACTGTGAGGTGCATTGCTCGAAACAAAATTAACCATGGATAAAAAAAGGTGTGGTTTACTCCAGATGCTTGTATCCGGGATATACGTAGAAGTCATTAATAATTTTATTTCCTTTAAGCGGCGAGACGACAAAAATAGTGCAGATCTCTCTATCCAATATGCATTGACAGTGACACTAAATATTAGAATACAGGAAATACATCTACGACATGGATATGCCAGTCTTTAATTTATGGAAAGATTTGACAACATGATGCTACCAGAGGCTGGTCTCGTGTTTTACGAGAGCGTTGTAAACTTTTCAAAGAACGAGAATCTGAATAAAATTCGCCGTACAGCCTCATTAGCGCACACGCTGCGGTCTGACTGTTGTAGGTCTGTTTAACCCATGTAGGAAAAAAGAATTCGTTTCGCGCTTTCGGAAATGAACTGGTAAAGTTCTTACTGTTGAAGGTGGCCACTGTTTGAGTTATCCCATCCGACTGCAAGGTAAAAAGGTTCCACAAGCCTTGACATGTACGTCTGCAAAATGTAACGGACAAACAGTGAGAACAATGAGTGTGAAACTTGATCACAAAAGCTACATTGCCTAGCGTCATTGTCCTAGAATTTATTGTCCAGATTAAGAACTTCAACATTTGGAGGTGTCGTGTTATAGTGGTACATTCACTTGAAGGACTCTCAAAACCAAGGGTTAAGGGTTCGAATCCCATCGCGGCACTATATATCGTCCTTTGGCAGGACATTACTCCATATTTGCTACTCTCCACCCAGGTGTCAATGGGTACCTGGCAATGGCTGTAATTGAAGGACCGTCAGAAAGAACATTATTGGCGACGATGAGACTTCCTTGTGTGAACAAGAATATTACTTATACTATTTATTGCACGAGGCCTCTACCTAACCGTTACCTTAAACATAAATGAAAAGCCCAATATGCAATTGCATGCCTAACCTTAACCGTATACCTTACACGAAATAAATTAAGCCCAGGGCAATAGGTCTCCGAAGCAGATCGTCTATACAAAAGATGCTAACATAGTCAACATATAAAGGCTCAATCGTTAGAATATGACGCGGTAAACTGCCGCAAGAAACCCGCCGCTGTATTTTTATGTGTAAACGAATCATCTGCGCGCAACAAAGGTCATGCGCGGATTCACTGAGCTCTGTGTTATAAGCATGTGACGCGTTTTACACTTAACGTCAGCATGGAAGGAAAAAACCGCTGCAGATTTGCCGCGTCGTATCGTTTCTGTACAAGTCATTAAGTGTTTAAACTTTATACAGTTATCTTTGTTCTGTTCGTTGTGTGGTATTAATCGTACGGTTCTGTATCATGCAGGGATCAATTTAGTGACACTAACTTCAAAATCTCCATAGGCTGACGCCCTGGACAGCATGAGTTTGATGTAACCCAGGGCCTTGGTGGCGGTCAACCAAGGAACGCAGTGCCTCTCCTCGGCTAAGTAGCGGGTCAGGTTGAGTGCGGTGGTGTAACTCAGGTCGCCCGCCCTCGCTAAGTTCAGGGCGTCCCCGATCAGAGCTACACGATTCGAGATGGGGATGGCCTGCATGTTAATCAGGAGAGATTGTATTCGAATTTGGTATTTATCCATAATTAAATGTCACGATTGTTCAATATAGTATTGAATGCTGCGGAGTTCAATTTAACAAATTTAAATGATTATTAGAACAGACTTTTTCAGAATTTCCACGATTGATGTTTTATTTCGCCGATGTCGGAGACCAATTAGGTTGAAATTTAAAAAACTGCATGCTCCGCGGCATTCAATATTATACAAGTAATATGAAGTCGAGTGCATCGTCCCATAGTCCAGTCTGGAAATCACCGAGGAGCTATAGTTTTAACCGTGACCTGGAAAAGTAAGCAATGGTTACCTGGTGATCTGTGAGGAGTTGAGAAATCAGCAACTGCCAATTTTTTTGATCGTAGTTGACCCGATAGTATCCATAAGCGTTGATGTTCACCAGAAGCCACTCGTCTGCTAAAGAACCCGCCAGAGGTATAGTAACTGAACAGAAGAATCATATAACCATGAATAATGATAGCTTTAATAATATTGATAATTATGAGAGAAGAAGAAGAAGAAGAAGGAGCACCATTTAGGGTTGTTCCAGTTGGGTTTAAAAAGTGGGTACGACCAATTGTACCTCTCCCCAAATTCTCGTATCTCTGGACAGGTAAGTTGTCTTGCATTATTTTAAAAATGAAGAATTTTTTTGATAGATACCATTATTTGATGCATACATAAAGTGACATCTTTACTTTTGTTCAGCGTCTGGTAACACAACCCCAATCACGAACATGGTTATGACCATTATTCTGGTTAAAGAACATTGAATTAATGATTTTCATATAGTTAAGTCTACATACATGAAAAATTCGCCAAATTATTCCATCTTACCAGGCGAGTTGGGTGTAAGCCATTGAAGGGGAGGACTCTCGAAGTTTGCCTCCTGTTTTGTAGTATACCTCAAGGGTATATGCCATTGATAGCTGAAAATAATGTCAGAGCGGGTTAACAACAATAGGATCAATATTACTGGCTTGTTCAGATATGGCGCTAGACTTTGATTGGGCGTATGGGTGAGATGGCGAACTAAATTCGCCTAATAAGTCAGCCGGATCTTTTCGTACAAGCAAAAGGATATACGAAAAAAGGGGTTTCAGATTTTCAATTTCGCCGACAAAATAATATACCCCCAAAAATTATAAAAAGGTGAAGTACAAAAACGACATTCACAGAGTTTCAAAAACATGAATTACAATCATAGAGTCCAATCATCAGTATAGTCGTTCCGACAATAGGGGGGGGGGGTAACATACACATTTACAACGAAACTTGAAACTGGCCAACCAATTTAGCCAAAATTTTGCTCTTTAATATGTTAAGATTATTTATCACCCCACAAGTAATTACATGCATGGGCAACAACAAAAAATGAACACAACATTTTGAACAAAAATCTGTAAATCACTTGATGAATGACATCGTTATTGTAAATACCCAAGGTCATCATAAGTAGTTGTAGTGTTTGCTTCCGGATCAATGAGGAAGCGACTCTGATTGGCTGAGAAGGACGGATTAGCTGATGAATATTCACGAGTCACGTGGACGATGGGATAACCCATTTGTAAGGTCCATGTGTCCATGACTTGCTTGACATCAACGCCCGAACCATTTACGGCCTAAAAAGAAAAAGATATATTAATAAAATAAATAAAAAAGACAAGTAATGAAATTATAATGTTGACTCATAACCATGACATGGTCTTCTAAGAGAATGACTGTTAACGCTGGGTAAGTTGCCATTATTATAATCATTATTTTTGTGTTATTATTTAATATTTTGTCTTTTTTTCGTAAACAGTTCTTGTTTCTTTAAATGTGTTAAGTTGGTTTGTAAACATAATTATCTAAGATGTCTTACTCCAAAATTTGACAATCGTGGATGTCAACTCTAGACGCGTCACATTTTTTAATCAAATATTATTTGCTATCAGGATAAAAGAAAAATTCTATAAAAATTGGTGTTCATGAAATATTTCGATCAAATTAACATTGCGCAATAATATATTAACAATCGTGGATGTCAACTTTAGAGGCGTCATATTTTTGTAATCAAATATTATTTGCTATCAAGATAAAAGAAAAACCCCAATGAAAAATTGGTGTTTATGAAATATTTTGATCAAATTAACATTGCGTCAATAGTAATATGATTCAGTCAAAGACTTGTCTATAATATCTATTGCACACGAAGCGTCATTTACCTAACGCAAGACTGCGTCAGTGACGCTCCATGCGAGGCTGGCATCGTCAACAACAAAAAGCATAATGAGCAGTGTAAAACAAATTGCATTAAATTAATGGCGCATGAGCCAATTACCTTCACAGATTCGATTAGCGCAGGTAATGACGCAATGGAAGTGACGCATTGTGTTCAACGGGCATTATACATGAGGTAGGTATAGACGTACATACGGTACTTACATCGGTAAAGCAATTCCACAGGTCCGTGTTCACCGCATTGCTGTATTGATATCTCTCCACATAGATCTGCATGAAGTAAAGTTTTGTACAGCACATTTTAAAATTAAAAACAAATATCAGAATCAATTTAGCTTTAAAATACATTCTTCTTTTTTTGCAGATTGTATCATCAATACTAAATATGCATTTATTCTGTTTGCATCAGCTATGATAAATTCATTCTTTTGTCAAATGACAATACGGTTACGTTTTACAAATACATGTTGTGAATACGTCTTGTTTTCAATGTGACGTGATCGGTAGTGATGGAGCTAGTACAACTCCGGTTTACGTAGCCGAGCATCCGAATCTTATTTATTTAATTGTCATGATGTAAAATGATTCTGTTATTCGGAAAGGGGGAAATTACGAACAAGAATCAGAGATGGTGGCATGTCTCCGATTGATCCATGCGATTAACCCAATCTAATGCGCATGGAAAGCGTCGTGCAATATTATATCCATAATTCAGAGAACTTTTTGTTAAATAAAAAAGAAAATTCCAACGGAAATCTAAAAGAAAACTGCACATACCTCTAATCCTCTCCTAAACTCTGTTTCACCCAAGAAATCGTGTATCATTCTTATGATTGACGCTGCCTGTTGGTGTAAACGAACAAGATTTATATGCATTTATAGATTTTTCTTGAGAGAAGGAGAAATCTGAAAACGTTTTCAAATTTATTTTCAATAACCTCTTCTTCCTTATAATCATCATCATTTTGTTGTTATTATTGTAATTAGTATCATCATCATCATCATCATTATTAGGAGGAGTAGTAGTAGTAGTAGTAGTAGTAGTAGTAGTAGAAGTAGTAGTAGTAGTAGTAACATTATTATTCCTCTTCCTCCTCCTCTTCTATCATTTTTCTCACTTCTTCTTTTCATTGTATCTTTCATTTTGTCCTAACTGTACTTTTTTCTCTATCATTATCTCTTTCATCACCTTTCCCTATATACTATCCAAATCCACCTCCCTTTTTTCTCTCTCTCTTGCTCTTGCCCTAATAGTTCCTTCCCCCTCTCTCGTTCCCTCTCTCTCATTCTCTCACTAAAATCCAATTGCACTACATCAAATTTCGGTCTCCCCCATTTCCACCAAAACAACAGTTCTCTACCTCGAAGCTACAAGGCAATTTCATTAAAGGAATTGCTTTCTCAACCTGAATGTGTTTTTTGTGTCAATACTTTTTGTACTTTTGGACGCAACTGAATAAACGGCGAAAGGTCATTTACATCCGCTGTACATCGACATCTCGATAGATTGCAGAGATTTACAGGCTGTTAGAAAAACATGAAATTCGTTGAAATCAATCGCATTGGCACTACATATTGTAAAACAAAAAAGAGAGAGCAGTACGTAGTTCCCGAGTCTTCCCTTCTTGCTTGCACACGATCTTCTAAATTGGAGGTGATAGTCACACAAATCTGTTCCCCCTCGATCATGGTTTAATTATTGCAGGCTTTTAATTGTTGATGTGCCCTCCCTCGTTGAATATGTGGTTAGGCAACTACCACCCCTGCCCTTTCACACACACACACACACACACGCACACACACATTTCCCTTAAATTTACACTGCCAGCTATACGCTGCTAATGATTTATATATTTACATCAAACAACATATACAGATATCTTAGCAAACACTAGAAAATTACTTTTCATATTGCCTGTGTAAATTCCATATTTATACAATGTATAGGCCTATTTTTTCACAAAAATACTGGGTAAATTGGTGAATTGCCATTTGGTCTACACCCAGCCCGTCTACTATCCACATGGTATTATTATCACTTCGTCGACTTATCTTTTGGTCTAATGACCATTTAGGCTAAAAGCCATTTAGTCTTATTTACAGTCGGTCTAATTCTCAGTTTGTCAAAAGCCCATTTTGTATACTATCCATAAGAATTAATATTATTATTATTTATAATTATTAGACCTAATGGCTAGTAGACGAAATAGGCAAAGTTTACGCAATACATTTAGAACCCGGGACTCTGTCGATCACCTTATCGTAGACGATAGCATCATACTGTTGGTTGATGTCGTCTGCAGTGAAGACATCAACGATGATTGGGCGGGAAGTCGGAGCGGCGTCCGCTTGAAGAGCGTCGAACAAATTCGTCGCAGCAAACTGGTCTCTCTGCCGGGAAGTGATAGTAGTGATTTATTGATAAGAATTGTGACTAAATTGAATCGTATTTATTTCAGCCTGTTTTATTTCAGCCTGTTTTAACCCTCGTAATCGCAGTGTTCTCAGCTCGAGGCTTCCCTGAGGAAACAAAATTAATTTTCCACCATTATTATTATCATCATCATCATCACCTATTGTAGAAAAGTGGAAAATATAAATAATTTTAATGTTCAGACAAAAGATTTAGCCATTTTTTTGCTATACATAATGTTTATTCTTGCTAGGAAGAAAGCAAAGAAAACTGAAATCCCGAAGTTGATTTGAAGTTGCGTATTTATTTTGACTTCAAATTACATTTTAATGATATATAATTATTAAATATGACAACTGAGCCCCGTATCCTGAAAATGCTTTTATGTCAGTAAAACGATGTTAAGTGTCATAACGAATCTAAATTAGGACAAGTCATTGGTTAATATCTGCGCAAAGCTGTCTGCGTTCGCGTAAAGTTGAAGGGACTCCTGCCCGAGCACCATTAGTTTGAGTTTGTTATGACAGTTAACATCATATTCCCCAAGATAAAGGGTAGCATCCCGCTTAGCATCGTTTTCAGAATACAGCCTCTGAACATTACTGTGTCGAATCTTTCAAAGATGCTGAGCTATCCTTAATTTATAAAGTGTCAAAGAAGTTGATCGATACAATTTTAAATTTTTTAAAAGTATGAATTTTATCTATCAAACATAAACCATATTTAGTGTCACAATCATGAAAAGAGGTTAGATAAAATTAAACCTATTCCAACTTTATAGGGCCATATTCTAAAAAACGATGGTACCTTCATTAGTAAAAACGATGCTATTTGTCATCAAAAACTAAATTTGCGCGGAATCAACCAATGTAACTACTTATGAAAATTAACATCATTTCAGTGATTTTACTTACATAAAAGATAAAATCGTTTTCAGAATACCACCCCTTGGCAAGAGTGTATGTCCTAACTTACCATACCCCAGTCGGGTTCTGTTATGTTGGTGCCGATGATAGAGGCGTAGGTGGCAAAACCTTCTTTTAACCACAGATCGTTCCACCACTCGAATGAAACTAGATTACCAAACCACTGCAAGAAAACAAGAAAGTATACAACTATTGACTGCTTTGAAGGGCACGGTTAAAACTATTGCCCAAGGTGATCTCGAAACTGTACAGCGCAGTCTCGAGATCACCGAGGAACTATAGTTTTAACCTAGACAAGAAAAAGTAGCAGTCATTATGTGTTTGTTTACCGCATCCCCCGTGTCAAGTCTCAATAAAGAAGTAAGCGGTGATAACAAAATATTCCTGTTAACATGTTGTTGTTGTTTTTGGGTAAAAACAATTACTCTTTTAAAAATACTGCACGTATATACGGTGTTGTTTTGTTTATCTACTTTTTAATCTAGAGAATTGACTGGTTTACTAACATTTCAAATTCTATGCATACTTTTTAAACAAAGGTTCTTCTTGATATCCTAAAAGCTTTCCCAAGGCTTTCCCGGCATAGCAACACGTAATGTATGCAGACTAGATTCCGGGTATTGTAATTAATTAACTACATGTAAATGGATTACCCATCACTACGTACCCTGAAAAGAAACATCCACAAATTTGAATATGTTATAACCGGTCTATTTACGCGACCGGAAATTCTCGCCTGAGACACCGCCACTCAAGTGGGGGAAGGGGGGAGGGGGCATGACCGACCTGATGGGCAAGCTCGTGGGCCAAAACGTTGTTAATATCCTGGAGGTTGGATTCTGACGACTGTCCAGGAGTGTAGAGGAGATAGGACTCTTTGAACGTCATCAAACCCCAGTTCTCCATTGCACCTACACCAAAATCGGGTATGGCAACCGTATCTGAAGAAGACAAAGTAGACAGTGGTAGTTCCAATGGGTATATGGGGCACGTCGCCCCCCCCCCACCAATCCAAATCTGGCATACCATATATATGAAGTAACAACAACTTGGCCTTGATTTTTCAGTGTCTCAATCAGCAATATTAGACACCAAAGGGCACCTGGAAAAATGTGCAAACCTATCTTTCTCTCTTCTTTTTTTTCCTTTTTAAAATTATTTCAGAGAGTATAAAATGCACCTACAAACATAATTTCTTTTAAATGTTTCCCTCTGTAGCGTTTTTTTCTCTCCCTTTTCAATTTTGCCACAACCTACCCCTGCCCCTCCCCATCCCCCTTTTTATTGGGCAGAGAATAGTGGATCTGCAACTGAGATATCTTGTTGATTCTCAAAAACAATACAAAAAAAGTATAAAATAGCAACAACAATAATTTTTTGGAAAACATTATAAATTCGTATGTGTCCGCTACAATAATTTTAACAAGAATATGCAAACAGTGATGACAGGAGAAAATAACGGCCACCAACGTCATGTGAACGTAAATAATAATACGCGAACCACTTTTGCTGCCCCTTCCTCAACCCCTGTCATTTGGTTTCAAGAACTCTTATATTTCAACTGAATTTATTCAGAATATCATTCATATCAAAGTCCGATTTTAAAGATATAATATTTTATTGATCACCTGCAAAAAAAAGAGGTGTAAAATAGGAAATTCACAGGACTAAGTGTCAATCTAAAGACTTAAATACCAAGATTACATTCAACATGACTTTTACTTTTAGGTCGATGTAGCCTGTTTAGCTTTTATATATTTTAACTTGAACTGAGGTTTTCATGCTGAGTTTCTCAGACTTCAGCCATACAAATGAGACCGATATAATAATACCTGAAATTACTAGAATTGACCGAAGAAACGATTTAATGAGGGTAACTTGGTGCTTTTCCCTAAGGTTCATAATTCAGAAACACAAATATATGTGCTTTATTATGGGTTGTGAATATTTTTCAATCTGCTGTAAGTTCTACATTATGATTTCCTGTTTTGGTATATGTTTTGTTTTTATCTAGGGCTCTCCAGAACAGCAGGGTTATTTCAAACTGAAGACGCATCCCGAATAAAATAAAACTGAAAAAACAAATGAATTAAATAAACAATAAATGGTCTAAACAGGCTATTCCTATCTCTATTTTCCAAGGTGACCCGTCTTACCCATTTTGGGGAGCGGAAACTTGGTACTGAAGTAGAAATCGAAGTAATCCAACATGGCGGCTCCTTTCTGCAGAGCATATTGCACGGAAGACATCGCCTCTTCTCTTGCCCAGATACTAAACTGGAAAGAGGATAGAAAATAAGAATTATAATTCATGTAGTGCTTCATGACATTCATGGCTAAAAGTTTAATGCAGATGAAAATAAATGCAAAGAGCTCAAACAATGTTAACGTATTCTTTGCGAATAGCATACAAGTTGTAGAATCTGTACTGAATTATTCGACCTACCTTCCTCTTTTTTCTCCCTTTCCATCCCCTGTCTCTGTCTCCGCCTCCCTCTCTCTCTCTCTCTCTCTCTCTCCTCCTCCTCCTCCTTCTTCTTCCCCTCCTTCCCCTCCTTCCCCTCCTTCCCCTCCTCCTCCTCCACCACTACCTCCTCCATCTCTCTTTCATTTCCTTTCCCTTACTCTAAGTAGCGGTATTTTGCAATTCACGTCGGCTTGTTCATTTTCGACCTTCGGTCTATCCAAATCTGTCCGGGTCACTAATACGAAATTGCTTCGGACATTTTCCCTTCGAATTAAGAGCACAATTATTTTCGTCTGTCGGAAAGTTCAAACAGTCAAAGATCGGAGAGAGGTTACAGGTAGACAGATTTTAAACCATCTGTGGTTTGAACTTTAGGTGCACAATATCTTGTAAGCAGATGCTCTCAACAAATGCTGACAACTTTTTTTTTCTCTCGAGTTGATCCCCTAGACAATTTAGGGATAATAGCAAACTTTTAACCCTAAATATCGACTTTGTGATGTTTGACCAAATCATCGCAGTTTCTATTAAAGGTATTTCAAAATCAAACATAATTATCACCTATGATAAAGATGAATACATTATGTTAGAACAATGATCGCTAGACATTCAAAAAAATCAAACATTGGGTAATTTAGCATAGCCTTTATTGTGCAAAGATGGCAACGACCTATATTACTACAGTCAACCCGGCGTTAGTGACCACCTGTCTACCAAGACCACATTTTTGGTTTCCCTTGAAAATGGTTTCTCATTGAAACATGTACTAAAGGAACCTGTACATAAAGACCACTTGCCTTTAAAAAACACTTTTTGTGTTACTCTTGGGCGGTCGCTGTAGACAGGTTTGATTATACTATAATCCGAACATGATTTGTGAAGGCAACACGTACGATGAGATAGTGACATTCCCCTTTGATTGGTTTCTAGAAAGCCTTAGCGATCATGTTTAGGGTGTATAGTTATTTGCTAGTACACGCTTGTCGCAACGAACTGGAACAGTCGTTGAGAGAACACTGATTTTGTTATATCGGTGGTGGTGGTTGGGGTGGTGGTGGTGTTTGGGGTTGGTAGGGGGCGTATCGGTTTTACTGGGTGAGTAGATCGCGAGATAACTAGATCATCGAGGACGGGGTGAAGGGTCGTCGTCTTAATTTGTTTCAAATTACCTATGATGCCCTCCTGACTAAGTATTTTGGGGGACAACAGAAGAATTAAAGGAAAGGTTGACTTCCAGATCAACTTTGTGGGTTTTCTAATTCTAATTAACTCCTATGTGAAAGGATATCACAATAGTTTTAAAAAATTATATTTATTCTTTTTCGAGGGACTTTATTTGTTCATATCATAAAATAACAGCTATTTAAAACAATTAACACAATGTTTAATGTTGTAGTAAAAAAAAAATAGCACTCTCAAATTCTAAATATTACTGAAAATAGTTTCAACTTTGCACACAATGGAAGTAACATCAACCAGTCAGAAAAACTTCTAAACAGTTTGCCATCACTTTAGGCACGATTCTGGAATGTTTTGATGGAGTCTTAGGACAGAACTTCATTCGCTCTGTCATGATATCGTAAGGGGTCACAGCCAAAGGCGTCCATCTTGTTTTTCTCCTATACTGCACACACGAAGATCCCAGGGGAAGGATCTTGAGTTGCAAAGAGTAATAAGCCACAGGATTTTTTTGGGGGGAGGGGGGTAGGTGGTGGGAGGAGTGGCGTAGCGTCGATAGAATTGTTGACGGGGGGGTTACTCTCATCCGTTATTGGGGAAGGCAATGGTCTTAGAATGACCTTGTTATGAGATAACAAGGCCAACGATTGTATGGAGGTAGTGGAAAGGGGTTCTGTCATCTTCTCCCCCCCCCCCCCCTCCTAGTTTTCCCCCGCCCCACCTCTCCCTTTTATTTCTCACCCTTTTCTGGGTTTTTTTCTGCACTTTAGCCATTCAAGAGGGGGGTAAAAGGCCCATGTGCCCTCTATAGCTACGTCGTACGGTGCCACGTACGCGGGCTATGAGCGCAAATGAGAAACGAATTGGTATTGACAGGATCGGAATTTGTATAAACATGCGACCATTCCTATATTGAAGAAAGCAAAAGCGATAAGCAAGTACAAGTACATGAATTCAAAGAGGAATGGAGAGAAAATATAATCAGTATGTGAATTTGTATGTTCTTTACTCATGGAGAAATTAAGAGCATAATTGATGGAGTACATTATAAGCCAGTCGTGTGGTAGATACATTTGATTTGATTTGATTTATTTATTTCTGTTTGATTTTCTTTTGCATTTTTACAAATATATAACAAACAAAATATTGCAAATTTTACATATTTTAAAAGAATATAATGGCCGAGTTCGGGGATAGGTCAAGTTCCAATTCTGTGATAAATAACAACAGCAACAAAATTTACTATTTTCAAGTGCCTTTGCATGCCTTAACTTGCTGATGAGGGGGGGAGGTATTTTTCCACTTAAGATGTACTTAATGTAAGCCAACTTTAGATTTGCCGGGGCACATGACCCATTGCCCCCCCCCCCCCCTTCTCGGATATGGCAGTGAAACAACCTCCAAAATCTTTCTCTCACTATGCTGTAAAGCCATTAGATAATAATGTAACAGACAGCTGTTATCTGTTTCGATTTGTTTTTTATAAAACTAATATATAATAGGAGCCTTCGTTTGCTGGAAATGTAATTGTTTCGTAGGAAGATTAAAGAGCAAACTAAAACGTCGCATAGTAAAATATCAACGTAAACAAGAACGCTTACCTCTATGTTACCAGACGTAATCACTGTTTCTTTCTTGAAGTCGCAGACGACATAGCAGACTGTGTAGCTCGGCATCGGTTTCGTTCTCTCGAAAGTCGACCTGACCCATGACCTTTCACCTTCTTCGATCGTCACATTCTCCGTCCGCATCAGCGGCATGTTGCTAATGGCAACGTAGCCGGGCTGGTGGACGAGGGTGATGTTGTATGTGGCTTTCATGGCTGGCTCGTCAAAGCAAGGAAAAGCCATGCGGGCGTTGGTGGGCGCAAAAAAGGTAGCGGCTAGGTATCTAACAATGGGCGATATACAAAAAAAAAGATTTCAAGGTGATTATTGACCATTAATCATTCATGATTAAGAAAGTGGTACAAAACATATTCATTGACTTGGTCTCCGATTCCAGACTGTAGTTTTCTCCACGATCATTTTCAAGAGCAGGAACCCGGACAACAAAATGTTGCCAAGTTTGTCGACATCATGGCACAATATTCACCGAGCACAACACTAATGCACCCTCAACATTTGGTGACTAATCTAAGGTTAGTCGTACAGCTTGAAAATTTGACGAAAGAAAATTTGAATCAGCTCTGTTACATAACCACTAGCTCTCCCACTATAACCACCATCTGTACACTCCACCATAGCTTCCTGGTGACACCAAGAATTCGTCGTCAATTACGATCCCTCCAAAGAGAGGTTCTTCACCATTTCATTTCTTCTTCTGACGGTTCTATGATTTATTATTTATTTCAATTTTTTCTATATTATACCCACCGCAGCTAAACTATCATCAAGCAGATCTTTACCAGGGCCCATATTGTAAATTGATCCCAAATCGATCGCAAATCCACCTCCAATTAATCATCCAAAAAGTTTTGGATCATCGGTATCTCCATTATTTCGTTGCCATTTTTACCAAATTTAATATGATAAATTGAGAATGATATCAAAATCAGCTTTAACAAGACGGGGTATTTCTCGATTGGGTGTAATCCATATTAGAGACGTTTGTCTCGCACAAGATTTCAAGATCAAGATAATTTAGGATGCGCCTAATTATTTGGTATTTCCCTATCTGCTCTCGGATGAAGATTTACAATGGAGTTTTCCATCAGCGTTGGATGATTTTCGCCAGGCAATGTGAGAGGGCGTATAGTTACTGGTCCTCTCTTGGTATTTTTGCTCTGTTGGATCGACGATGGCCTGTGGCGTTGGGATTATGAAATTAATAACGTTAGTAAATTATTATTAGTAAATTGTAGTAAGCTATAATACTTGTTTACCTGGTTTCTCCCGCGGCCGTTTTGTACGAGCTCCTGTAGAGTCCCAGGAGCCCTTGATCTACAAGCTCGGCCCCGAATCCAATAGTAAACCGGTACACCTCTCCTGCAACCAACCATCCATCCAGCTCCGCCACGAGGTACTGATTCTCTGCGTGCGTCCAAGGCTCCTTCAAGAACCCCGGAACCACGACACCTTGCCCCGTCACCGCTTCAAGCGAGGCGGTACCCGCGATCATATCCAACTTCTTCACGTGCAGCAGGATGAGGTTCGTCGTCCTCGTGCACGTCATCGTCACCCGTATCGTCCCATTAAACCACTGCTGGTCATCGATGTCGATTCGGTTGTCGAGGTCGTAGTGAGTTGGTATGAGGTCCCCGGGGAGGCGGGGTTTGTCCCATGACGCCAAAGGTGCCGGGCTGGTGGACGTAGGTGGAGGCCTACCGGTTGTCGAGATATGAGTGGTACTTTCATGCTTCTTGGTGGTTGGTTTCGGAGTAGAATGGTGACCGGTGTTGATTATGTGTGGTGCGTTCGTTACTTCTGAGGTCCTATGTATACAAACAGGATTAAATTAATGTTTAAGGTTAAAGATAAAGACCAGTTATGGTCATGCGATTGCATTGTGAAAGAAACGTTGTGGAATCGATCACAAAAGGTCGATCATCTAGCATATTTAAGTATTGGGGTGTACTTCAAGGTTCTGGAATCATCAAAATGATAAGAAATTTGGCCCAGTCTTGGTAAAGTTACAAGCACTGTACACAGAAAGATGTATATGGGACTACGCGACACGTGCGCGATATCTATCAGGTCCACATAGATATAATAATTTACCAATATATCAATTAGTAGGCGGTTTCTCGGTAAAAATTTGTCTGATCACGTATTAGTCAAAACATATCCTTTCACATGATTGGTAATAAGAGCTTCCATTTCACTTTTTGAGAGGGGCGTTTCCGAAACTGCTCTTATACCTTTAACAACTAACGTTTTGGGATTTATACCACAAAATGTATATCACATGCAAGTGCTTCGAACAGCAAATTAACCAAGAAAAACAAATCAAGAATGAAAAGAAAACCTAAAAAGATTGGTCGTTATATTTGAGGAAGATCAGTAGCAATATAGGCTTGTTTTCAAAACATGCATTGGTGTAACCAAAACAAATGGTCTCTCTTTAGAATATGGACTCCAATTTGTTCAGTGTTTCCCGCATCAAGTAATCGTCCAAGAAATTGAGTTAACTGCAATGGACCATGCATGATTCTGAAAATAACATTTTATGTCAACGTCTAATTGGAACATCAGACTGACATGTAAGATAAGATCTGGAGAATTTGTCTGCCGCTGAGTTCAATTGACCTTTGACCTCGCTACAGGCTTAGGCAAATACATGAAGTTCATGTGTAGCTGTGTTTAGAGGCAACAGGGTGACACTGATACGAAGTGGGTTACGTCCCAAGAGACCACGAGCGTCACTCAGCTCGAGATTGCCAAATATCCCGCTATTTCTGATTTGGGAAATAATCCCGAAGTTACAAATCGCTTCTTCATCAGCTCGAGACTTGACCTCGAAACTTGAAACTCGAGCTGGAGAAATTAGCTCGAGATATTTTGCTCAGCGTTCACGCATAGTGCGAGTCTTCGGGCTGGTGAAAACGCACCGGACAAATATCGGGATATCTTGCAAACTAGCCCAAGATATTTTGGGATGATTATCTCGACAAAATATCCCGCTTATTGCAACTTCGGGCTGATGAAGGCGCAAATTATCCAGATAATCCATCCGGGATAGTTCAAAAAGCGGAATATTTGGCAATCTCGAGGATGAACAACAGATTGATTAAGCAGAATGGAAGGAATTAATGAATGACAGCATAATATATAACATAATGAAGATGATGTTGAGAGGGATAATGATGGTTGTACTGAAAGAAATATATACAGGGATGAAAAACTGTTATGAAAAATATTAAGAGGTTGACACAGAAACCTCACCTGAAAATAGCATATTCTGATAATTACATATTTCTGTTGTACTTTGACTTTAAATGAATAGAGGGGGCAACAGGATTTCATTTAAAACCTGAACTAATTTAGTTCAGGTTTTCCGATACCTGAATCTATACCATAATCATAATCCTATATCTTTGATGAAAATAATAAACCTAGAGCCATAATAATTGCCGTCGAAGTAAACGTCGGGGTGCCTCCGCGGGGACCTATGCCTAAATCTCATTGTAAAACACAGTCGTCACTTGCCATTAGGGACTTTTAGATTTGCACGTCGACATAGTGGACTGCTACGTGTGACGTCCTTTTAAGGCACAAGGCAATGGCAGTGTCTTAAAAGGACGTCACATGTAGCAGTCCACTATGTCGACGTGCAAATCTAAAAGTGCCTATTTTCTTTTCAGGCCCCACAGAGGGGGAAAAACCACTCTTCAAGATCAGAGTCGATAGCGTAAATGCATCCAACTGGGAAAAACGTCAATGTTGCAATGTAAATCGATTTTATGCGACCGCTCTTCTCCCTCAGGCTCGTGCCATGTTATTTTGCCAATTTTAATGGCAACCTGTAAGGCAATTTGAGGTAATAAAGTGCCTCAATAGCATGTTTACATCAAGAAGGTACGATGATTACAACTATTATGATCATTGATAGAAAGCACTTGGTGTACGATTATAGATATCAATATTTTGCGTGTTTACTTTCTCCAATCTGCAATGTCACGTTAGTATATAGTGGCGTGAACTGACGATTAATTACTGGTTGGAGAATGGGGAATATGCGACACGATTTCTTCAAGAAATAAAAGAATCATACATATTTTTAGGTTATTACTATTAATCATTCATTTTGGAAAGGAAGTGGTTGCTTACCAGATTGGCCAAGGAGGGATTAAACCTCCCTGCGTGGTCACTGGCAGGTGGTTATCTCATCTAATCAGCTCTCAGTAACAAAAGAAACGGGGGACCATGGGGGATAAACGGGTACCGCTTAGGCATTGTTGGCTATATAGCGGGCGCAAAAAGCTACAAGTAGTGCAGTCCCGCCTTAAACTCCTGGAATAGTTATAAATGGGTACCGGAAAGGAATGAAAATCCCTTGAATTTATAGCCAGGTATGGTTTGTGGACTGCACCGTATGTATCCCTTGGGAAGCATTATGTCCGCGATATCATATTAATGTAAAAAAAAACTATTTTTATCATCAGCACTAGAGAACTCGGCAAGGGAATAGATATCATCATGCTGTCATGAAATTATGTTGATTTTGTGTTCACTAAGATTAAAATTTGTGGCAGATATTTGTAACATCACCCCTGTACTGGTTATAACTTTGACGTACGCAAACTACGACCACTTTCTCTTTGTAATTGCCATCTCCATTTCATATTATATCTCTCTTTCTCTCTCTCTCTCTCTCTATTTCTCTTTCGTTCTCTCCCGTTTTCATTTCTGTATGTTCTGTCTAATTGTTATGGCCTTTTCTTTCATTCTCTCCCTCTTTCTCTGTCTTTCATGTTCTACCATCTCTTTTATCAGTCTCCCCCCCCCCCCCCTCATCCCAAATCACCCTCTCTCTCTCTCTCTCTTTCCTTCTTCCTGTTCTCCTTTTCTTTCTTAATTCTATTTCTCTTTCTCTCTCGTTTCTTTCCAATTCGACTCGCCTTTCAGGTTTCACACTGCGGTTCGCACATAATAGGCCTCATATTGATTGCAGATACATTCATAAATAAACTCCTGCATAAAGGAATTTGGGGCCTTCTTTCCTTTATAATATTCTATTACTATTTTGTTCTTAGTAATTATGCTTTGTGCACCTCATTTTGAAAAAGTCTCTACAATGTCGAAAAACATATAAATGTCATCACCATGATTATTACAATAAAAGATATCTATATAATACTGCTCATATTCAAAACATGTCAAAGTAATAATAAATAACTATGATCGAAATATGTTTATTTTTTTTAAGGCCTGCATATTTTTTACCAAAAAATTAAAAGCTTTCCGAAATTCTATTAATGATTATCAATTAAACTTTACCTCGAATGACATGGCTTCCTTTTCGCCAGGAGCCCGCACAGCAATCCCACGACAATGATCGAGAAGATGAACAGGAAAAACACAACGATCGCCCTGGTCTTCGATACGTACCGCTTCGCTGGTCGGTACTGTTCGTCTGGAAGCCTGTCGTTTTCTAGGAAGTCAAATTTCAGCATTGTTTACAGACGGCCGCTCTGCGCAGGTGGATATGACGGTGGAAGTCGCTGTGTAGGGGGTGGGATGTGCGTGACGTGCGCTGTTTATATGCCGTTACATCCAGCGATTGATGAATACAATAGGATTAAATTGACCAAGGTCCTCCTCGTATTGATCGAGTGAAAGGCAGATAGTGCACTCACTGCATGGGCGCACATCCTTTGACTCCGATAGATTCTCCTACTTCCATCATACCGCCACGGCGTAATGACAGCGAACAGACCGCCGTATACCGCTGGGAATCGGATACGGAAAATCGCGGATTTTGTCCGCTTTCGCATTCGTAATGAGATTCGCCTCGCAAAGCAAGACAATTTTCACGACCTTGTGTTTCCTTTCTTATTCCTCTCTTTCCGTCTCTCTCGTCTGGATTCCCACGTTTTGTGTGTGTGTTTGTCTTTCCCTTGCTCTGTGCACGGTGTGTGTTTGTGTGTGTGTCGTCGACGAGATCGAACGTCACAGTGACGTAGATGATCGCCGTATTCATTGTCTGCGCATCGTCTGTTTTAATACAGTCAAACATTTTATTCAGTTGACGGTAAATCCGCCCGCTGTGCGCACAATTACGTTGCTGATACACAGATTTGTTATTTCTTCGACATTGAATCCATTTATGAAAACGTAAATTATGAATAATGCCTATGTAAGACTCGATCTAAAAATAAGTCAATAAACATGCATGGTGTATGGATTCAGGTATCCTAATTATTTTGGATTTATTATTTCATTTAATTGATTAATTTAGAAAGCCATGACCTCGTTTTGCTCGTTTATGAGGGTATACCGCCTTCTAAAAGGAAGACAGGGCTTATCCATGCTAAACTTTGTGAATAATAGTGACGGCGCTTCAGTACATCAGGGGTCCGAGCCAGCCTAATAGAAGGCATTTAAATCTCTCTCTCTCTCTCTCTCTCTGAACAGCGCCAACAGCAGAATCATAGAAATCGCTGGAATCCAGTGTATTGTTTCAGGCCTCCTATTTTTTATGGAATAAAATTACTGTATAGGCATGCCGTCAAATTCCCATGAAATTTACTGAAAGCATCATAAATTTAAAGAACTATGAGATATAAATCACACTTTTTAAATATGACGTAATGAAGATTAAGTCTTGCGTCCTCGAGCATTTTGAAGAGAGAATCATTTTGCATTCGGTATTTTTCTTTCTTTCATGTATCTTTGTGATTTTAGCGATATAATACTTTTCCCAGCATTATGTGCAGCATCGTTGTTGTTATCACCGTTAAGGCATTCAAATTCTCTCTCTCTAAACAGCGCCAACAGCGGAATCATATAGAAATCGCTGGAATCCAGTGACATATTTTAAGCCTCTTATTTTTGATTGAATAAAATTATTCATATAGGCATGTCGTCAAATTCCCATGAAATAGGAACCCGGGGCAAAGTGGACCAACAAAATTAGAACAACTAGAACAGGATTACAAAGTAAAGTAAAGCAAAACATTTGGTTTATACTTTTACCTTAGGACTACGTACCACTAACAATATTGACACTAACAATGTTTCTCAAATAATCAGTTTTATTAAATGATATGAACTTGAAAAATGTTAAAAATGTTAAAAAGTGAATTACTATGTAACACATTCCATTTTGCCCCACCCACTTTGCTCCGAACAAGTGATTTTTTTTCAGACATGCATTATTTTCACGTGGGCCAATGATTACTAGCGATGCTACGATGTATAAAGTTAAGCTTAAGCCCATCCATCATTAATATGGCTTTCGTGATAATTCGGCATGAACACAGTTATTGGCACATGAACTTAGATAGATGGCAGCATAAACAAAAAATTACCGGGCGTGTTTCACTTTGCCCCGCGTTCCACTTTACCCCGGGTTCCCCTAAAACTACCAGATATAAGTTAAACTTCTAAAACGTGACATGATGATTAAGTTAGGAGACCTATAGCATGTACAGGGCGAAATTCATCCCAACTTCGTTGTATATCGTGTTTACAGGAAAAGTCATTTGGAGTATGCAGAAGTATTCTAACAAATATTTTGTGTCTTTTATTCGTGTTTTTTGTGATTTTAATGGTATAATAATACCTTTCCAAGCATTGTGTGCAGCTATCGGTGTCGTCACAAATGTGACACCCCCCCCCCCCCCCCCCATCAAAATAAGGGATCAGTATGAGGGAGGCTTTGACAGAAAGAGCGGGAGAGACAGACAGAGGCAGAGACAAACAGGGAGAGAGAGAGAGAGAGAGAGAGAGAGAGAGAGAGAGAGAGGAAGAGGAAGAAATGGAGAGGGGGAAGCAAACGAATTGAAATAAGTTTATATGTACTCTCTACCCCCTCAGTTCCATCCAGGCGCGTACGCAAGGGGGGTTGAACCCCCCCCCCCCCCCCCTTTTTTTTTTAAATTCTTTTTTATGTGTGTGTTTCGGAGGAAAACCCTCCCCTTTGTTTTTTTTTAATAAACAAAATTAAATTAAAACAAATTGCGGTAATGGGTAACCCCAAAAGCTTACCTTACCCCCCCCCCCCCCCAAACTATTGACCAAATTTCAAATTTTGAGAGACACACAAAAAAAAATGTCCTCTTACCTATATAGGCCCCTGTTTTTGGACTTTTCATTCATTCATTTTCATGACTTCACTGTTCAGGTGAACGGATACCGTCTGTGTATGGTGAACTTGACGAACGACGTTTTTTATTCCAGACTATACCAGACTGTTCTTTCTGACTGTACCATTGTAGACCCAAAGTAAATTTTCAAAGGTCACGATGAATAAATTTTCTTGGATTTCCTGAAACTTTCCATCACTGACTGCATAATGGTGGACACCGTTTTATATCACGTAGCAAATCAAGTAAAACTTGGTCTTCTTTTCTTCTTCGGGGGGGGGGGGTTAAGCTTTTCGCCGTCGGCAATTTGGTGACCTTGGCTGATCAATAGATGGTTAATGAGGAGATGCTTTTGGAAAATTTAGTCCAACATCCTTTCATACAGAGATGAGCGATGTTGCCATTTTCTACATTCATTTTTCTTTTTCTTTTTTATGTTTTGGAGGGGGGGGGGGGTGTTTTGTATTATTTTGTTATAATTTGTTCGCTTTGTCAGTGTTTTTTCTCTTTAAAAAATCCAAACCAACGAATGGAAATATTATATTTATTTGAATCCCTATTAGTATATTAGAGACAACAATGATCTACTTTTCCTGTCATAATGATTTTTAAAAAATACAAAGAATCAAACACGGACTCTTTTCAAATAATTGTTAATGATTATGATTTTTGGTAGTCGCAAATCATATCACCTTTTTTAAGTAAATGTTCAGATCGAAATTTTTACCAAAAGAGTGGATATTTTTATTTCGAAGTCTATTAGGGATATATATATGGTTACAAAAGCAAAATCCATACGAAGAGAAATAACCGTACGTACCGTATAATTATGTACCGTACCCCTAATGTAATTTTGCGCATGCGCGTTACGTTGACAACGGACGCTACTTCTCCTAAAAAATGGCAGGGATAATGCAGTTCCAATTGACTGTTATTGGGCTTTTACCCAACGAAACATTCCACATTGCAAGATGTTGTGCAGAGGTATTGTTTTATTTCATTTGTATGATATACCTGAATCTTATTGTTTAATAAAGTACTATTTTAAGACGTTTTGTATCACTCTAACATTATAACACGGTCCCATACAATAAATAATTTGTTAGTTTGTAAAGAAGGGTTATGATGCGGAGCTGTGTGTCCGCATCCGGATATGCGGATGATTCACAATGCACAACCCATCTGGACACACAACATTTTGGACTGTTTAAATGATTCTTTGCCATTTTACAATGCATTAGGTCTAATATTAACACTATCGACCTCATACATCCATCATCATCATCATCATCATCAAGTACGGGTAGAAGGCGTTGGCCTGTAATTCCCGGTCACTGCTTCTATAATGTAGGTTTAGCCTGTTGGATTTATTGCTGAGTGTATGCGCATGCACAGGAGAGAGAGTCATGGGAGGTCGAAGCGATACTCCCACCAATGTTTATCTATGTGTCTTTTGAATTTGTCCGTTGTTGCCAAGACCACAATATTTTCTGGCAAACTGTTCCAGTCTTGTATTATTCGTCTGCTGAAAGACTTACTTCTAACATCCAGTCTGCAGTGTTCTTTCTGGATCTTGAGACAGTGCCCTCTCGTGGATCTACTTCTACTTGCAGGTTGGGAGAAGAAATGATCTTGTGGGATGTTGACTAGTCCGTGCATGATCTGGTGGACTGCGATCATGTCTCCTCTTCTTCTTCTGTAGAACAGAGAGTACATGTTCATGTATTTAAGTCTTTCTTGATATGGGAGGTCCTTGATTTCTCGAACCAATTTGGTAGCTCTTCTTTGCACTCTTTCAATTTTCTTTGCATCTTCTTTAAATCTGCTATGCCAAAGAACACTCCCATATTCTAGGTGTGGTCTAATTAGGGTCTTGAATAGAATCGGTAGTGTTGTCGTATCCAGTTTGGAGAAAGTTCTTTTCATTATTCCCAGTAGTTGGTATCCCTTACTGACCGCTAATGATACATGTTGATGGAATTTCAGCTGGTAGTCAATTGTCACTCCAAGGTCCTTTTCAGCTTTCACTGATTGCAGAAGTTTCCCCTGCATGTGGTAGTTCCCTTCAGGATTTCTCTTGCCTATGTGGAGTACTTTGCATTTGTCCTCATTAAAAGGCAACTGCCATCTCTCAGACCATCTGTGCAGGTTGTTTAGGTCATCTTGGAGGTCATTAATCTGTGCTGGTGTGCTCACTGTATTATACAGCTTTGTGTCATCAGCAAATAAGGCTACTTCGCTCTTTCTCACGTCAAGTGGAAGGTCATTTATGTAGACCAGGAAGAGGACCGGTCCAAGGACGCTGCCTTGCGGTATCCCGCTTGTTACTGGAGACCAGTTGGAAGATTATCCGTTAACGAAGACTCTCTGTACTCTCCCTGTCAGAAATGCTCTAATCCAGTTTAGGAGTTTACCCTCAAGTCCATGTGCCTCTAGTTTGAGTAGGAGTCTTTCATGGGGAACACTGTCAAAAGCTTTTTTGAAGTCGAGATATAAAACATCAATCGCCTTCCCTTCATCGAGCCATCGCGACCATTCCTCTAGTACGCAAAGTAATTGAGTTGCACATGTCCTTCCTGGGGTAAATCCATGTTGATTTTGTGAGAGTAGACGGTTACTTAGTAAGTGTGTAATTATAGCATCTCGAATAACTTTCTCCATCAGCTTTCCTGCGACAGAGGTGAGGCTTATAGGTCTGTAGTTAGAAGCTTGTGTCCTGCTACCTTTCTTGTGAAGAGGTACTTCAGTGCCTCTTTTCCAGTCCAGTGGGAGTTTACTTTCCTGCATAGATTTATTGTAGATTAACGTCAGTGGTTCGGCAATAGTCTTGGCTAGTTCCTTCATCACCTTAGGATGTGTCCCATCTGGACCTGGTGACTTGTTGGTGTTAAGCTTTTTAAGCTTGTTTTCAACATCGCTCACTAGTATGTTTACTTTGCTTAATGTAGGTAAGTCCATTCGTAAGGGTACTTGTATGTCTGGTATATTCTGCAGGTCTTCTTGAGTGAATACACTGGAGAAGTATTCATTAAGAATGTTTGCCATTTCACTGTCAGTTTGAGCTGGTAGGCCATCCTCCTTCATGAGACTCACAATATGGCTCTTACTCTTCACCTTGCTGTTGGCGTACCTCCAAAATGCTTTGGGATTTTGGCCAATGTTCTCTACAAGATCTGCTTCAAAACTTCTGCTAGCTACTCTTGTTGCTTTCCTAAGTTGGTTCCTTATTTGTTTATAGTCTTTGAAGTCCTTTTCCCTTTCCTCTCTTGTTCTGTTCTCATCTGTATAACGTTTCCAGCAACGTGTCTTCTTCTTAGACAGTTTCAAGATGGGCCTTGTTATGTAAATATTTCGTCTTTTGTCTTTATTACACTTCCGTACAGGTACATAATTTTCCACGCATTCCTTTATTCTGTGGAGAAATATATTCCATGCCTGCTCACAGTTCTTATCTGCAAAGACCTTTTCCCATTCTATCGTCTCCAGGGTTTCGTTCATAGTTTTGTAGTCTCCTTTCTGATAGATTGTACGAATTTCTCTCTTTCTTGTCTTCTCTGTTTCCTGTAATATGTCTAATTCTGCTAATAGACATACGTGATCACTTAGTCCTAGAGGAGGCAGATATTCGATCGAAAGAATCAATTTGGCGGTATTTGTAAATACGAGGTCAAGCACATTAGCCCTTTGTCCATTTCTGTGCCGGGTTGGTTCATCTATATGTTGGTGGAAGAACGATTCCTGTGTGGCGGTGAGGAACATGTGTGACGAGTTGTTTAAGCATACTAATACGATAGGCCTATCTAAGACAAATTCAAAGGCACTTTGCAGACAACAATAAATAGGTAATAGATCTAGATCTAGTCTAGGTATCCTATTCCTAGCAAATGGCAATGGCAATGATACAATAGAAAACTTGCAAGTAATTGTGTGTGATGGTGCTTATTTTACCTGACTGCTAAGAAAGCATAAATGCTGTAAGTAAGCAACCAGACGGCCGACGGCTTTACATGTGTAGGTCCTCTCCGAGGGACCTGGTAATGAGGATTGATGCCTTACCAAAGGGCACTAAAGCCACTAGCGCATCGTCTTGGTTTCGAACCCGGGTCACTGGATTACGAGACCACTGATCTACCGACTGAGCTATCGCACCTAATTAAACAAGACCTCCAGTCCACAGGGACCAGAGTCACTGTCACAATCTTCCAACCACCACAACCATTTTCCAAATATAGTCTAGATTTCTAAATGATATAATAATATATCCCCATGAAGAATTATTATCAATCGTCGTATGTCCCCTTTTATTTTGTTCAGGCACTATACCAAAGTAACCCTGAGAAGTTCAAAACACCTGACATACGAGGTTTACTGGAGTTTGAATGGGAGGAGTATGTGGAAGAACAGAGGAAAGCCTTACGAGATGAGACATGGGTCTTTACTGAAAAGGCAATGACTTATGTCAATGGAGAATTCCTTGGTAAGTGAAACACAGTCTGTTTTCATACATGTAATCAAGGCCTCAATTGTTTTAGTGTGGGTCCGAATTATATTATTTCAAGTCTCTGTACGTAGAGCCACTGTTTAAATTCTGAAATGTTAGGGGTCTGCAGTAACCTTTAGGAAGCCAGTCACTCATGTCATTCATACTATCAGCTCCTGCTCTGTAGAATTCTTTACCCTTAGCAGTTAGGAACATATCTTCTTTTAGAGGTGTTGTGGTCTAGTGGATAGGTCACCTGACTGTAGATTACAAGGTACAGAGGTTTAAATCCAAGCCCAGCACTAACGTCATTAGCCCAAACATTAATCTACCTTTGCCACTCTCCAGGTGTAAATGGACACCCAAAATGATTGAGTACCTAATTACTTTTTCAGCTCATATTATACATATTTATAAACCAGGGTGATAATGTCTAAGCGCCATGAGTGTCACGTGAGCGTCACTGCATGATGGTTATGAGCAATATGTAAGTGGCCATTATTATTATTATTACTCTGTTCCTGAAGTAGTCGATAACATACCATGGTATTTGGTTGAGGGCAGTAACATGTAATTTCATCTCTTTCTTTTCCCATGGTTACAATACAGGAGGTCCCGAGGCTCTGAAGCAGTGGTCAGAGCAGCACTTCAACTATGTGGAATACAAGCCCCTCCCACTCTACATGGCTTTAGCTGAGGAAGCGTATAAGGAACATATTCTTGCCACAAAAGTAAGACAAAAACTCATTTGACCATAAGAATGCAGTGAATTGATTTATTTACTGTACAAGAGCTTTTATTATGTTTTAAAGGAGACAGTGTTTATGGCAATAAAGAGAATTACATTTATATAACAAGATTCAGTATACATGCATGTACTGTAGATGAAAATAACAGGAGGTACAATATACTGTAATTATTGCATGTTGATGGATATGATTTGCAAAATAAAGTTTTATGAACTTACTTGGTATTCCCATGAAGTGGTATCAATAATACTTTATGTAAAAAAAAAATGAAAAAAACAAAAAGGAAGGGATTGAAACCTTTTCTCCTCCTCCCCCTTTACCCTTTTACTCCAAGATTTTGATAGAATATGTCTTTATATTGTTTTCTATAAATTTATCAACCATGTTATCACATTTTCTCTCCTCAGCATACATTTGTGTACTTTGACGTAACAGTTGATGGGGAAAAAATTGGCAGATTGCTGTTTGAGGTAATTAGGTCTTATTTCAGGTCATTCCTTTACCTGTTGGATTTTTTACCTTGCAGTATGCTATTTCAGTGAGTTTAAGGGGGGGGGGAGGGTCAATGCTGATATTCAGATGGTTTTAATGAAAGCAAAAATATGAGAGAAACGGATAAGTGAAAGTGTGAGCAAAATCTGATGAAACTTTGGCCTTAACTGAATATCTGTTATTATTTTGTAATACTATTACACTGTACATGTATATACCAACAGTTTTCTCAAAACTACACTATTCAAAAACCTTGTGACCAGGGCCCCATCGCACAGAACTTACCATTGATGGTAACTTTGCCATCAATGGTAACTACCATGGAAACCTTGATTTTGATTGACTGTTGAGCCCTGTTACCAAGGTAGTTGCCAGTGATGGCAAAGTTACAATCAGTGGCAAGTTTTATGCAACGGAGCCCTGTTCAAAAGCTTTTCCAATCTTGAGCACTCCTACTTTTCCTTTTCCACTTCAATTCATGACTCCTCCCCCAAGCCAATTTTGTTGTGTGTGGACATAGTTGAATTGAATTGCATTGTGTATACAATTACATATACATGTATTAAAACTAATTAGTTTATCATTTAACGGATGTACAACACTTGCTCCTGCAACAACAGTGCCACATACCCTGGACCCGAAACTAAATAACCCTAACCCTTACTCTATCTAAAGTCTAAACCTAACCTAAATCCTAAGTGGAACTCTAACCCTATACTTTTGATGAAATAAAGCCTGTAGTAAATGCCGCTGGGAAAAATGTCGGAGCACCGACTTAACAGTTTGGATTACAAGATATCAACATGAATTTTTTATTTCTCTTATAGCTCTTCACTGACCAATGCCCAAGGACGTGTGAGAACTTCCGAGCGCTCTGCACGGGGGAGAAGGGACAGAAAACAGATGATACTCTGATGAAGTTCCACTACCTTGAATCCTTGTTTCACAGGATCGTACCCAATGGATGGGTACAAGGTGGAGGTAAGGTCCGCTGGTGTAGCTACAGCAGGGGAGGGGGGTCACAAAGAGGGGGGGGGGCACATTTGTCACGCCCTCCATCGAATGGCAGCAAAAATAAGGCATAGGAAAAGAAAGGAGAGTGGGAAAAAAACATGACATGAAGATGATAGGACCATCTCTTACACTTCCCAGGGAGTGAAGCATGGGCACTACCATGTGTGGATTGGGAATTGAATCCAGTAACCGGATGATAATAATTTCAATACAAAGCGCTTAGAGACGTAGCATAAAGGGCTATACAAATGCAAATATTATTATTATTTATTATTATTATTACTGTTATTATTATTATTATTATTATTATTATTATTATTATTATTATTATTATTATTATTATTATTATTATTATTATTATTATTATTATTATTATTATTGTTATCATGATTATTATTATTATCATGATTATCATCATTATTATTAATATTACAATAATTATTATTATTATCATTATTATTATTATTGTAATCATTATTATTATTATTATTAATAGAGATTGTTGAATACCAACGAATCCGAAATTGGGACTGGGATATCAATATTATTTTAATTGTTGTTGTTGTCATCATCGTAATCATTGCCATTATGATTCCATTTAATTTTACTCTCCAGATATCTTGTACGGAAAAGGAGATGGAGGTGAATCAATTCATGGACCAGTATTTGAAGGTATGTTTCATTTTTTTCTGGCACAAATATTGGTTTTCATAAAAGTAATGTACTTCTCTCACTCTTCTTGATTGCGCCACTGTAAGTCGGTATGAAAGGCATGATGACTAATATGGATATATATATGGAATTGATATCAATTGAACAAAAAAAATAAAGACTCTTTACCTGAAAGTGATTGTAAAAGGTCTACCTGTTTGAAAGTTTTCTTGCTGATTATTCATAGAATTTCTTCTACAATGTTTGAAATTTTTAACTAGACTGATTACAATTTGGGATGTCACAATAGCTAGGACTTTTTCTCTTTTTTTGCACCTCTTTACGGAGAACACACACATCAAATGGTCGAACATAAGGCCCCAAATTTGCCTTGATTTGATGTTGTGATTCTGGAGATGAAGTCCACACATATTATCTACAGGAGCTGTAAAACATTGCGTTGATTTCAAAAGTACGTGTTACATGTACCTTTCTATGAATACAAGGAAAGCAGTCTTTAAATGGTGTTGCAGTTATTTATGAAAAAATCAAACTTTTAAAAAGGCCAAAATGTTGTGAAAAATCGTAGTTGAAAAGTTTCTAAAAGTATGGTGGCATAATATTCGTCCAAAACGTCAATTCTGTATTGATTCTCAGTCATTTTCAGGACTTCTCAATCAACACGAAAGAATACAAACAGTCCATTTAAGGACTATCCACATGGTTGTACCGCAAATCTACTCTCTAAGTTATCTTCTCGCCATGCACACCTGTACTTTCCAACAACATTACATTTTGTTTTTCAATTACAGATCGATCAATCGATCTCATTTACTGGGTGTATAAGCCACAAATATGTTCAAACTATTGAAATTTCTCCCAGGAAGCATTACATTTATAAAAAACAAACATTACCGGGTACATTTTTTATTTCACAGATCATTGCTTGCTTGCTTGCAGACTCTAGATTCAATATCGTTTATCTTTTTTTCTTTTCTTTATTCAGATGAGAACTTTTCGGTGAAGCACAATGCCAGGGGTGTACTGGGGATGGGCAACAAAGGAAGACATACCAACGGATCTCAGTTCTACATCACGTGTCAACCCGCTCCGTGGATGGACAGCAAGTTTGTAGCCTTCGGGTGAGTGTATGAACATGAAGATGTTGTCAAAGACTAATCAGCTTTTCTTACTCAAATTGGCAATTAGCAGCGATAGTTTTGTTCAGTGATGTAGTTCCTGGACATCAGGGCCCTAGCTGTTGCACAAAACTTACCATTGATAGTAATCCCGGCCCCCCCCCCCCACTCCGAGAACGGACGGACCCCATGCGTGTTGCCAAAATGTCCTTTTCGTAACAAAAGAAAAAGGTCGACCCGTATTGACTTTACACACCGAACTTTTGCTGAAAAGGGGGGGTGCTGAAAAAGGCTTGTATACAAAAGAAAAAGGTCGAGCCGTATTGACTTTACACACCGGACTTTTGCTGAAAAGGGGGGGTCGGTTGGAACACGCATATGCGTACCCTAAATAACACTGAGTGGGGGGGCCGGATGGTAACCTAGCTTGTCATCAATGGTAACTATATGGTAACATTGATTTTGATTGGCTTGTTACCATGGTAGTTGCCGTCAATGGTAAGTTTTATGCAATGGTCCCAGATACATAGCCTTTAGTTGAGGGAAGTTGTAACAGCAATTTAAGTACATGTATTTTAACAAAAACAGATTTTCAAAGACTATATTTAAATTTGTGTTTTTATTTTCCCATGGAAATTAGCTTTTCCCACATTTACATATACCACTTTACATTACATAATGATAATATACATAGATTTTACAGCGAATATATATATCCTGGCTGTTATTATAACATATGTGACATGGCCAGGAAAATACTAAAGAACTTGGTATTACGTAGCAGACTTTAAAACATTCATCAATCTGCTTCTCTTATTTTTCTGCTTTAATTCATTCATAGCAAAAATTTGGTAGCAGAGTTAAATTTGCTCTTGATACGATTGTGATTGTTTATCCTCATTTGCAGAAAACTTGTTGAAGGCACCGAAGTTCTGAAGACCTTAGAAGGGCAGGAGACATACAATGAGAGACCAAAGAAGGACTGTAAGATTGCTGCCTGCGGAGTCTTTGTCCCAGAAGACTAGACCATCGCCAAGACCAATCAAGACCAGTTTTTGAACCTGATTTTCAGACCAAGACAGTGTTCTCATCGCATCAGGGTTTTCTGTTTTCAGACCACTTTAAGCGATACCTGTATAGAAAAATCACCTATTTACACAGACCGCATCTTCATTTCCCATGAACAGAATTTCTCATGGGACCTGGGGGGGGGGGTGTTTCACAAAGATCCTAAGTTATACTAATCAATTATGGAAGGCCGTTAACATCTTTGAATATATATTGTAAAATTTATTTTAAAAGGCATAAAATGTTGATTCAAATCATTCATATTTTCTACTGTCAAAGGGATGTCATGTTCTTGATGTGGAATTTATGAAAAATCTAACAAAATTGAATTTTTGCTTTTGAATACATTTTATTTGAAGGCTACAAATGGCTCTCCATAATGTTTAAATCCAACTTAGAGTTAACTTCGTCTTCGGTTCCTTGAGAAACACTCCTAGGTTAAAAACGATCAGTATAGGCCTACTGCATAAAGACCACCTGCCTGTAAAGACCACTTTTCTGATCTCCCTCGAGTGGTTGTTACAGACAGGTTTCATTGTATTTCTGAAGGTGCCTAGAGCTGCTTTCGCATTACTACGAGCAATTGCTCACAACTTTTGTTTCCCACCAATGTACTGTCCATGTAGTTGATCTTCCATATATGAAAGGGGCCTTCTGATGTGAATTGCGCTCAACAAAAGTATTAGGGGCCAAGTTAAATACATGGAGTGTAAGCCTTGGTCCCACTAACATGGCTAATTGGTTATAAACATGGAAAGTGAGCTCTTCATAATTCTAAACCTGTTTCTCAATTTCTACTCTATGATGAAATGAAGTTTTGTTTCCATTGCATTATAAACCATTCAGAATGCAAGGTTAATAAAGAGTGATTGACAAAAAAAGTGTCAAAGAAGTGTCTACAAAATATCAGTTTTCATCGACCTCATTTTGTTTGGACCTATTCATCGTATTGAAGATATCGAACTTTCTTGAATGAACTACCGGTAACCAAATTTAGAAGTACATAGTTTTGATTTCTCCCAAAGTGCTTTGTGGTAGTTTCAGTTATGAACTGAATGCAATTAATCCATTCAGAAAGATATTACTATTGTTTCAAATACTGGTGCACAATTCAAGTCTGTAACCTTTTATTCATACATAAATGTAGCTATATATGGAGAAAAAAAAGTGCTAAGTCTATGATGGTGCAGCATAACTTCTGGAGGTTTTTTAATCGTTTTTTTAATGAAATGTGTCAAGTATTAGCTCATATTATTCTGTCTATCAAAAGCCACAGAGTTTTTCATTCTGTCAAATTCCAATTAATTCAAGTGGTTGCATCTAAAAGAAATACATGTATGAGAACGACTACTGCTTGTGCCTTTGATTCACATCATATCCACCAATTTTTTATAATTTTTTTTTTAAAGCGTTGCAGGGATTTGCAAGGTGAAAATGTTGTACAAAATAATAATTGGAAACTTTCCACTACGGTGGCAGAATATTTATTATTAGCAAAATTAAAGTCACACTTCTTTTCAAATTTGAATTTCATTTGTGTTTTATTCACCCCATTTGTTGGGTATGAAATGAGGGTTTCAATTTTCACTCAGAGAGGGTAAACCCCGGCCCCCCCCCCACCCCGAGAACGGACGTACCCCATGCGTGTTACCAAAATGTCCTTCTCGTAACAAAAGAAAAAGGTCGACCCGTATTGACTTTACACACCGGACTTTTGCTGAAAAGGGGGGGTGCTGAAAAAGGCTTGTATAACAAAAGAAAAATGTCGACCCGTATTGTTTTTACACACCGGACTTTTGCTGAAAAGGGGGGGGGGGTCGCTTGGAACACGCATATGCGTACCCTAAATAACACCGGGTGGGGGAGCCGGGGAGAAAACCAGTCTTTTGATCTGACTCGTCTTGCTGGTAGCAATAAATTTTGAGATAAAGGTTTTTTAAGGGCTTGCAAATCTCTAGTAGGGGCCTTATGCTTATGGTATTTTATACTACTAGCTTTACCAAGCATTATACCCTTCAAGTGACTGATGCAGTAGTTCCATTTATGAAGATCACTTTCTGAACTGTTAATGTACATAATATATTCAATTGTAAAAACTATTAGAGGTACTGGTTGTGTATACTTAAATTCTTGACTGGATATTTACTATGATTTGATTGTAATATATATATTCATTAAAATATGAATTTCTACAAAAAAATTGGTTTTGTTTTGTTGTATTTTCCTGTGGGCACATTCTCTCTCTCTCTCTCTCTCTCTCTCTCTCTCTCTCTCTCTCTCTCTCTCTCTCTTCTCCCCCCCCCCCCCCCTCTCTTTCTCTTGTGCTCCCTTCTCCACCCTTTATGTCTCTCTCTCATTCCTTCCCACTCTTTCTCACCTTCTCTTCTTCTGTCTCTCTCAACCTCCTCTTTTTATCCCTTTCCACTCCCCATCTTTCCTTGCTCCCTCTTCCTCTCTTTCTATTCTTGTCTCTCTCTCTCTTCCCCCCCCCCCTCTTTCTCTTGTGCTCCCTTCTCCACCCTTTATGTCTCTCTCATGCCTTCCCACTCTTTCTCACCTTCTCTTCTTCTGTCTCTCTCTCAACCTCCTCTTTTTTCCCTTTCCACTCCCCATCTTTCCTTGCTCCCTCTTCCTCTCTTTCTATTCTTGTCTCTCTCCCCCCCCCCCCCTCTCTTTCTCTTGTGCTCCCTTCTCCACCCTTTATGTCTCTCTCATGCCTTCCCGCTCTTTCTCACCTTCTCTTCTTCTGTCTCTCTCTCTCTACCTCCTCTTTTATCTCTTTCCACTCCCCATCTTTCCTTGCTCCCTCTTCCTCTCTATTTCTATTCTTGTCTCTCTCTCTCTCTCTCTCTACCTCCTCTCTTCCTCCCTTTCCACTCTCCATCTTTCCATCTTTTCTCTCCCGATCCTGATCCCCTCCCCCTCTTCTCCCTCTATGTCTCACAACTTTCTATCGCCTTTTCTCTCCCTCCCACTTCTTTCTTTCTTTCCGACTGCCTATTCCACCTACATAATAACTCAAAACACACAAGTTACGTTTTGATTTTTAACATCTTTATTCATTAATACTACATGTATGCAACCCTGCCAGAATGCCACAAATAATGAAGTTTGTTTTGTTAAAAAGACAACAGAAATTTCAGGTGAAGCATTCTATTCAACAAAGTTAACAAAAAGAGTCGATGCTTACGTACAAGACTTGTAATCAATTTTATTAGCAGTGTGCAGGATTAAAAATAACGGCAGACTGACATATACAATGGTACAATATCTGAAATGGGACTAGTTTTGTTTCATAAATTCAATAATACATTTCTGGGACCCATTTCACAAAGCCTTTTTTCAATGACAGATTACAAAAATCTGCTGATGACCAATTGGAAGCAAGGGTTTCACTAGCTTATAACAAAAACTGTCATTTGTCATTGCTGACAAGTTTTGTGAAATGGGGCCCAGATGTCCGAAATTCATTTACAGCCCAATGGTGTGTATTGTAATAATGAGATGCACCAGTGCAAGTATTGACAATGATAATCATCTCTTTCAATACACTTCATATTATGATTAGAAAATGTGATATGTATTTTAAATTACCAAACCCTAGCATAATTCTGAAATGGCAGGAGCAGCAAGTGTTAATGGGTTTTATGAAGAAAAAGCATACTTAATTTGTATACGGTACACTGACTTAGGAGTACATCATATATGTAAAAAAAAAAAATGGTTACCATGTTAGAACTATTTCAAGAAATAAATTGTTTATTCCTTTTAACCCTTAATCCCCTTTCAATTCATTCAAGAAGCAAATCATTACAAAACTACAAAAAGGAAATATAAAGGACTAATAGTAATACACGATAAATACTAGAATAGCATGACTTCCTATAACATCAGCATGGTATGAAGTTTTTCTTAATTTTTATATTTCATGGTGCAATTTTTATTTTTCTGAGAGTGAAATAAAATGAAAGAAGCAGGTACAGGACTATAAAACAAACAAAACGGGCATACAAATATTCTTTTACGCAACAAATCATTTCGATTAACTATCGCACATATAGTGTGGTACGGTATGTCACTGAAACAGCTCCCGGAGGATTTTTGTGCCAAAGTTAATTATTTTGCATTTTTGGATTCATTGGAGTCCAAGCTATCAGAAATTGATGGGGTTCAAATTTTCCCGGAGACACCAAATTTCCCTATTGCGCGTTATATATGCCATTTTGGCGCCCAATATGGACCCCCCAGGAAATGAAGGAGGGGTCTGAAAATTTGAACCCCATCATTTTGGGCCAATTAGGACCCTTTTGAAGCCAAAACAGCAAAATAATCAACTTTGGCAAAAAAATCCTACGGGATTACATACCATACTGCACCAAAATCATAAATTCTAAATTTGAATGGTTCACTGCTAGGCAGTATAGCGAAAAGTATTGGCCGGGCATAGTTCTACTTGCGCGTACATTGCAAGGTCGCAATGATTGCACGTGAAATTAACAATGGATACAAGCAATGGGACACGTGCGATGCTCTTAGGAGAGTAAATTTCCTATACGCTTTAACAGGCATATTATGTTAAAATGTCTCTTTACGAGAATTGACACTGGAGATGCAATATAAAAATTGACGGCTTCTTTTGGGGGTCAGGGTTAAAAGTATAGCTCCTCTGTGATACTGAGACTGCACTATGCCCCTGGACTTGGTCTCGGGACACAGTACAGTTTTGAGGTCACCTTGGGCGACAGTTATAACCGTGCCCCTCAAAGTAGTCAATATTTGTATACAATACAAGAGACTAAAACCAACTGTTTTCCACTCGTCTTTGCGATCGTACTGCCTTCCCACTTAGACATACAAATGTAGATGTGTAAAAATCTAGTATATATGTACACCTTCCAACCTAACAGAAATCACTATGTGCTGCAAATTCATACTTGGTGTTGTAAGAAGTTTGAGTAGTGTTAGAGTTAGGGTGCTTCTAATAGCCTTTGCACTCATCTTTGTGTGAAAATGTCAACACCTCTTACATAGCACTTTAGTGTCAAAAGTGCTAACCCACACATCTGAACTACTGTAAAATGGATTTTAGGCCAACACGAGCAATGGACACTAATATCAATATGAAATCTAATTGACGTTGTTCATCTTTCATGCATGCATTCAGATAGTGATTCAGATATATTTTAGGGAAAATAAGCAGAGAATTTGAAGACATATACATGTACTCGTTGACTGCATGACCACAAAACACAAAAACTATACATTTTTAGAGAAAAATAACACCATTTCATAATCATTACACACAGATATATAAACACTATTATGCATAATTATCTTTTTATACATTGTTCACATCCTTTCATTTGTACATTATGTGTAAATCATTAATCTGCTTTACATCATATCTTAATCTGCTTTACAACATGTGTAAATCTGCTTTATATCATGTGTAAATCTGCTTTACATCATGGGTAAATCTGCTTACATCATGTGTAAATCTGCTGTATATTATATGTGTAAATCTGCTTTACATCATGTGTAAATCTGCTTTACATCATGTGTAAATCTGCTGTACATCATGTGTAAATCTGCTGTACATCATGTGTAAATCTGCTTTACATCATGTGTACATCTGCTTTACATCATGTGTAAATCTGCTGTACATCATGTGTAAATCGGCTTCACATCATGTGTAAATCTGCTTTACATCATGTGTACATCTGCTTTACATCATGTGTACATCTGCTTTACATCATGTGTAAATCTGCTTTACATCATGTGTAAATCTGCTTCACATCATGTGTAAATCTGCTTCAATACACCAACAACTGAGTGCTTGAATTATAGGCAAAAGAATTCATGCAAGCTGATGCAAGTGCTATCATACAAAAATAAGTTCCTTTTCTATTTCACCGATGCCAGATTTTCAGAAAACAAATCAAATAGCAGAATAAATACAACCAGGGACCTAATTCACAAAGCCTTTTTTCAATGACAATTGACAAAAATAAGTGAGCAAGGATTTCACTAGCTTATACAAAAACTATCATATGTCACTGATGACAAGTTTTGTGAAATGGGGCCCAGGAATGACTACCATAACTACTTTAAACAATCTTAAACGGGGTATATGAAGGAGTATAAAAAGAAAAAGAAATAGCAGATGAAACTTATGAGGCATATACATTTGTACATGTACTTGGGGGAATCACGATACAGTTTGCAGACAGAATTCTCTACCACCATTATCCTGTTTTGTAATGTAATCTTCTCTGACAATTAGAGACGTTATTCTGCTTCTAGCCAGAGCCATCTGCACACAGAGTTGGGCCAAATATGGCAACTACTGCTTTGTTGGGCAAACACAAGAATATACGCCATGTTGTGACCCAGTGAACCAAGTTGGCCAAACTCTGTGTATAGATGGCTCTGCTTCTAGCCATGCTACACCCCCCATCTATCGTATTAAAAATATTCCATTAACATATAATCAAACGAGTACACTTTGTATATGTATGTCCATAACCACCGGTACCCACATCTCCCATGTGCATTTTTTAAAAAAAATTCTAAAGTGTTTAAGCAACAATTACAACCTCCCTTCATCTATGCAATCAAACAGATAAATGGGGAAAATGTAAATACATGCATCCAAAAATATACATGGGAAAAATATATTCCTTAAATTTGGCAGACCTTGTGACAGCGGCCTTTTGGATATCTCACAGAGTACATATGCCCACTAACGATAATCTAAGGTCTTAATGTGCCTAATTGACCAAAGTTTTTGTAGTGTTTGGTTTGGTTGACAAATTGAGTATAAGGTACCTCAGAAGAGTAATACACATATACCTGTACCTTGGAATATGTACAATTGTTGTTCCTTTTAGGAAAACTGCATATTATTTAATTCGAACTTGGAATTATGTTGCATTATTCACAATACAATCAATTTTTTTTAAAAGCAGGCCTGCACTACTTGTAGCTATTTGCGCCCTCCATACAGCCCACAATGCCTAATCGGTACCCGTTGGTCCCCCATGGTCCCCTTTTTCTTATGTTAATTGAGAGCCTGTTCGATGAGATAAGCACCTGCTTAGAAGGTGGTCGCGGTCTCGTGTCTACTTGTCAGAGTCGCATAGAAGTCTCCTTACATGAAGCACAGGTGGAGTATGGTTCTGTCTGTCTGTATGTGTGTGTACAATGTGCATGTGGTTGGTCATTTTTCCCGGGGGTTACGTATTCCGCACCTTGCCTGGCACGTAGTTCTTGTCCAGAGCCTTGTCTTGGAGAAACATGTGAAGGCTCTTCTCGTTCTGGGCGAGCGGATGCCCCGCAATTCTAATGAAGACAAACGATAAAATATTCAGAATATCAATAACAAAATTATAGCAAGCTACATCAGGCTCAAACTGAAGAAAGCATGTAAAAACATGGACAAATAGGTAACTTTTATAATGTAACCAAATGTAATGCATACATCTTTGTGAAGTCCCTTGATACAAATTATTTCATTCCCCTCTTACAAATAATTGTATTTCAATAGTCAGTATGTAAATTGCATATACTTGATGTGAAGTAGGGCCCTGTAGGGGAAGCCAATTGTTTGTCCTACCTAGCAACAACTAATGCATACCTGCCAACATTTGAAAATGAGAATTAAGAATTTTTAGCACGGTATGTCTTTGAAAATAAGAAATTATACATTACGCTACATTTTGTTATATACAGTCTAACGAAAATGGCCTATTACACAGGCATACTGGTAAGAGTGGTACCAGTGTCGATTTTAGTCTGAAGATAAAAGGCAGCAACATTTCAGCTTCCATAACATGCGAAGGCCCTTCTCATTCTGAGAGGCAGAAGCCCTGCAATTCTATTCAACACTAACAACAACAGTTACAACATGTACAACACCAACAACAAAAATGAAAGAATAAATAAATACAATTGTTAGAATTTCAATAGGATAATAGCAAGTTCAAAGTTCAAAATCTAATTACAAATTGAATTTGAACTTTCAGTTACAGGTGAAGGCTCTATTCATTCTGGGACCTGTTTTGTATAAAACTTGTTATTAATAACAAACATTGCTGAAGTTATCGATCAGAACCAAATTTGTTACGGACGGACGGAAGGACGAACGCACGCACGGAAGGACAGATGGCAGCGTTACTACATGTATATCCCCTCTGACTTCGTCGTTGAGGGGATAATAAAGACAAGTCTACATCTGCCCTCAATTTCACAGATGTACAATTTTCCTAAACTTACTTATTGATAAACTCCTCCAGAGCCGTCTGCCTCTGTTCAATGAACTCGTCCTCAAATATACCGTCTCCTTTCTTCAGAAATGGAAGCTGTCGACCCAGAGCTTTACCAGGTAATGCAGGTACAACAATCTACAGACAGAAACACAATGGAAACATGATCTAACATGAAATTGACTTAGAAATTAATTAAATAAATTAGAAATCAACCTTACCGAATGTCAATAGCTCTGTCCATAACCTTCTGTAATGTTCTTATGAAAGCAGAAAAATGTTTGGAGCAACAACAAAAAATCACAGAAAACCTGTCATGGGTACATGTAAATTCAAGAAAAGGCTGTGACTGGATCTTTAATTGTCGTGCTAGCTGGACACCCTAGGTGATTGCTCGGCTTGCCAAATTCAACTTTCTGTGGTCACTTAGTTGATATTTATAGTAAACTGCAGACGAATCACATGCAAATGATAACTGAGGTTTTTGGTTTTTGAAGGCAACAAAAACAGGCTTCAGGTTGCAACATTTGGAGGACTTTAAGTTATTTTGTGCCATATGTTACCAACTGAAGAGTGGTCCACAAGGGGTTTAAACATGAAACAGCGACGGTTTTTAATTTTCTTTTACAGAGTCGACTTTTGATTGTTCAGATTTGAAAATCAGGAAAACAGGTTAGTATTCATTCTTAATGAAAATAAATGAATTATTAGTCATAAAATTAGTTTGAAAATGATTCAATACAAGGCTCAGATTGCACCGAAGTGTATCTAAGAGCCCGTAAGATAGACCCAGGGCCTGGCAACAAGGGACTTTGTGCTTTGCATACGTCAGTTCATACTCTTTCCACCTTCTAATTTGACATATTTAACTATTTGTTGGCGGACAACCCTGCAACTGATCACAGATTTTAGTATGATTGATGACTGTGTGAAATTTATATTCTGTACTAGAGCCTGGATCTGAATACAATTTCTCCGTCAAGGATATTCATCGTTCCTGTTATTGCATACATGTAACAATACAGAACATATACAGTAGGACACAACATGACCAAATACCTACTTACATGTATTCCCCATTCCTATGAGAAATATTTGCAATCCAAATTATCAATAATAATCACAAAAAACAAATTCACAACAATGTCCAGGAAAATAAAAGCTTTCAAGAAAATCATTTCACTTATCAAATTTATCATCTGATTATAAAAATATGATTTCAGCTTCAGTTTTGGTTCATAGATTCTTTTGCAAAGGGCCCATTTAGGATTGCCTGATGCTATCAGAAGTCAGCACATCTCTCATAGTTATGTTTTGGATTTTATGTCCCTCTGACTAGCATACATGACCTGCCCGTAAATCTAACAACATTCCATTACTCCTAAAAATTCATGGTGAAACGACAAAACTTACAGAAACAGTGTCAAACTTCGGTTTCCATGTAAGATCTTTAATTATACCAGCATCATGTTTATTTCAACTTCAAATGTCTTCATGATACAGTCAAACCTGCTTTAGTGACCACCTGTCTATAAAGACCACCTGTCTACAAAGGCCACGTTTGTTGTTTCCCTTGAAAATGGTTTCTTATTGAATCATGTACTAAAGGAACCTGTCTACAAAGACCACCTGTCTACAAAGGCCACTTTTTGTGTTTCCCTTGGGTGGTCGCTATAGACAGGTTTGACTGTATTACTACTCAAATGAATCACAATTGGAAGACATACAACTTAGTTTTAACACATGTAATTATTTAATTATTTACTTACTTTACTATCTCTTTCTAACTCTTGTTTGAGAAACTCGAAGTCACTGTATCTCCGCCGTACTGTTGATTCTTTGTTCTTGAAGACCGGTAAATTTGTCTGTTATTATCAAGATAAATTGTCATGTAAGTTAAGGTGATACATGTTTGTACACACATCTTATCTTTCTTCAGATGAAAATTAAGAAGACTTTCTGATTACGGTCTTACTTTATGTTATTTTTTATGTTTATCTCAAAACAAATGAAGAATACACAATTAAAATTTGATACTTACTTTACGATAATAGCGCTTAGTGTAGAAAGGCATGCAGCCAGGGAGTTCACTAAATTCAGCGAACTCCGTGCAATGATGTACTGCCTTTGTATACTATACTAATCGCTATCATCGTAAAGTTAGTATCAACTTGGCACCACAAAATAAGTTTTGTAAAGTGTATACCGCGTGTCTGCATTTCAGCCGGAACTGACATCGCAAACTCTCATAAGAGTTTAGCGTTTTTGTTATGTAAATCCCACCTTTACTAATTATCATCAGGAACACATGGAAGGTAAGCAAATTGCTATCACTCGATCCGGTAGCAAAATCTTACATTCTATATTTATTTTTTTACTGATTTCAAAGTGCTTTTTATGAGAAGAAAGAAGAGTCCACACAAGCGAACTCCGAAGTCTGCACTGTGCAATGTTTTTTGGGTGCGAGAAGGTGTGATTTTGGACGCATTTTAAGTTTTGTTTACCAGCCTCTCCATGCAGGGCTAAGTGTAACTCCGGGAAGCTCCAACACCGGCGCCGCAGGCGTCGGAGCTTCGGGTTCATGCATCAAAACGAATTCTAACAGCGGGTTGGGTGACATTATCTCAATACATTATCTCAAAACTACAGCGTATGCGTACTTAGTGCGTACTTTCTCTTCGCCGGTTGAATGAAGGAAACAACATGGAAGAATCGTCGGGATAGGACAAAGAATCACGCCCTTTTTCCCCATCAAAGACTTCTTCAAATTATAATTTCAAGTTGCCGACTAGATGCCCAGAGGCATCAAGCAACCTAGTAAGTCAAAATTGTAATTACTCCCTTTGCATATATGTCACCCAACCCGCTGTTAGAATGGTTTTTGATGCACGAAGCCGAAGCTCCGACGCCTTCGGCATCGGTGTCGGAGCTTCCCGGAGTTAGGCTAAGTGATACCAAATTTACCAATTTCATATTTTGCATTGTCACTTATCACTTAGATCTAGCTCTTAAGGCGAAAAAGAGTAATGTTAAGTCTAGATCTAAATAACAAAAAAACTGAGGGCAAAATTTTCACAGATTTGCGTCAAAAATCGCTAGTAATAATAGTATTGTGCCACCCCCTTGCGCAAGCCATAGACTAATAGGGAAGGTTGACGAATGTCAGTTTTATTAAATAATTCCCCATACCAGACGGTTATTTCTGTCTACATAAATGAACATGGGTTAGGTCTATGCTACATGACATCTCGCACACACAACTAACGTTTGAACTCTACACTAGCCTACATGTAGAGTAGGCCTACTACAGTGATCACGCCTCCTTCAGTTCAGAAATCAGTACTCACACACACAGACTACGGCCAGTACGGGCACTCACCTTCATTCTGACTTCGTAATCTGTGTATCTTTTGTTTCCGATGCCATGAGTTTGATGATTACAGACATCTATTTCAAGGAAATTAGCAGGAGCAGCATAAGCATCATCAAGAGTTTGCCTCTTGGAGTCCAAACGACTTGTATCAATGTCAGCAGCAGCAGGTTTTGTGGATCCGTCTTCCGCCATGTTTCGTTTTTTTCCAAGCTATATCGAGCTGCAAAGACGGTTTAATTTCACGACACTTTACTGTGACTTACTTCCGTAGTCCGTAGGCGGATATTCGGTTGAGCTGAGTTGATTTCATTCTCATTGACTCCACTTTAATCCAAACACATCTTTATGTTACTACTTGAAAGTGTGTCGTCTTATTTCGGAGTTCATTAAATGAAATTAAAACGAGAAAAGCAATACATAATGAATAGTTTGATTATAAATTACGTTAGATAAACAGTACTAATAAATATAATTATATAGATCTAGGTAGAACGTTAAAAGTGTTACATAACTACATACTAAACTATACATGTATAATTTATTTACAACTCAAGTTATTAACATACAAAAATTGATACTAAACTATACATATTGACAAAACAAGCCGTGAAGGTGGAGGATTTTTTAATCATAGTTCCCTTACATCCCGCCTTTAATACTTTTATGATAAGCTCGAAAAGTTGGAGAAGTCATAGGTTTTGTGAAAACTTTTTATCTTATTTGATGTTTTTTATATATGCTTTGAAACCTCATCTATCCTCTTCCTTGGCACTAGAATTAATAATGAGACTAAATCCATTAAAAAACAGACGATATTACGATTTTGCTATTTATGAAAAAAAAACAGCAAGAAAAATACAGAAGAATAATATTAAAAACATTCTGATAAAGACTATAGCGGTGATTTCTTTACTACAATATACTCGCGTGCTATATTGCGGGACTGGCCACTCTTCGCTAATAATACTCTTTGATGTGGAAACAATAATGGGGCCAGGGTGGCCGTGATATCTCCGAAGGGGGAGGTAACCCCCCCCCCCCCCCCCTACACTTTTTATAACATGGATTTTTATATAGTCAGGGATAGTTCCATAATTCTGTTGTAGGGGGAAGGGGGAACAAATACATTTTCGTGTGCCCAACCTCTAGAATTTATTTTGAAGGGCACACGTACGTACAAGTTGTGTTTTTCTGTGTTGTATAATACTGAATTGGGATATACTAAATTGGGTTTTTACCAAGGAGGGGCCATACGCCCCCCCCCCCCTCCCCCAATGAGGTAGACAAGAATTGTCCCGAGTTGGAAGATATGGGAATGTAGTGGGTTTGACTTTGAACCCCGGCATTTAATGTCATTCACAAAACTAATTGGCAAGTAGCCTATTAGGTCTAGTGATCGACTTGATTGACTATTGACTCTTTGTTTTTACAGTATCTGTCTTTATCTTGATCCTTCTCTCTCTCTCTCTCTCTCTCTCTCTCTCTCTCTCTCTCTCTCTCTCTCTCTCTCTCTCTCTCTCTCTCTCACCCTCTCTCTCTCTCTCTCTCTCTCTCACCCTCTCTCTCTCTCTCTCTCTCTCTCTCAACCTCTCTCTCTCTCTCCCTCCCGCTCTCTCTCTCTCTCTCTCTCTCTCTCTCTCTCTCTCTCTCTCTCTCTCTCTCCAGAATGCATGGGCACTCACGGGATAGGATTCATAACGTCATCGTATAGTTTAATTAACTTAAGTAGAAAAGAGACAAAGCAGAGAATGTTGAACGAAATCGAAAGCAAAAGAAAAAAAGTCATTAAAATTGTAATCACGTATATACCTATGCAAATTTTAGAATGACTTACTTTCATGCTTTATATACATCGAAGGGATATCTTTCGCTCATTATCCATTCTTGTATGTTTTCTTCTCCCCCCCCCCCCCCCCCCCCGCCCCTAAACTACTAAATCATCCCATTTGCGTTCGTTCCAACGTGCACACATACAATTTTACCTCTTTCAATTTCATATTTACAATGATGGTACATTCTTACATAATTATATTCACATAATATAGATCAATTAGCACAGTACAATACATTTTTTTTAAATGAAATTGAAAGGGAAGAAGGGCCGACTAAAAGCAGAGCTTGGGGTATAGGCCCCCTGTAAAAGTAATTGTTATGAATTATTATTTTTTTGAGAAAAAAAACAATAACAATAACTGATTCAGTAATACAAAAATCATTTTAAAAATAAATACATACATACAAAGAAACAATCAAGGTTACACAAACATCAAAGTTGCATAAAGTTACTTTACAAAATTTGATTGGGGAATGCAATAGCCTATAGTCACTATTCAGAAGAACGCTTTTAAGTCTCCTTTGAATCGAATAAATTAAGTATCGAGTTTTCAAAATGTTTGAATCAGGAGGGCCTTTTCTTTTTAATCATCCTGTAATAATATGCTATCCATCACGTATTTAATATTTTGAGCAGTGCATCAGGGGAGAAAGCACATAGGAGAAACCATATATTAATCATATTTTTGTAGGCCTACGTGACAAACGGGAGAGTTGCCCGTGTAGTCATTATATACGTCACAATCCACTAGCCAAATTACCAAATTGAAATTTGTAAAGATTTAGTGATCTCATTTTTCAAACACTCAAAACTTTCTTATTATTGGTCCAATTTATATCGATATTTTGTCATTCTGTTTCTTTGCTTTCATACAAATAAACTCATTACAAAGGTTGCATGAATTGCCCTTAAATGCACGCCTGGAAAATGGCCCCCACCTTCAACATATTATTCGTACGAGTGTTTCGTTAGGGTCTGACATTGTGTTGCCGAATGAATAGCCGACCAACTTCTCAGTTTATGCAGTTTCAGGCACGTAGCCAGAGTTTGATGTTTGGGGGGCACATACAATTATCGATCGAGGTTTAAAAAAAAGGGGTCTAAAAAAGTTAAATCGATCTTGGAAAAAAAATTTGGGGGCACGTGCCCCCCCCCCCCCCCCCCATGGCTACGTTACTGTGCAGTATACATGTTATCGCCTCACCCCCCCCCCCCCCCCGCGGGTCGGAAATTTGAAGAAGTGCTTTTTAAAAAGGTATGACTAAAGACTGCAACACACAAGTTTTGGCTCTGGAGGGTCCAAGAGTGCAGCGTTTAGACTAATAAAAATGCGACTGAAATCTTCTCGATCGGTCGCTATAAGCTTCCTCGCATAATATCCTTTCTAATGTACAAGTAAATAGTGGGAAATAGAAATCCCATCCATGCCCAAGCGCCCTACTTACTAACATTTAACTCCTTATATTTAAAACTCTTAGGACTGCTGCGACTGCACACTAATTGCTGGCAAAGCAGAGAAGTGTGAACAAAGTATATTGCTTGTTTTTTATACTAGTATTTCTAAGGAATGTAATTTTTTAATACAACAAAACTTCAAAAACCTGTGAGGTGGTAGTCATTTCCATTACCTTCGCCTCTCTTCGCTAAGCTCCCTCGTCCCTCGAATTTCGCCCCCCCCCCCGGTCATGAAAAGAAATCGCCGCCCGTTGGGGCAACGATTTCATTTTGTCATCAAAATATTCATTAAAAGTTATGAAATAAACTGCTTCGTACGCCTTTGGGTTTGAATGACTTCAGCAGGGAATGTGAAGGTGAGCACATTTTTTTTTTGCTCCCGAAAATTTTAAAATTTGCACCCCCCCCCCCCTCTCTTGGGCGCCAGGGGGGCCATCCCCCCCCCCCAAAAGGTAAAAATCACGTTTTTCCCAGGGGGAAGGGGCCAACCCCCCCCCCCCCTGGCTCCGCCACTGAAAGGGTTTGGTGCTATTTTTCGGTTGTAAAATAACAATTTACGATAACAGTAATACTGTAGTAACAGTAAAAAACCTATCCACTTTTAAGCGTTTCATTTGTTATGGATGATGCGATCATAATTATTTGACAACTGTCCCGAAATAATTATATCATTAAGTCATCCGGTCCACACTGACTCTCCAACACAAATGGTTATTCTGATTTTTCAGGCTTAAAAAGATAAAGGTCATTGGAACAATGTTTTTAATTTTATCAACAGTAGCTCTCAAAATACAAATAAGCAACAAAAAGGAGGAAACAAAAGAAAACGTCTTGCTCTCAAATTTGATAGACTATAAACAAGTACTAGTATCGCGCCATCTTTTGATAGACATTGTGCACTTCATGCTTTGATGAATATATAAATCACTGAACTCTAACACTACGTAGTGTTAGAGTTCAGTGATTTTGAAGTAAATCTGGGTTAGCAGAGCGGGGGGGGGGGGGGACACCGGTCTTGTTTCTTTGTGAATTAAATAGCTGAGTCGAGCACTACGGAAATATCTAGAGAGGAGTCGTATCCTTTCCTTTCACTTCAAGTGCCTTACATTTTCATTTTGGTTTTCGACCTCTTTAGCTATGCCATTTGATATATGGGGGCACATGCAGTGCCAAAAAGTAGGTTTAAAAAGAAGGTGGTAACTTTAATTTTACCCTGACAAAAAAGGAAAAAAAGACGGGTCCCCTCCCCTGGCAAAAAAAGAAGAAGAAGTAGTTAGCTGTTTTTTCTTACTCAAAGTGGGGGAGGGGGGGGGGTTGAGTGAAAAAAAAGAAAAAAAAGAGCTCCATAATCCATCCAAGCAATCGACTGAACTAATCAATCATAAAACAAATGATTTAATTACTATTGTATCGAAGCACATTGATCAATCATTACAGAAATTAACCAGTTAAATCAATCACTGTAATGATCGATCAACCAACCAACCAATCATTCGGGCAACCAACCAACCATTCAATCATTCGGTCAACCAACCAACCAATTAATCAAACAATCAATCAGTCAACCAACCAACCAACCAACCAATTAATCAGTCAATCAACCAACCATCAATTAATCAATCAATCAACCAACCAACCATTCAATTAATCAATCAGTCAACCTACCAACCAATCAATTAATCAGTCAATCAACCAACCAACCAACCAACGAATCAATTAGTCAAGCAGGCAACCAACCAATCAATCAATTAATCAGTCAATCAACCAACCAATCAATCAATCAAGCAGGCAACCAACCAACCAATCAATTAACCAAGCAATCAATCAGTCATCACACCAATCAATCAAGCAAGCAATTAATCAAGCAATCAACTAACCAATTAGTCAACCAACCTATCAATTAATCAGTCAACCAACCAACCAACCAATATTCAAGCAATCAATCAGTCAACCAATCAACCAATCAATTAATCAGTCAACCAACCAATCAATTAATCAGTCAACCAACCAACCATCAATTAATCAGTCAACCAACCAACCAATTAATCCAGCAATCAATCAGTCAACCAAGTAATTAATCAAGCAATCAATCAGTCAACCAATCAACCAAGTAAATAATCAGTCAACCAACCAACCAATCAATTAATCAAGCAATCGACTAACCAATCAGTCAACCAACCTATCAATTAATCAGTCAACCAACCAACCAACCAATATTCAAGCAATCAATCAGTCAACCAACCAACCAATCAGTCAAACAACCAACCAACCAATTAATCAAGCAATCAATCAGTCAACCAACCAACCAATTAATCGAGCAATCAATCAGTCAACCAACCAACCAACCAATTAATCAAGCAATCAATCAGTCAACCAAACAACCATTCAATTAATCCAGCAGGCAACCAACCAACCAATCAACCAACCAATTAATTAAGCAATCAACCAACCAATCAACTAACCAACCAGCCAATTAATCAAGCAATCAATCAGTCAACCAATTAATTAATCAAGCAATCAATCAGTCAAACAATCAACCAACCAATCAATCAAGCAATCAATCAACCAACCAACCAACCAACCAACCAATTAATCAAGCAATCAATCAGTCAACCAACCAACCAACCAATTAATCAAGCAATCAATCAGTAAACCAATCAACCAATTAATCAAGCAATCAATCAGTAAACCAATCAACCAATTAATCAAGCAGACAATAAACCACCAATCAATCAACTAACCAACCAGCCAATTAATCAAGCAATGAACCAACCAATCAATCAATCAATCAGCCAATCAATCATCAATTAATCAGTAAACCAACCAATCAATAGCCTATTCATTCTTAAAGTTAATCAAACAACCACCAACAGCAATTTAAAAAATTCATCAATAAACAAATTAATGATTCGGAACCAACTATTATGTCATGCAATCACTCCTTCAATTGACAAGGGATTTATTTCACGAGTTGGCCAATACCCCATTGAAACGTGCATATATTAAGATTGAGACACGTTTTGATGCGATGCCGGTGAATTTGTACTTGGGACGGTTTCTTGAAACTAATCACTCAGTCAGTCATTCAATCAGTCACATAATCTAACCACTCCATTCGTCATTTGGTTAATGTATGAGAACAGAAACAATGATATAATTTCATTAACTTGGCTTTAATTGTTCAACAATATACCTCTCTTTCATATTTTAAAGAATACAAAGTATCTACATGTACATTAAAGAAAAATGCTGAAACTCTCAAAAATAATTTAATTTCATTACATTGTAAGGAATGTTCTATTTGATTTCTCTAAATCAGGAGCAGTTCAGGGACCCGTTTCACAAAGCCTTTATTCAATTACAAATATCAGTGACTAATCTGCTGATAACCAATCAGAAGCAAGGATTTCAGTAGCTTATAACAAAAACTGTCATTTGTCACTGATCACAAGTTTTGTGAAACGCCCCCCAGGTCAAATAATTGATTACCTAGGTCAATACTGAAGAAGGTAAGGGATGTGTGAGGTTTCTTGAGTCCCACATCCTAATTATCCTACCATTGATCTGGATTGGGGTTAAAGGGAAAATCCAACATTGATGGCAAACTACGCTTTAGGAAAGGAGAAAAATCAGAGAAGACAGGTGAAATTTGGATGAACTCTGACAAAAAATGAGAAAGTTATGATTTTTTAATGTTGTAAATCACTATAGGTAAGGGCTCTTCAAATTGACTGAATAAGTTATGTCTCTGTGATGTGGTGGCAGCAAACTTTCCCATTTGTTTCAACAAACGAAAGGACTGAAATTTCAATCATCAAAAAATGTATGAAACAGGAGGGTCTATCTTTAGAGGACCTATAATATAAAGCTTTCTATAATATATTTTGATTAGCGCTCCAAGGGAGAAGGCACTAAGGAAAAAACAGAAATTAATGATATTTTTGTACACGACAAACCAGAGAGTTATCCGTGACTACGTCACAACCCACAGACCAAACTGCACATTAGATTATATACAAAATAATATAATCTATGAAGGCAAGTTTCTTCGCAAATGCAGTAATATCTCATAAATCATCTATATACAAACAATATTTACAAAATATGCTTTTTATCAATTATCTAATCTATAATTTATTGTCACATAACTTTAATGTACATAATATTTAACAAATTGAAACAAACCTAAGACACAACAAAGATATTTTCTCTTTGCAGGCACCTTACATCTTGCTTGAAAGCCCAATAAGTTGATCATTTACGTGGCAGAAACACAAAGAATACTCTTTAACCTCAACATTCACAAACGTTCTTTCAAATTATTTTCAAATTATTTACAAAAATTGAAAACCATACTTACAAGTAGTATCAAGATGCTAATGAACATAATATTGCACTACAGTTTTATATTATGAATGCACACACTGGAATTCATACATATTTCATGTGTTTATTTCTTTATTTTTTTACAGGTACAATTTCAAAACGATGAGACACATCGTTGAGCTTGGGCAGCAAGGCAACCAGGAAATACAAAGACAAACTTGGAATGACAACAACAACAAAATATATAGATATCTGGAGGTAAATTCATGCCTACATGTATGTGCATCTCCCAGAGTATAGATAGAGAGCAAATCCAATATTTATAATGAATGAAATAATTCCCAGTATTTTGCAATAGATTTTGTATGAGTCGTTGTCTATAGAAATTAGAAAAAAGCTATGCTAGAGACCCAAATTATCATTTCATTCAGAATTTAAAAGTCCCCCCCCCCCCCCTGTTTTCTCTGTCTGTCTCTGTCTCTCTCTCTCTCTCTCTCTATTTCAATGAATGTAGCTTTTCCCATTTTCAACAAAACAAGAAACAACTTGTGAACAGATCATTTATAAACAAATTGTATTGTTGAGGAATCATACTTCCACACAACTAAATAACATATAGAAAGAAGAGAGATGATCATTCAAGGAAAATACACATATTTTTGCCGCTGAAGCAACAGCTTTGTACAGCAATGACAGATCATATTTCCATTTAAATCCGAATACTGAAAAAACATATTGTATTGAAAACACTACTGCAAAGGTCTGGAAAGTTTATTCCAGATTCAACATGGCAAATACGAGGCAATAATAGGGCAAATCTATTGATTGTATCTGCATTGTATGTACCACAATTTTACATCTGTAAGACGAAGCCTCATTCGTCTGTTACGAATCCCTAAACACTGACTACAGACTTATCGTTCTCACTCTGAACCCATTAGCACCAACAGATTTTGCATATGGCAGTTGACAGGCAAGAAAAGGGAAAGAGAGGATTATGAAAATAACGTTTTGAGCGGTACTACCAGTGGTTTGGACAGAGCAAGTAGTCGTAGGAGAGAAGGCTGGGGATGCATTTGGTGCTAAAGGGTTCAGAGTAAAAATACTACGGTAGACTGCTTTTAAATATATGTAAGCCAGCAAGAAAGCAAGCATGGACCTATTCATTATGGTTCTACAGGATCAACGATGCATCCAGGTCTTGGACACCCCTTATACCTGCAGTTCATCCTGTAACTCGTCCTGGAGTTCTGTTGCCTTCCAGTTTGTCTCGACATTGCACACCTGGGGCCCTGTTGCATAAAACTTACAATGACTGATTGCTACAATTCTGTAACAAATTTGCTCTAAGCCGACCAATTTGAATGATTCCAGTAGCTAATATCAATTATTGTAGCTTGTCATTGATGACCCTGTTTGATGTAAGGGCCAAGAAAGGCTTGTAGCAGATGCCTCTCTTTCTGTGTCAGATCAGTCTGAAGAACTGAAAACCTCACCATTACAATAGCATATCACTGGCATCACTGCAAAGGGTACTGTTGATTGAAGTTTCACTCATGGGTTTGTTACCATTGTTGTTATTGGCATTGTCTTCATTGTTTTTAACTTCCTTCTTGTGCAGATTGCGATACATCTTGGCCATCTTGCTCAGCTTCCCCGTGCACTCGTCGCTGTTGCTGTTGTTGGCGTTGCTGACACTACTCGAAGGCATCTTGAACCCCGCGGTCGGGGACATCACCTGCTTGGTGCGCGGTGTCCTACCAGGGCTGATGGCTCTGTTCTTGCCCGAAGGTCCGGGGCTGGTGCCTCGCTTGGTCGGACCGGGGCTGGTGCCGCGTTTCGTGGGGCCTGGACTTGTGCCTCGCTTGTTGGTCCTGCCTGGGCTGGTGCCACGTTTGTTTATTGGACCGGGGCTGGTGGCTCTTTTGGCCGCCGCAGCCGATGCGGTCGAAGAAGAGCTGGATGAGGACGAGGAGCTCCTGGAGGAGCCGTTGATCATGCTGAGGTTCTGGGTGGAGGTGCTGTGCTTGATAGGGAGCTTGGAGGATCCACCTCCGGGAGAGGAGATCCTGCTGGTAGAGCCTGGAGACATCAAACGGGAATGCTTGTTGCTGTTGGCCTGTGATCCAGCTGAACCTCTCCGCTGCTTGATGGGAGTACCACCATCTAGTCACAAAGAAAGAAACAAGAATTTTATTTTATTATTAAATGCATATATGATACGCTAAGGCAAACAACTACATGCCATGAAAAACAAAGTTATCACTCATACTTGTAACTTGTCAGGCTTTTTAACCAGGGGGCTTCAAGAACAACAAATGAACTTTTATTTATCAATCCACATAATTTAAAGATGTCCCCACACCTTCTAGCATATATTTTATCAAAGATAAAGGAGGGGACAGAAGCCTCCGAACGATTAAAAAAAGCTAGAGTATATTTCTTTGTTAACTTGCTGTCTGCAACAGTTCACAGTTCATAATTTGACTAAACGTCGCGATGAAAGTAATATTTGAAATAAACCATTTTTAATTGAATTGAATTGAATTGAATATTGATATTGGGTCATATCATCTGCTTGGAGCCAGAAGTGTGTTTTGAACTTTAATCTATTTCAATATATTGATATACCCTGATTGTATCTCCAGTTCATCATCCTGCATACTGTCTGATTGGTGCCAGAAGGGCGTTAACTCATATACCTTAACACAGAGTTACCCCCCCTTCTGGTTCTCAACAGATGATATCCTGTTGTGATGCTTCGACAATTGCTCTTGCAACAATTGCTTCAGGCTTTTTCTTGTCTAATATTTAGGTTTATGGTTGCAAATGGGATTTAGGTTAGGATTTGTGTTATGTTTAGTGTTTGGGGGTGGACTTTAGCTGGTGTTGGAAATTACTGCAGAGCTATTGTCGCAGGGATAAGTGTTGTGTATATTTGTTAGAGCTTAACTCATATCCTGCCATAAGGCCGCATGCAAGCTACCGTTATAGTGCTTTGTACACGTGAGTGTGTTATCGATTGGCTGCTTTATTCATGCGAGTGAACTACCGCTTCGTTGCTTCATGCATGTTGTCTCACATTCGTAATAGCAGTTATTGTTCATGCCCATTGCACTGCGCTGAGTGCTTCGCACACGCTATTGATCGCACCATCAGATTATCAGATTATCTCAAAATAAACTTGGCACTGGGGGGATTTGTGGCTTGGCACAATGGGGATTAGCCATGTGGCTCTGGGCTGTATTCATTATGTCAGGATAAGAGTTAAAGGTAAAGAACCCACCTGCTTCAGACTGCATCTCCAGCTCGTCCTCCGCTTCCAGCTGCTTCTGGAGGTAGAGGTTGGGCTCCGACCCGCTGCGCTTGATCTGGGGTACCTTGCTGCCCTTCTTGCCGGCCTTGATGCGCCCCTTGCAGGCACTCTGCCCCCCTCCTCCGCTGGGGCTGGAGAGGGTGCTTCCGCCGCTCTTGGAGCGCGACCGGGCGAAGAGAGGATGCTGGTGCTGGCTGCTGTCAGTGGATGGGGATTCGGGCTTCGTCTTATTCTGAAAGGAAGGTAAAAGATGATGCAGAGATGGTAATGAAGTACATGTAGAGATTTATATCATCATACTAGAAATTATTTCTTGTCAAATAACAGCAGTATTCTATTAACAAACAACTTGTAAACATGCTGGCTGCTGTCGGTGGATGGGGATTCGGGCTTCGTCTTATTCTGAAAGGGAGGTAAAGATGATGCAGATATAATGAAGTGTATTCATTATTAATTCATTCATATGAACCCTTGCAATGGATGGACAGTTTCTGTTCTTAAAGCATTCCCTTGATCAATAGCAATACAGTTTTCCACAGATCTAAAGAAGCGCCAGGAGTGTCAAGTCTGACAGACATTTGAGCTTTACAAGAAAACCCACTATTATTATGTAGAGATTGATATCATCACACTAGAAATGATTTCTTGTCAAATAATAGCAGTGTTATTTCTGTTGCACATTCATATTCTATCAACAAACAACTTGTAAACATTGCATGCAGATTTAAATGGTTAAACTAAAAATATACTTCTACTTATCCTTACTTTAGTCACCGATTCATAATTTCCTTTATTGATTTACCCATTCCTTCTTTCTTTCCCTTTTCCAACTTTTCCTTCCTTAATTCATTCACTCATTTCATCATTCATTTGTTCTTTCATCTACTCATTCATTCATTCATTCATTCATTCATTCATTCATTCATTCATTCATTCATTCATTCATTCATTCATTCATTCATTCATTCATTCATTCATTCAATCACTCATTCATTCAATTAAACCCTTATTCTGTCACTACTTCATTCATTCATTCATTCATTCATTCATTCATTCATTCATTCATTCATTCATTCATTCATTCATTCATTCATTCATTCATTCATTCATTCATTCATTCATTCATTCATTCATTCATTCATTCATTCATTCATTCATTCATTATTAATTCATTCATAGGAATCCGTGCAATGGCCGGACTGTTTCTGGTTTTACAGCAATCCCTTAACCCATAGTACTTCAAAGCTTTCTAAAGGTCTAAATGAATCAGCTTTTCGTCCTCAAATTGGCAACAAATTAGTCATATTTCCCACACTTTCATATAGTTTGAAAAAATCATAATGTTTATCAAATTAACCAATGGGGTGGAAAATTTCAAAAAGTCAACATGAAACTGCCAATATCAAATTAATGATATGTTACTCCTCATACAGTACTGTATGTCAAACTAACCAATGGGGTGGACAATTTCAAAAAGTCAACACTAAACTGCCAATATCAGATTAATGATATGTTACTGCTCGTTGCCAATTTAGAAACAATAATGATTATTTTCAAATAAATCAACCTTATTCATGGAAAATTTAATGGCACAATGGATTGCACCAGAAACAGAAATGGACTCAATTTTCCATCAATTTCTGCGCTTTCTGCTCATGTGTAATTTGTTATTCAGAGCATTCTGGATAAAAACATCACTAAAAGGAGAGTCTAAATGGATTATTATCTCCCAGACAACAATTACTGCACCTACAGTGGTGTGAAGTAATGGATCTGGTTATGTGTATACATACTCTAAATATTTTCTACTTTTAAAGCCCCTATAACTGAGTGTTGGTAATCCCAAATTTGCCAAAAATCTAATGGCAAAATTTCACTTAAATTGTATCATGATGTGAAAGGGGAAGTCATTTGAGAGACACTTCCCCCCCCCCCCCAAAAAAAAGGCAAGTTTTTTTTTAAGACAAATGCATAATTTGGGTTTTCTGTAGTATGCAGAAAACCTAAATTTTGTATTCTTTCGTCAATATTCAACTTCAAACACATTTGTTTTGAAAATCTTTGGGTAAATGTATCTTAAATGTCATCCTCTTTCACATTATGATACAATGTAAGTGAAATTTTGCCACCTAATTTTTGGGCTCCCAACACTTTAGAGGGGCTTTGTAATTTGTATCTGGAAATCCAAATAAATCCAAGATTCTGTGACTTTCAAGAGGCATATTTCATATTCCATTATTTCATATTACCCTTTTTTTGACAAAATGCAGGCATTCACATGCACCTTAAGTGCAATCAGAGATATCACAAAACCTAATAGATGAGTGTTTTCTAACGTGCGAAATGAAAACAAAATCAATTAGAATGACCCGAGGAGAGGAAGTGATTCTGTTGTGTATACATCTGTTGTGTTTCATTTCTATACAGCTTTCGGATGGAAATCCCGATATCACACACAATACGGTAAATACAGTATTTGGCATCACCTGTGCCTGGGAGGTGAAAGCGAACTGAATCACTGTAACCCTCATGTCTCTCCACCCGGTATAAATGATTTGGGGTGTTATGGTGGACCATGCACTACGCAGGGTTTCCCCCTACTCTTTGGGATCCTTAACGTGCAAAGGTGGTGACTCTCCTCTACAAGAAGCCCCCATTTAACGTCCTATCCGAGGGACAGAGTGTTTTCCACAGTACCATAGAAACAGGGGATATTCTCTGCCTGGATTGGATTTGAACCCTACTGTGGTCCTTGTTCACATGTTCACACTGTAATTGTTGCCAAAATATATAATCTTATTGATTTTGTTTGGGGGAAAATTCAGTAATCCAAAGACCTTGGAATTAGAGGGGTTGCGCAGATGTTCACGCATAAGGCGTTAATCTGACGTAATTCAGCTCCAATGAATCCAATGACCGGGGTAATAGTATATCTGTAAAGCGCTTAGAGACATCGAAGATGTATTATTCAAGCGCTATATAAAAGCGGAATATTTATTACTATGATGTCCACCATAAGAAAAATACCACTTTGGTATTAGTACAAAATTTCACAAATGCCTATCAAACTTGAACTTCAAATTTATTGTTTTATCAATCTATTTTTTTCTTCTTCACTCTATCAAGCCCCTTTTTAATTCCTCTCTCTCTCTCTCTCTCTCTGTCTCTCTCTCTCTTCTTCTTCATTTTTTTCCCGGCAATCTCTTCACATTCTCTTTTTCCTGCAACTATCTGCTTTTTATTCAATTTATCTTCCAAACATTCTAGCTCTTGGTCACCTATGTCTTATCCTATATCCTTTTGAAAGAAGACCAAGACCAGTGGGCTTCTCTGTCCCGGAAGTTCACAGCTTGCAACGATGATTGTTAAAAGGCATGGGACGAGCGACAAAATGAGACAGATTGTAGGATTATCACAGTATTTACGCTCTGACTGGAAGCCCCAAGGTCACTAAACTAGCACCTAAGCAAACAAAGTGGTAAAAATAAATCAATCTCGAAAGCATCCCCTTCCAAAAATAATCAATACAAATTCTACGAGTAGTCATGAATATACTGCATAGGAAAGTCTATACGTGCTTGTTCTATTGCCGTATTATTTACGTTTGCTTCATCTGTTCTAAGGCTTCACTTTGTTTGATTGTGTTGATGAGCCGGAGCCATTCACAGCAAGGAAAGTTTATCAAGTTCTTTTTTGTGTGTGTGTTTCCTGTAGGGAGATGCAGGTGTAACAATGTATAGCATCATTTGGTAGATTCTCATTGCAACCAGAAGTTTTAGAAAGCAAACCGTTGGGCATAGGAGAGGTCGAGAGGGGAAAGATAGAAGGAGAGGAGGGGTGGAGAAGGCTGTGATGGAAAGCAAGGACCGGTGGATCATCCTCGTGCTCGTTCTGTCCATCTGCCATGGAAGGGGACTGCCGGGGGTCGCGGGGGACACGGGGGATGATCGCAGCACCGCGGGGCATGATCGTAGCACCGCCTTTGGAAAGAGCAATTTCTTCCAGGATAAGTTCTGCGATCACTTCTGCCCCAAAGACGGCAGTCAGCCGAGGCTCACGTTGACGGATGAACAGATAGAGACCATTCTGAACAGTGAGGAGGTAGGGTGCCCTTTTATACACGAGGTGTCTGATTCCTTCAGGGATGGGATTCACTTGATGGGATTCACTTTAAGGGCTAAATTGATCAAACGTTTTTCCTCAAATTTGCACCAATACAATTTTAGTTTTATTGCTACATTGGTCTAATAGAAATTATGTCTCTGAAAAGCAACATCTATGCATAGGAAATTTAATAGTCAAATAGTTTTAAAATTGCCAATTTTGATAGAAAATAATGATTTTGAACCTCTTAATGTGTTGCCAAATTAAGGAGTTTAAAGCTGATTTTCCTTTTTTTTTAATTCCTGGCATCAAACGCTATATGGTCATGCAAAAATAAATGGATGTAGTGTGTACATACACACTTTTACATGTTGTATATTTTTTTTATTGCTCTGAAAGCAAATGTCATGTTGAACCAGACCACAAAATGTGGAATGATTGTCCTGAAAGGATTATTTAAAGACTAATTAATGACACATTAAATAGCCACTGCAACAGCAACAAATAATAAAAATCAATAACATTTCAATATTAAAAGGCATGAGGGGAATTTGAAGAAAGCATCTAAGGTACACGTTAAAAAAAGAAAACCCCCAAACAATCAGGAAAGTTGACCTGTTTTGGTAATATCTATTTTTAAAAGTGTAGAACTGTTTAAATGATCTATCCCTCTGAAATTTTGCACTGTTCAGCTACAGCAGCCTTCATCAGTGAAATGACCCGACTTAACCATTCTTTTACAAAATATAGCCTGAAGAATACATCATTTATAAAGCAAATATTATCTCACACTTTCTTATCACAGGGGAGTGTTTCACAAAGATCCTATTAGTTGAACTTATCTCTAAGTTGGACTTAACAATTATGGAAAGCCATTAGTATCTATGAAAATATTTTATAAAAGATATTTCAAAAGGCATAAAATGTTGATTTAATTCATTCATATTGTCTATTATCCAGAAGATTACATGTTCTTGATGTGGAATTTATAAAAATTCTAAAATACTTGAATTTTCGCTTTTGAATATATTTTATTTTAAGGCTGCAAATGGCTCTTCATAATTTTTAAGTCCAAGTTCAATTTGATCTTTGTGAAACACCTCCCAGATCTTGAAAATGCTGGAGGACAACCCTGGCCTACTGCACGACAACAAAGCCCTGGACTCGGCCTGCCTGATCAAGTTCAACGATGACCAGAGGGACTCCATACTCGCCCAGTACGGGGCCTTCTTCTCAACCCAGAACGAGTTGAAGTTACTGGAGGAATCTGCACGTAGCATCAATTTTGCAGACAACGTAGACTCGGACAAGACGGACTGGGACATGTTGGACAAGTTCTTGGAAACGAACAATCCCAATCCCGCAAGGAGCACAGAAAGAAAAGGTGAGGGGCAACTCAATGTTCATATTAAACGGCACATAAAGCAATTATGCAATTCGATATGACAAATTGAGGTTGGGACATTATTTATAGGCAGAGTGGCCCATTAGCAGGCCCCCAAAAATGAAATCCTCTGAATATAATCAGCATTTTGAAGTGAATATCGACTGAGAATCATTAGAAGAATTATTTACTATTACAGTTAAACCTGTCTACAGCAACCGCCCAAGGGAAACACAAATAGTGGTCTTAGTAGACAGGTGGTCTTTGTAGACAGGTTCCTTTAGTACATGTTTCAATGAGAAACCATTTTCAAGGGAAACAAAAAATGTGCTTGTTGTAGACAGGTGGTCACTAAAGCAGGTTTGCCTGTATTTGTACCAAGATTGATAACTTTCATGAATATGAACAAACAACAAAAATTGATTTATTAATTCTCATATTAAGTTGTGAAAAACATAATCCAAGTCTACTGACCTAAAATAACCTTTGACCTTGTCTTTGTGACCTGGAATTTGTGTCATCTGATTTGTGATACTTGATAACCCTTGGGTACAAGTTTCCGGAAAAGCGGCGCCTATGTCTCGCTTTTTGCTACGCAGGTGAGACAAAAATGGTGAAAATCACAAATACCAAGAGTAAACGCAAACAAAATATTATCATAATTATGAAGTGTTGTAGTTCAGCGGATAAGTCCCCACACTGTGGATCAAAAGGTAAAGGGTCAAGTCCCTGCTACATCACTAACGTCCTTTGTGAGACACTAATCTACGTTTGCCACACTCAACCCGGGTGAGGTAAATGAGTACCTGGCAGGATTATTCCTTAAAAATTGCATCATTTGCAGACAATGATTTCGACCGATCCAACTGTACAGCTATATCATTTCATTTCATTTTGTTGAATTCCATGATCCATGAAAAAAAATAACCACCCCCGCCATTTACTTTTCCTCTTCACTAGAACCTACTGCTAGCGATGAAGGCAAAGGCAAAGCCAACTCCAAAGAGCAGAAACAGCAAGAAACTAAAACAGAGGACACCCACAACAATATCTGGAACTACAGGTCATATAACAGAGGTAGCAGTAGCAGCAGCAGTAGTGGCAGCAGCAGCAGCAACAGTGGCAGCAGCAGCAGCAGCAGTGGCAGCAATAGTGGCAGCAACAGTGGCAGCAGAAGTGGAAGCAACAGTGGCAGCAGAAGTGGAAGCAACGAAAGGAGGAATAGTCATTACGGCTCTTCCAGTAGCAGTGGCAGCGATTCAAGACGACGAAGAAAGAGACGGGGAACTATTGACAAGACTCCGGAGGAAAGACAGAAACTGCTTGATGACTTCATCCAGAACAATTCCATAAGGTAGGGATGGTTACTTGAACACTTAATATTCAAGATCTCAATCAGTCAATTTGACCCCCCTGTAGTAATTTAGCGACTACTCGGCAGATATAAAGTTTTCCTTTCATGACTTTTTTCTTTTGAGTCTTATGCATCTTTTAAAACATTTTTTTTTTAAATGACTTACATGTATAGTTACAAAGTCACGTAATCTAGTCCAACTATGAACTTCAAATAATTTGTCCGCAAAGATATATTGCAGTTTAAATACATTACCAGTGAACTGTTAAACGCCTTGTAGTGGGATCATAAAACAAAACATATGAGTACACCGTTTTCCTTTTTCAATTTCTTTTCATTTCTTAAATTGTTATTGTGCATTTGTCAGGTTTGTACCTGGCTCTGAGTAACCTACTTGGTTCTGTATAGTTAGTCTTTTTACTGTTAGTCTCTGTTTCCATAAATTGTTTCTATATATTTGGTTTGGGTATTCTGTTTCTTTATCATAATGTATATGATATCATTTATGCTTTTTCTGTTCATGCGTCATATAAAGAGTAACGATTAATCCAAATCAATCGTAATTCCTTTAATCGATCGTAAGTTTGCAGTCTCCTATCTCTTATGTACATAGTTGCGATTGATATTAACTCTTTGTAAGATGCAGCCCGGGTATGGTTTTTTCATTGAAACACTTTTTATTGTTCAAATATATACCGGTAGTCATGTCATTGGAGTCTTGGCTCAGTCAGTAGAGCGTCCGCCTCACAACCGGGAGGTCGTGGGTTCAAACCCCGGCCGTGTCATACCAAAAGTCGTTAAAAGATGGGAGTTGTTGCTACCTTGTTTGGCATTCAACAATAAGGGATAGAGCAACGTCGATCTGGCGCTGCTCAGTGGCTGCCGGGCTCACGATCAATTAGGCAAAAAGAATTTCCGTTTCGGTTTAATAAAATTAGGAGTGGACTATTAGGCTATTATTATTATTATATTATTTCTTGATCTTTTCAGAAAAAAAACCCAGAGGATGAGATCCCGGTCGAATCGGGCTGCTCGGGTCAAGAGAAATTCGGACCTCATTCCACTTTGCCAAGCTGCGGTCAACGTAGAGGCCATCCAGCTAGCATTGACAGTCAGTGGAGTGCTGGTGCAAGTTCCTCAGGTAATTACAATCAACAGCATATTCCTTATGTCGCAGGAGAACATAGTGTACTTGCTCAATTATTTTGTATGTATTAACTTTCCTGTGATTTTGTGAGTGGTCGAGTCGCCAACATATTTGAATCGTCGAAATAGTAAAGTTATATTGAATCACAAAATGAAATACTTGCAATTTGCAAAAGTTCCTAATACAGAAATGACTTTTTTTCAAAGGAAATCATTTCATAACTTTGTTCTCTGTTGACCCAGAGTGAACCATGTGCCTGTTTTGAAGATATATTTTTCTAACTTTCCCATGATTTTTGTTTTGATCAGTTTCCAGAAACCGAACTGTACCAGTGGTTTGTTAAGGAAACCTGTTTGGAAAATATTTCGTCTGTCCTGGAAGGAGTCAGCTGCAACAGGACCAGTCGGAGTGAGAAGGCCATCGTGATGAATCTGGATGCCCTAGCGGGTGGCTCACCCCTCTTCGAAGGCCTTATCGTGGTGGAGAGCTGTTCGGCTTTCGTTTCTGCAACAGCGGCAGTGGCAGGGGCAGAGGCGGCACGAGTGGTAGATGAAAGTCCTTCCGAAGAGACGCCCGCCGAACCACCAGCAGAGACACCCGAACCACCAGCAGAGACACCCTCCCCACCACCGGCAGAAATGCCAACTGAAGGCCCTTCGGAAGAGCCGACACCCACTTAAGCACTAACTCCTCCAGGACCCGTTTCACAAAGCCTTTTTTCAATGACAAATGACAAAAATCAGTGACAAATCTGCTGATAACCAATCAGAAGCAAAGATTTCAGTAGCTTTTAACAAAAACTGTCATTTGTCACTGATGACAAGTTTTGTGAAACGGACCCATGATCCCCCTGTCACTGTGTAGGACCACGGATACAACTGATCAAAAGCCACAATGGATTCGTAACTCATGGAATAATACTGGAAATAACATTGGGAAACAGCAGTCCTTCAAGAGAGGCACTCTGCCAGGTACATTTGAGAGACCCATCGACTCCTGCACTAACTCCTTCAACAGCCCTTGTGCATGCAGGACCACAGAGACATCTGTTCAAGAGCTACAATGGATTCACAAGGCACAACACTGGAATAATACTGTAGATACTATCGGCAAACAGTAAGCTCAGGTATTCTGCCATCCACCTATTTCTGCACTAAGTCCTGTATCAACTTCTGCAACATGTCCTGTATCAACTTCCGCAACAAGTCCTGTCTCAACTTCTGCAACAGGCCCTGTATCAACTTCCGCAACAAGTCCTGTATCAACTCCTGCATATTTCTAAAGATACAAAAATGCAAGGGGACAAAAGAAATTCACAAGAAAGGGATAATACTGGGGAATAACACTTGGGAAACTGCAGTCCTTCAGGAGAGGCCCTCTGCTAATTACCTACTACAGACCCGTCAACTCCTGCACAAAGTCCTGCATCATCCCCTCTGTACGACCACAGAGATAACCATGGAATAACACAGGGAATTACTAACTAGATGTGAACGGGCACCACAAAACCACACAAAAAGTTGCCAGATATAATTTTAGTTCTGATTCTGAAAGGAGACCATCTCAGCTTTGAAATGATATATAACTTAATCACAATTCAATTTTCCTAATCCGATGAGAAAAAACAAGAAGAACTGTCCAGTCTTCACAAAGTTTACCTTTATATAGAGAAATGGGAATTTAAAGTCTGTAGTCTATTCAAGCACATTGACTACCAAGTTGGAGTGCAAAGTGACAGGGAATTTCTGGGAAGGGATTATTGGAATGTCCTAATAATTGGCACACTAATTAAGGATAACCTCTTCTTAATTTTCTCCAAGTATCAAAGCAACAGCTTAATCTATTTTAAAATTATAAGAAATCAAAGTGAGAGCAGTAGCAAGGGTTTGTAAATGAATTCAAGATTACTACATGTACATGTGCAACAAACTCAAAATCAGACAAACATGACAGGTTGACAAAAGACTAACAAAACACCACTGTTGGATGGTTTGGTGCTTCCAAGTTTTGAAATTACATAAAGGTAAGAATACTATTTTAGGAAATGCTAAAAATTAAAATGTGTCCGATCTGACCAATGCACCTTTACTGAGCTCCAACTGAGAATTACATCATGCAACTTTGGGGTGGTTTTGTGGTTCCTGGTCACATATTAAGAAACAAAAACCAGTTTTCTGGACAGTGGACTAACCGAAGTACATGAATATGGATGAGAGAATCTACTCATGAATCGAGCAATCGAGCATCAAACGATTAAACGGCTACAGTTTTAAAAAAAAGAAAAAGAGAGAACAAAATATGGCACTATGTGACTCTTTCCGATGGCATAAATAAGGCTAACAGATTTTTCTTTAGATGGTTTGTACATGTATAATTCGGAGATTATTGGTTTCAACAAAAATATGTAGGAAATATTGAATCGTTTTTTGACAATATTTCTAGTATTTGAGCTCAACAGATAAGCCACTTCGGAGTTAGCATTTGTGCAAATGACCCCCTAACATCCGCAGACCTTTTAAACATGGAGAAGTCCCATTTTGTGCGTTTTAGAACAATTGCTGCGAAAGTGTTGGAGGTGCATCATGAATACCTTTTGTTTGCCCTCTTGAAAAGAATACTTTCACAGAATGTTCCGATGGAGCATGAATGAATAATGATTACATAAATTTCATGAACATGTATCAAGTGGTCATATCTGCTGAACTTTGGAACAAACTACCTTTACATGTCAAAAACTGTCAGACTGTCAACCAATTGTTTATCACTGTATTTTGTTTGTTATATCGCTTAGAGATTTTAGTGGTAAGCGCTTTGTAAGCACCGTTTATTATTATTATTTTATTATCTCCATGGGTTTTACAGGTTTGTTCATGACATTTATCTGCCCATGCGCAGATAGTATCTTCGAAGTGGCTTATTACAGAGGGTTAACAGTTAATTATTTGGAAAATTTGGAAGGTTCAGAAAATTTGAAAAGGGTTAAGGTTAATTATTTGGATAATTTTGAATTTGGATTTCTTTATAAGACAATAACAGGCGTTCATCAATAAAAACATACACAGTGGCTTTGGAATGGAAATCAGTGGTGTGTGTTGTGTCATCATTACATCTGCATGTAGGCTGTGGCCAATTTAATTTCTCGGAGAGTCTTTAATGGTTGGATTAGAAAAGTGTACATGAAGACAGTGAAGTACTTGTCTTAATATCCAATACGCAACGCTTCAGTCGATATAAAAATGAACAGATTATCTTTTCCAGATGATCTTCTTCTGAAGATATTGCTTTACATGCTAAAAGACTTGTCAGTATAGAAATGAACAGATTAATCTTCCAGTCTCCAGATTACCTTCTTCCTGATATTTTGCTTTACAACATGTTAAAAGACTTCAGTCTGTATAAAAACAAACAGATTAATCTTCTCCAGATTACCTTCTTCTGGAAATATTGCCTTACATCCTAGAAGACTTGTCAGTATAGAAATGAACAGATTATTTTCTCCAGATGATCTTCTCCGGAAAATATTGCTTTACAGGCTAATGATATTTAAATGAGGTAAGTGCACTACTTATTCATGCCATACCACAAGTGCATCATTCCCATTAGAGAGCTTGCCATGCAACGGAATGAGGGTCTCCATACAGTCTTATGCTCTATAAGGACTATCCTGTTCTCCTTCTCCATGGTACATCCATGTAATTTGATCCACTGTAGAATATTCATTAAACATGCATGTGCTTGGGTTGAACCATAGCCGGGTAATGTTGGAGCGCCTTGAGGACCTTGCAAGGTCGATGCATGCGCTATATACTGTAAGAATCCAATATTATTATTATTATTATTAACCAATAGCTGTACAGCGTCTTCTTTTAGTGACTTTTTTTGGTTTTTCTTTTGATCTAGAATGCTCTGAATTACACACTATACATGAGCAAATAGAGCGAAAAATACAAAGTATTTTTATTCTATTTCTATTTCTATTTATTGTGCCGTTCTTGGATAAGAGTGATGTAATTGTAACTTATCATTTAAGTCTTTAAACTTGCAACACGGTATAAAATTTGAAATCACAATTGGCAATTTTTCAGTTAAATTTGGGAATTTCCTTTCACAGTGGTTCATTCAATAAACATTTTTTCTTCTTCTTCAAACTCCTTAAAATTTGAGGAAGGAAAACTGATCAATTTAGAAAATAAGAAAACTCTGAACTGCTATGGGTTTAACTCATTTCCTGCTTTGGTTGACCTCCATATCATGCAAGGGGACATTACAGTCAACTTTAATAAGTTTTGGCACATGTACCATGCCCACGTCCATGGAACATTGTGAACCAAAACAAAGTTTGGCAGTCGGGGTTTGAGTACCAAGCAAACAATGATTTAATGGCTTACGTTAGCACAAGACTGGTGTTCATGCAAGATGCTAAGGGCGGATCATTCCATCATGCCTTCATGACGTTACCTGGCCATTGCTGTTTCCGTTTGATCCATTACCTCCAGGACTCTTCAGTGTCTCCAGGGATGGGGTACTGGTGGTGCGGTGAACACCGCCACCCAGCCTCAAGAAACCGGTCTTGGTAGGCGAGGGTACCCGTACCATCGGAATCCCTGACCCACCGATGTTCCTTGACCTCTGCTGGACCATAGGGGAGTTTAACGGGCTGAGGATTGTCTTGATGTTGGTAGGCCGGGTGGCTCTGCTTGGCCTTTCATCAGGTTTACTCTGTTCTGTGCCATCTCCTGCTTTGGACCGGTTGTTCATCTTGGCTTCCTCGCCATTCCTGGCAGATGCAGAGACCTCTTTGGGTTTAGGTTTGCTAGGCTTCGGGGCAAGACAGAACGAGACAATCTGCTTGGAGGAGAGTTTGCTGGCGGAAGCACTGTGGTCGCTAGGAGATGCCTCATCCGAGGACATTCTGCTGTCTTCGAGGCTGGATGAACTCACAACCCTCTTGGCTTTGCCCTCGCCAGACCTCAAGTGAACTGTCCTGTCCTCACTATCGTCACAATCGCTCACGGGTAAGGACTCTTCAAAGTCCACCGAGAAAGGATCATGCCCGACACTCACCCTATGGGACTCGTCCATTTCGCTTATCTCACCCATTGAACTCGCGGCACTACTGCTGGAGGGTTTTGAAGTGAAGTTAGCTGCAAGTTTTGACAATCGCGGGCTAGGTTTGGGCTTTGGGCTTTTGACGGGAGGAGCATCCTTCTGCTCGGACACACCTAACAGTTTAGCTGAGGCGGAGGTGTCATCTATTCCCGTTGGGGATTGAGGGTAAGGGATCCCTCCCTGGAAGTCAAAATTGAACACAGTTTCCTCATTTGCTTTCGTGGCAGGCTGTTGAACAGCTCCACCAACAACCGTTTCGGAAGCTTCACTAACACTTCCTGTGCTCTGCTTCGGCTGTAACCCTTTTCCTTCTGATTCAGTCTGTGGAGCAGTTTCTTGTTCTGAGTTGGAAGGAGAATTAGTGATATCATATTTCTTACCATAACCTAAAGATTCTTTGTCACCGCTACCCTGTGACTCCCCATTGCACAAAGGGCTCATGTCTGAGGTATTATTTAAACCCTGAACACCATTACACTTGCTCTCATCATTTATATCTACATTTGCTACACTTTCGTCACAACCATTACCTTTCTGACATTCACCCAACCCCTCTACCACTTTCTTAGACACATTCTGCACATTATTTGTTTTCTCACCAATACGTCCTTCTACTTCGCTACTTTGGTCAGCCACTTGCGGACCTTCCTTTTGAGAGGACACTTCAAGTTGTTGAACGGGAACAACTTCAATCGCTCCACCGCCTCCATTCTTCTTCTCTTCCTCCATCGCATTGGTTCCTTCCAAATCAGGACCGACATCAATGAGAGCGATGATGGCCATCTGGATAGCAGTGTCAATGATATTCTGACTCATCTCAACGCCAACAGACTTGGCTATGGCAACTTTCAAACCGTCCTCCAGGTCGACCACGGAGGGTTCCGCATCAATGTCCGTCTCTCTTCTTGATTTCGCTGGAATAGATTGTGCTTTTCCCTGCTTTCCACTCCCTGCTTTTGGCTGCTCTCTTGCCGTCTTGGCATCGTTCTTGGCATTCTGGCTGCCGACGTTGGACTTGTCCTTCAGAGCATCCCCTTTGCTGGCGGAACTGCTGGATTTCTTGCTCAGAGACTTCGTTGGAGAGTCTTTGGAAGCTTCCGAGGATGATGTCTTTGAGCTGGACTTCTTCTGGTTCTCCTTGCTGCTTCTTGGGCTGGCCACTGGACGTTGTTTTGCGGGGCTTGTCTTCTGTGCTTCAGCCGGCGGAGATGCCTTCTTGGTTGATGGGGATTGGGGCAAAATCACCTGGTCTGTATTGGAATCATCAGACTCACTGTTGGGTCCAACTCCTCTCACAGTAAATCTAGAATTGAAACAGCACCAAGACAGGATCTTCAGAGACTGTGGTAATAATATTACACCGAACCATGAAAACTTCACATTTCATATGTCACTTTGTAAGAAATAGATGTGTCACCCACAGTATAGAAGAAAGAGGGAGAAACATAGGAATTCAACAAAAATGAGAGAAAAAACCTAAAGACTGAAAAATCAAATAAGTTTTATGTGCAAGCATTCACGAAGGCCTGTAACTAATTTGCTTTGACCCAATGCACAATTTCTGAAATTACATTTCGCCATCTTTTAAACAAACAACAAGCAAATTAATGTGGTCTGTCACTTGCTTCAATTCTGTGGGCCCAATGCACAAATTCTAAAAAATAAATACTGCTGACTTTCAAACAGCAACAGCAAAATTAGATAGATCTGGGGGGTGTTTCACAAAGATCCTAAGTTAAACTTATCTCTAAGTTGGACATAATAATTATGGAAAGTCGTTAGCATCTATAATAATATTTTATAAAAGCTATTTTAAAAGCATACAATGTTGATTCAAGTCATTTTTATTTTCTATTATCAAGGAGATTTCAAGTTTTTGATGTGGAATTTATAAAAAGTCTAAACTACTTGAATTTTCACTTTTGAATATATCTTATTTTAAGGCTAAACATGGCTCCCCATAATTTATAAGTCCAACTTAGAGTTAAGTTCAACTAAAGCCTCGGTCACAAATGCCATTACGAATGATTTTTCAGACAATGGAAATTCGGGAAGACAATGAAAATTATGTTTCGTACGAACCTTTGTGACCATAGCAATAGGAACTTTGTGAAACACCCCCCTGGCACTGTCTATACTCTACCTGTAAGTTCCTGGAGTAAGGCCCCCTAGGATGGCCTGCGGGTAGGGCACATCCATCACTTCTCTGTGACTCTCTCCCAGCTGAATGAAGAGCTTGTACCCCTTGATGGGACTGATGAGCTGCCTAGCCCCAACCTCCTTCTCACCGGGCATGGACGACGGCGTCCACTTCAGGGCGATGCTGGTGTCCGAGCGAGCCGTGGCGACCAGCTCGGCGGGTGCTGTGGGCTGCATAGGAAGCGGAGAAACAGTTACTCAAGGCACAGTACTAGCATCGTTATTATCTATAGCTTCTTTTAGTGGGTCCACAAACAAAAATCATATAACTTGGAACGTTGAAGGAGTATGAACTAATGTATTCAAAGCAAAAAGTCCCTAATGGCCAGGCGCCAAGGTATCTGCTCTAGTTTAGCCATGAGGGATTAGACCTCAATGCATGGTCACTGGCAGGTGGTTATCTCATCAAATCAAATCTCAATTAACATAAGAAAAAGGGGGCCATGGGGGATCAACGGGAGCCGTTTAGGCATTGTTGGCTGTATAGAGGGCGCAAGTAGCTACAGGTAGTGCAGTCCCGCTTGAAGGGCTCTAAGGTTCTTAGATGTACTCTGATGAGCTAGGCTTCAAATTATTTTTTCAAACAAATTTAATGACTGACAATTCATAAACAATTTCAGTTGGAAATGAATTTGAACCTATTATTGCTGATTTTCAAATCAGTACAATCTAAATTCAAACCTGTCATTGACACATGTTTACACCCCAAGTGGACCACTCTGGCTTCTATGATAATTCCTTTCATGGAAAGAATATTACTCAATGTCTATTCATACCCTCAAACCTGTCTTAGTGGCCACCTCTCTATAAGGCCACCTGTCTATAGTTGCCATGTATGTTGGCTCCCTTGAAAACAAAATATGCAGAGCTGCCAACCTCTAGAACAGAAAATCAGTAATCCGTAATTTTAAACAACATTCCATAATTCCGTAATGATCGTTGATTTCCGTACCAATTACGGGAAATCCGTACTACATTTTTTGGCAGGTCCTAATATGTGTCATAGAAGCTGTCTAGAAAGGCCACCTGTCTACAGTGGCCACTTTTTCTGTTTCCCTTGAGTGACCTCTATAGACAGGTTTGACTGTATTATCATTCATACCAGGGACAATAAAAACTAGGTAAAACAATTGTTACTGCTGTCGGCCCATGACGTAAACAAGTTAAACATAATATTCTTGACCTGCAGCTCAGATTATAAGGCAGACAGTAATAACATAAGAATAATGATAATAATAATAATGATATTCTGGGTATATATAGCCCTAAATACATCAACAATGTTTCTAAGGGATTTACAGAAACATCAACCCATCATAGACAGTTTCATTGTCTTTCAACATGCCTTTCCAGGAGTTTGAATTATCTAGAGATTGGTTCTCAATGATTATGATGATCCACAGCACTTGTATGACGCCATTTATCTGTTTCAAACATTCAAAGGCGCCCGCTCCTCCAATAGTCAAGGACTACACATTTGCTTGATAAGATGGGTTTTAAGGCCTGACAGATAAGTGAGATATCAACAGCGTGATAAGAATTACTGGAGGCGCGATAGCTCAGTCGGTAAAGCAGTGGTCTCGTAATCCGGTGACCCTGGTTCAAAACCAAGACGATGCGCTAGTGCCCTTTGGTAAAGCATTAATCCTCATTACCAGGTCCCTCGGCCGTATGGTTGCTTACTAACAAGCCTTTATGCTTTCTTAGCAGTCAAGTAAAAATAACCACAACCAATATAACTATTAACTAACTACCTTTAGCTCAGCATCCTCCTGGTCCTTCTCGTCCGGTAGAAAGTGTCCTGCCTGGACGACTGAAGGAGAACCTTGAGGAGCCTGGCTGAATGCTTTGGTGTTGACTCCTGCTCCTGCTCCTGCTCCTGCTCCTGCCCCGTTCCCTGAGACTCCTGCCTGCTCTGACATCCACTTTGCTGCACTGATGAGGAGCTGTTGGACGTCCAGAGGATGCAGACCCTCTGGAAGGTTGTTCAGCGCCTGGTTGATCATGGCCCCCTCCCACGGTGCTGGCAAGGTGACCCCTTGAGACGACGGAACACCACCAGTCGTGGCTGCAGTTGGTGCTGCGTTGTTGGTGTTGCTGTTTCCTGGTGGGCTCTTCTTACCATCCTTGACCGTCTGGGAAGTGACCCGAGACAGACTAGCTTTTGATGCCGACCTGGACTGGTCTTTGGTGGATGCAGACTGGGTGAGCGGCTGGTCTTTTGTAGGGAGAGGGGTGGCAGGGAAGGGGGGTGACGGAGTCGAAGGGTTGGTGACGTATCCAGAGGTGATGAAGGTCGTGATGCCGTTGATTGATTCTTGCAGGCGACCAACCTGTCTCAAGAAAACAAAAGAACTTTCAATTAATCGTATTCTCCATGTGATTTCATAAACTATAATTTAAAAATAACATGTACTCCAAATACACATAGAATTAACTACATGAACATGTAAGTATCCACATTAATATGACTCTTCTTTGATATATTGAGTATTGAAGGAGTTTATAGAGGCTCAGAGATTATAGCAGTAACAAGAGATTAGAACAATTTCCCATGGACTGCACTATGCAGGGATGCCAGTTAGAATTGATCAGAGGACCTGTAAATCACCTAGAATGAGCTTGTTTGTACACAAAAAAGCCTAAATTATGGTCTATAAATAACTTGCCAGGGCCTGAAATCAGGCTATAGCCTGAAAACTGGCATCCTTGACGTTGCCTTCAATACCAAACCAGCACATACATTTTACAAACGATTCTCAAAACATCATATTGTCTGGTAAACAACATAAAGTCCATGAAGATTCAATTCCAAATAAATCACTGAATGAGAGGTCAATTTAGCAATCAAGCACCTCTCAATTCACTTGTTTCTCTATACCCTCATCATACAAGTTTCTTCAAAGGTCGTTCCACAAAGTTGGGTCATTCTACGAAGTTGGGGCAATTTTTGTGACATACCAAAAGTGAGAAACTATTGAGTTTTGCATAAAAAGCATAGCCAACTATCTTCAGAAATCTTCAAGCTTCATGGTGAAGCAATCTTATGGACCCAAAGTTCATGTAATATTATAACGATATGGTGTCCATGTAATGCTGGTAAAAAAGAGAAATGTGTATCAAGCAAAGATTTTGAAGAAACAGGAATGACTCTGGCAGGGCACTACTATTACGGAGCACTATATATATATTCATTGCATAAAAATCTTCAACAGATAATTTCATCCTCTGTGTGTACTAGAAGATCTCATACCTACATTACATGGACACCGTCATTTGTTTTGCCCCAACTTTATGGAATGACCCTTATACGACCTTCTGTCATTAACTGTTCTCTCCCTTGCACTTCTATTTGACCAGGACAGTGTTTCACAAAGATCCTAAGTTGAACTTATCACTAAGTTGGACCTAACAATTATGGAATGCCCTTAGCATCTTTGAAAATATTTTGTAAAAGTTATTTTCAAAGGCAGAAAATATTGAATCAATTTATTCATATTTTCTATTATCAAGGAGATTTCATGTTCTTGATGTGGAATTTATGAATAGTCTAAAATACTTGAATTTCTGCTTTTGAATATATTTCATTTTAAGGCTACAAGTGGCTGTCCATAAGTTTAAAGTCCAACTTAGAGTTAAGTTCTACTTAGGATTCTTTGTGAAACACCCCCCATACCTGCTTCTGCAAACTACTGCAGGTCTTCTCCAGCTGGACCTCCCTCACGGTGGAGACGGGTGTCCCAGCAGAGAGGGCCTTGGCATCCTTGGATGATGATGCAGACCCTGGGGTCCCCTTGGGATCACCCTGGAAGTGGGAGGGGGTGGTGATGGAGGGTGGGCCAGGGGGTACGGGGAGGGGTCCACCAGGGGGAGGAGGGGCGTCCCTCCCATCCACGTCCTGCTTCCACTCCTGCAGGGTCTTCACCTGGGATGATGATGAATTGGAATGATATAGAATTTAATGAAATTGGAGCAGAATGGAATACAAAAGAGAAAAGAGTACAATCAAAAAACAGAACTGAAATAAAAGGAGAGTGGAATGGAAAGGAAATGGATGAAATCGAACTGAATGAAATTGGAATAGTGTAAAACTGAACTGAATGAAATTGGAATAGTTTAAAACTGAACTGAATGAAATTGGAATAGTTTAAAACTGAACTGAATGAAATTGGAATAGTTTAAAACTGAACTGAATGAAACTGAAATAGAATAAAACTGAATTGAATGAATTGGAATAGTGTGAAACTGAACTGAATGAAATTGGAATAGTTTGAAACTGAATTGGATGAAATTGAAATAGAATGAAACTGAATTGAATGAAATTGGAACTGAATGAAACTGAACTGAATGAAATTGAAATAGAAGTATTATATTAAACTTGGGATTTGAAACGTCTAACATTAAATTTCATCACTCTGAATTTAACAAGTTTAAAACCGATTATGTTAAAATCTAAAAAAAAGAGCTACATGTACTGTACATGAATCACATTGACTCATTTTCAAAGCAAGGACTAATGACAAATTACAGTTTAAAAACACTACATCGAATGTAAATATTAAATGCTGAACTCCACGTGCACCATACAAAACCAAGAAGAACACAAAGTTCCTCTAACTTGATATCACAAGACGTTCGAGGAACAAGGGTACTATATCTAGGTCTAGGTGGGGTCCTTGGGGAGTTATTTTAAGGTCACGGGGGCCTAATAAGATTATATCTGCCAGAAATTATAATTAGAGATTGATTATATATAGATGGACGCAGCCTGGAGAAGCAGTAAAAATGTTTGCGGCCATTTCCCCCCTGAGAGTGAAGGCATTTCCTGAGCGAGAGTCAGCAGTTTTGGTTTAGCACTCAACCCTCTCTCTATCTTTCTTTCTCTCTCTCTCTCTCTCACCTTTCTTTCTCTCTCTCCACCTTACTCTTTCTATCTCTCTCCACCTTCCTCTTTTCTTTCTCTCTCTCTCCCTCTCCACCTTCCTCTTTTTCTCTATCTCTTCACCTTTATCTCTCACTCTCTCAACTCTCTCTCTCTCTCTCCACCTTCCTCTTTCTCTCTAACTTTCTCTCACCTTTCTTTCTCTCTCTCTCTCTCTCTCCATCTTTCTTTCTCTCTCTTTCCACCTTCCTCTTTCTTTTTCTCTGTCTCTCTCCACTTCTCTCTCTCTCTCTCTCTCCACCTTCCTCTTTTTCTCTCTCTTCACCTTTCTCTCCCTACACCTTTCTCTTTCTCTCTCTCTCTCCATCTTTCTTTTTCTCTCTCTCCATCTTTCTTTCTCTCTCTTTCCACCTTCCTCTTTCTTTTTCTGTCTCTCTCCACTTCTCTCTCTCTCTCTCTCTCCACCTTCCTCTTTTTCTCTCTCTCTTCACCTTTCTCTCCCTACACCTTTCTCTTTCTCTCTCTCTCTCTCTCTCTCACTCTCTCTCTATCCACTTTTCTCTCTCTCCACCTTCCTCTCTTTCTCTTTCTCTCTCTCTCTCTCAACCTTACTATTTTCCTCTTCTCTCTCCACTACACTTCTTGCTCTTTCTCCTCGTCACTTCAAGGTTGCACAGAAAAGGGGGCAAAAGTTTACTAGAGTTTGGAATGTCAATATGTGATCAAGCATTTTCCTGCTATATTTCATAATGAAATCCGAGCATTAAATAAAGCTCATATGATTCAAATTATTTTGATCCTCTCCTCTCCTCTCCCTCTTTCTTTCTCTCTCTCTCTCTCTCCCCCCCCCCCCTCTCTCTCTCTCTCTCTCTCTCTCCACCTTCCTCTTTCTTCCTCTCCTCTTTTCTCTCTCTCTATCGCTATCTCTCTACCTTTCTTTCTCTCTCTCTCTCTTACTTCTCTCTCTTTCTCTCTCTCTCTATCTCTATCTCTCTACCTTTCTTTCGCTCTCTCTCTCTCTCTATTCACCTTTCTCTCTCTCTTACCCCTCCACCTTCCTCTTCCACTTACTCTCTCTCTCTCTCTCTCTCCACTTTCCTCCACTTACACTTCTTGCTCTTTCTCCTTGTCACATCAAGATTGCACAGAAAAGGGGGCAAAAGTTTATTAGAGTTTGTAACGTCAATATGTGATCGAGCATTTTTCGTAGTACATTTCATCATGAAATCAGAGCATTAAATTGAGCTACGTGTAGGCCTACTATGATTCAAATTGAACAATCTACATGTATTCTCCCACACTCTCTCTCTCTCTCTCTCTCTCTGTCTCTGTCTCTCTCTCTCTGTCTCTATCTCACTCACTCTCTTTCCGTCTCTCTCTCTCTCTTAGTAGCATAGCATCTGGATTGTATCAAGAAATAGGTAAAAACCGACCTGACACTGTAAAGCTAATTTGCAAGATCAGGCTTTTTCATAGTACATGTAGATGTACATGTAGTAAATATGCATCTGCCAACAGAATGAGAATAGGTCCATGGTTTGATTTAGAACATGGACCAATGAAAATCATGTAAATGAGAGACTTACCTGGTTCCACAGAAGCTTCAAGGCCTCCATCTGCAGCTCTCTCAGATGTTTCTCCTGCTCGTACATCTGACGTGTCCTATACATAGAACAAATTGAGGGTATTAAAGGTAAAGACCAGTTATGGTCATGCGATTGCATTGTGAAAGAACAATGTGGAATCGATCAGAAAAAGGTTGATCATCTAGCATCTAGCATCTGCAAGGTTCTGGAATCATCAAAATGATAAGAAATTTGGCCCATTCTTCGTAAAGTTACAAGCACTATACACAGAAAGATGTATATGGGACTACCCTATATCTCTCACAGACCATGAGAGAAACAAATTTACCAAATATATGAATTAGTAGGCGGTTTCCCGGCAAATTTTTTATCATCATGTATCAGTCAAAACATATTCTTTCACATGATTGGTAATGAGAGCTTCCATTTCATTTTTTGAAATTGGGGCGTTTCCAATATTGGTCTTTACCTTTAATACAGGTGTTCCTTTTTTATATTTTTCCCTATGTAAGGAGACTACCCCCTCCCCCTAAATAAATAAATTAAAAAAACATGAACATTATGTGTGTTTACAAGATGATAATCAATTCATAGTATTTGCAATATGGTAAGCTACCTATTGGATGCCACAGATAGGCCAATCTTTTTAACTTTGAGGGTCAACATCTGTGCTACTGCAGGAGCAAACAATGCCTAATCGGTGCCTGCCTGTTGGTCCCCCATGATCCATTTTTCTTATGTTAATTGAGAGTTGATTTGATGAGATAACCACCTGTCAGTGACCTTGCAGGGAGGTCTAATGCCCCCTGGCCAAACTAGTGCAGACAGGCTTAAGTCTGTAAGTCTGGGAATAGCATTCTTGAGCATCAAGGATTTTAAAAAATGTGATTCACAGTCCAGTAGTATCTAGGTCTTCTAGACCAAGATACCCTTTCAATCAATCAATCACGCATGGTCCTCAGTTTTACCTGTCGAGCTCCATATTGAGGTACTTGATGTGCTCCTCCACCCTCTGCTCCTGCATCTGCTTCTGGGCGCGGCCGGCCTTCTCGTCCCCCTTGCGGGCGTGGTGCCCCCTCCAGTTGGACTGGATGGTGCTGGCGGCTCCGTCCTTGCTCTCTTCTTTACCCCCGCCTGCCCACGCCTCCTGAGCGGTCATTTGCTCCGCTTCAGGTCTGCTGGGAAGATTGAAATAAATGGGAAATGATGATTATGCAATTCCTTGACAGGCATGTGTGAAGTCTCCTTCAACGAAGGCACAGTAACTCATGCACTCCAAGAAATCTGACCAAATAAAAATATTATCAAAGTAAGCTTCACGTTTCTGTATCTTAAAGTGACTCTAACATGATTCTGAAACAAAATCCTGGATTTAGTCAGGAATCCCATGACTTTTATAAGCCGGTCGCCTGTCTGATTATCAAGATGTTTATGATTGGAAATCAAAATTTCATCTTTTGTTTCCTAACGGCTTCAGTCTATTGGGGAAAATGAGTATGGTAAAACTGGTCACTTGGAGATTTTTACTTTTTTGAGGCACTTCATGATAATTTTGAAGCGCAATTTTTTAAGGCCCTCCAATATTACACCATATCACAGACACTGATAACACATAGGGCCATGCTTCTCAGATTTAACATTGTTAAACTTAAACAATGCCTTTAATCTTAAGGACCTTAGTTGTGCACAGTGTTTTTCACCACCACTTGCCGTTCATTCATGTATATGAAAAATAGTTATTCTTCTGTGATGGCTTTTTGAAGGCGGTAAGCGGTCAATTGTATGTGAACAAGGCTTAATTGCAGAGTTTCTACAACAGAAATCCAATAATAAAGTGGGGCTAATCAAGTATTCAAGGAATAATGGTATGGTTTCCAAAGAAACAATCTTTGAAAAATCACTGAAATCCATTCAGTTTTTATGGTACGTTAAGCATTCAGGAACTAACCGGATATACTAAACCATTAATACTTTCAAAATGACAATAAACTGTTGCAAAATCGTAAAGAATGCTGCAATAACATTAAAATGTGGCATAAAATACGATATCCAAAAGAATACATATCTTTAGTTAAATATAGACTAAGGTGCTTCTAGGAATAATGGTTATTTGTTAGGGAGTCACCTCAAGAATATTACAACAACAAAACAGCATCATACTGAATCTTTTATAGGAAACTGTTGGTATAATTCTGGTAAATTTAGACTTTTAAACTGTCATTTGCACCACTCACAGCCCTATTCATATGTAGAGTTCTATTAAACAAAAAAAAACATATCACACAGATTGAATAAATCATGACCACTCTATTCTCTCCCCTGGAAAAACAGACTGTTATTTCAAACCGGGCACACAGTCGTCATGTTATCACAATGCCCCGTTCCCTCATCACCCATATCCCGCCAAAGGAACGAGACGATTAGAGACCGCAAACATTCCGTCAGCCAACAACAACACGGCTCTCGATGGCATCCTCCCTAGGCCTCTCTTCATCAGCTCAAGTTTGCCAAATAACCCGCTATTTTAACTATCCTGATTGCAAATTAGCCAGTTAATTTGCGCCCTTATCAGCCCGCAGTTGCAATTAGCGGGATATTTGGTCGAGAGATATCCAGAGAAATCTTGGTCTTGTTTCCAAAATGTCCAGCTATTTCGGAAATAGCGGGCTAATTTGCGCCTGTCTGAGCTAGTTTGTGATGAGCGTATCAGTCTGGTGAAGACGCAATTTCAAGCTCCGGGATAATATCCTGAGTCTGAAAATAGCGGGTTATTTGGCAAACTCAAGCTGATGAAGACAGACCCTCTGCGCCATAATCAGGATATCCATGGGTTTCCAGTATGGCCAGAGGCAAGGTGGGAGCTATCTTCCCTTCCCAGACCCTAAAATATCACACATTCATCTCATCACTTTTTGCTGCCAAGGTATAGGGTTAAACATGCTTGAGGAACAGTCCTTTGCTCTCTGAAAAAATGCATAATTGGTTGTATCCATTGATATCTTACAGACACCTGATCTAAAAGAATTGTCTTAAATTCTAAAATTTGTGAAATTATCATGGTTCATGAATTCTTGTTTTCCTTCATAGCTTCAGAAATACATGTACATGCATTCTATATATAAATTTTCTTCGCTCTGAAATAATGCAAAATTGGCAACAAAAAAGAAACAATTACTGTCCCCAAATTAAAGAAATTACAGATAAGCCTCAAGCATACACACCCTAAACTTTTAAATTCAGATTCGTAACAAAGTCAGCGTTGACATCGTCCAAGACAACTTGAAAGGAAAACTCATATTCCAGACTGATCACAACAAGCTCTTGGATACATACCTCTCAAAGTCTGGGTTGCCGTTGACCTCCCAGTGTCTACCACTCTGACCTTTCCCCTGCTTCCTGGAGCTGGCCGTTTCCTTGCCATGCTTGCCATGATCAGCCTTCGAGCCTGACGATGCTCCCCTGAGATCCCCACTGCTACCCCCTCCCCCTCCCCCTCCCCCTCGCTGCTTCCCCAGATGACTCCTGCCCTTCTCCCTTCCTGCCTTGGACGTGTGGTGGAAGTCGTGAGGGCTGCGAGGCGTGGGGGTACTGGGGAGGCTGGAGGACGAGTGTCTGGGGCTCGGGGTCGAGGGGAGGCTCGACGACTGCCGAAGGGTTGGTTGACTCCCCTTCTTTGTGACACGCCCGTGCCCGGACCCGCCCCCCTCCAGCTGCTTCTTGAGCATGTTGGTCGCCAGGGACTTCACTGGGCGGTCCTCGTACGCCTGGAACTTGGAGACGGGGGACGAGGCGTCGCCCCCGCTCTGGGTCTTCTCCAGCTGAGCTCTGACTTGGGACGCGAAGCTCGCGGTGTCCGTGATCCCGTGGGACTGCCTCATCGGGTGTACGTCGGTGTATTCTTCCGACGCCGCGTTGGGCTTGGCCTTGCTGTGTTTGGTGGCGTGGTGCTGTGGCTGCTGCTGCTGCTGTTGGGGTGGGGCCGTGCTGGGCCTGGTTTGTTGTGCATCTCTAGGCATGGATGGATGGTGAGGTAGGAAGGATGCAAGGGGTCCCAGCTGATCGATTTCACCATCTACACATAAAACAACATTGCACAAATTTGTTAAACTTTAAAATAATAGGAACAAGGGCCATTCAAGAGTGTCTAATATATTCAAAGGGATACACGTAAACAGGAAAAATACTCAATCAACAGTATTCTAGACTGATTTATTGATAAGAGAAAGAAAAAAAAAAAATTAACCAGAAGCATATGCATAAAGACCCTCTGCAAAAAAAAATCCAGACCCCCTATGAAATAATTTGGTGGGAGCTCCTTTAGGATATGGTGTTGTATAAGTGTAATCCACGAATGATTATATCTAAGTCTTTTATTGGATTGTTTTATCAGAGCTCTTTTCAATTTACTGGAGATCTTTTAGAGCTACATGTACCAAAGTTAAATTGCTTACCGCTCCCTAGTTTTAAAAAAAAGTTTTAGGTTGATTTTATAGATTCTCACTATACACATACATGTACAGTGTACATGTATTATATGTTCAGGAGACTGGAACACTTTAAACAATAAATAAATCTAGGCCCCCTATGAAATAAGTTAGAATGAAGCCCTGTTGGAAGGAAAAGAATCACAACGGCATACCTTCAATGTCTTGCAGGAAGACATCTGCAGCGCCTGCAGGAGGTGAGTTCTCCCCCACTGGCTTGAAGTTCCGATGGAGTTGAGAGTTCTCATTCCTATCAGAGGGCCATGCAGCACCCGGGCTCAGTAACTACAGGTAATTAAATAAATAGTTCTGAATTATTACCAATTAATGATTTCAATACATGTACTAGTAGTCATAATGTACTTAAGAAATAGTCAGTGGTTGATGAAATACATGGACATTTATATGACAATAATAATAATAATAATAATAATAATAGGCATTTCTATAGCGCCGTCTATCTACAAATTCTATTCAATACACGTTCTTTTAAGAATAATCCATCCAATGCTTTGGGGCAGCATTTAATGAAGAGGCTCAAGGACATACAGTGTAACTCACAACATTTGATGATTTTGTTTATAGAATGAGACACAGATGGGGCAGAACTATTATTTCACTAAGTTGACAGCAGATGCTACATACAGTATACGATTGGGATGTAGCGCTGGAGTCCACAGAGCTCAAAGGACCTTCTACTGTAAACGCTGTTATTTTTGTGTGATTAATTTTTTCACGGTTAGCGACCCCAAAACATATTTGCTGGTTCTTTAATTCCAGTTTTAGGCAATTTAGCCTGTTTAAACATGCATAATAAGTAATTCTTATTTTTGTGAGTTCTAAAATTCATGCTTGTCAATCTTAGCGCAAAATCCGTGAAAATAAATTTACCATGAATATTCCTACTTTTACAGTATTTTCCATCAGTCATAAATCTTGCCATCAGCTAATTCCTAAAATACCATCTTTAACAGTCTGTAAAGAAAATGTTTTCGCAGTTTCCCTTGAACAGTGTTCCTTATTAAAACCTGAATCAAAGAGAACATTTCATGAAGGCCATCCGCATTGAGAACCTATAATAAAGGCATCTGTCTAAATAGACCAGCTATCCTTGCTATGGGTGGCCTTTATAAAGCCTACAATTTCAACTATGATTTGAAAACTCACCTTAGAAGGAGAGGGGCTCCTCAGGGGTGAAGGCATCCGCTTGGTAGGAGACTTCTGGCCCCCGTTACCCCCCTTCTGACCGGGCATCGAGGGGGTCAGTTTGGTAGGCGAGAGCCGCGTGGGGCGCATGGTCGACCCAGCAGGGGCGTTGCCTACCGGTGAGGAGGGGAAAGACGATGGGGTGGAGGGGAGAGATGATGATTGGGTGGAGGGCCCCTGTGCCCCGCCCTGGGCCTGGCCCTGGGCCTGGGCTTGGGGTGAGGTGGAAGGGGACGGGGATGGGAGCTGCGCCTGGGCGGGGTCGACACCACCTATTGCTACTGGGAAGGGGTGTTGCAATTGTTGGTATTTCTTCTGTTGTTGGAGGATCCTCATTAACCGCTCATCTTCTTTTGCCTGTGTCTGATGAAATAAACAAAAAGGAGCATGATATTCACTACGTCAAAGTATGGAAACACAGTTAACAACTGAATTATTCAGACCCCATTGTAAATTTGATTTTCTTGTGTTTTTTGTGACTCAAGAGTAAAAGGTGGACCAGTTTTAAGGTAAAGACCAGTATTGGAAACGCCCCAATTTCAAAAAATGAAATGGAAGCTCTCATTACCAATCATGTGAAAGAATATGTTTTGACTAATACATGATGATAAAAAATTTGCTGGGAAACCGCCTACTAATTCATAAATTTGGTAAATTTATTTCTCTCATGGTCTGTGAGAGATATAGGGTAGTCCCATATACATCTTTCTGAGTATAGTGCTTGTAACTTTACGAAGAATGGGCCAAATTTCTTATCATTTTAATGATTCCAGAACCTTGCAGATGCTAGATGCTAGATGATCAACCTTTTCTGATCGATTCCACAACGTTTCTTTCACAATGCAATCGCATGACCATAACTGGTCTTTACCTTTAAAAGTTGAATACTTTCAGATGTCAGCTTCAGTACATATTCTCAAGAAACACAAATTGGGACAAATCAATTTTGTCACCATCACCATCACCATCATCATTACTATGATCACCATCATCATTATCATGACACATGTTATTGGTAGAAGTAACATGTGTTGCTTACCTCAGACACCAATGCTGTAAGAGGGCATTTATTGCTCAGATATTGCATAATTTAGTGGGTGTGAGAAGGTTAAAGATATTCTATTACTTGTACACTGCAGGTTGGTATTCTGTAGCTTTAACAAATGAATAGATCATCATCACAATTACCACCATCCTCCTCCTCTTTAACGCCATCACTGTCATCAGTATCATCTTCATCATCATCATCATCATCATCATCATCATCATCAGCACCACCAACACCACCACCACCACCACCACCACCACCATCACCACTACCACCACCACCACCACCACTACCACCACCTTCAAGGTAACCCTGAGATGTGTTGCTTACCTCTGATACCACTGTGAGAGGGCATGTGTTGTTGAGGTATTGCACGAGTTGTACGTGTTGTCCGGGGTGGTACCATCTGCCTTTACCTTGACTGTACAACCACTCTGCTTTCAAGCTGCAAGTACAAGTGTGGTAGATATTGAATGGAATTGAATGGAATTAAATTCAACGGAATTGAAGTGAATTGAATTGAATGGAATTGAATTGAATTGAATTGAATGGAATGGAATTGAATTAAATGGAATGGAATTGAATTAAATGGAATTGAATGGAATGGAATTGAATAAAATTGAATTGAATGGAATTGAATGGAATTAAATTCAACGGAATTGAAGTGAATTGAATTGAATGGAATGGAATTGAATTGAATTGAATGGAATGGAATTGAATTAAATGGAATTGAATGGAATGGAATTGAATGGAATTGAATTGAATTGAATTGAATGGAATTGAATTGAATTGAATGGAATTGAACGGAATTGAATTGAATTGAATTGAACTGAATTGGATGGAATGGAATTGAACTGAATTGATTGGTTTGGAATTGAATTGAATTGCTTTATTTCCACATTTCCATAAAAAATAACAAAACAATATATACACGATATACTGTACAGAGTAATTATTCAACACTTGAATGAAACAATAAACCTTAAAAATAACAAAATAAACAGGAACAAAATTAGAAACAAAGAATAAGATTAGACTACGAGTAAATAAATGTCAATGTGGGGGATTATAAAAAGCAATGAACTTATAACATATACATAACCTCTAGGTTGTAATAATAAATGTATAATTTATATGGAAAAGGGAGACAAAACAAAACAAATTAATTAATAATACTGACAATTCAGTGGAAGTAAATGAATTATCAGAGAAATTAAAGATTATGTAGAAAATACTTTTAAGTTTGGATTTAAATATATTCAGGGATTGAGAATTTTTAATATATGACATTAGAGTGTTCAAGGCAATGTCCAGCACAATCAAAAAGGATAAGATCCTTATAGGGATGAATGGCCTTGAGTGGGATACACAGGTAAAGCTCACAAGCATAATTACCGAGCAACTTTATGCAGCACTTAGACTACAAATACAAACACACAAGCTGCCCATAACATGTACAAATGTGTAGCAATTATGTATCAGGTCTTCAAATGATGTCTGAATTTCAATGTTATCCTTGCTCCCAAAAAGCGATTGAAACGGAAAGAACTGCACCTCCGTGGGGGAAAAAACGCAGGGCCATGCAATGGCAGCTGATCTCATAGTGCGTGACAGAGTTAAGAGGGGAAGGGGTAATTTGCAATGCCGGTGACAGGCAAATTACCTTAATTATAGCTGCAAATGTTGTAACAAAGTGGGGCTTAGAGATGCATGTACAATGTACATGTGTTAAACCTGTTTGAATAGTAATGCAAAGGTCAAAAGTGCAGATGGTTGCTAAAGAGAGTGTGAGAACGATGAAATGCAGAGACTGAATATATGATAATAACAGTGGGTTCTCAGACTTGACACTCCTGGCGCTCTACAAAAAGCCAGGGTTCCTGCTAGTGCCTATACATGTACATCCCTGGCGCTAAAGGGCAACTCCAAAATCTTCTGTCATTTTGTGTCCCAAAAGGTACCAAGTATCACAGAATAAGGAGTACCCATATATTCAACATATCAAACTGCATCACTGCTTTAACAGAATTCTCGCGTGTGATACGACTTAAGGTTCACACTTTCTTCATAATCTCTGCGTATTTCTTTCTTCGTAGTCTCCGTGTATGACGACTCCTCTTTAATAGACAACCATCAGCCTACAACACTGGAACTGACTACATGTAATGTCTGTATTAGAGATGGATTAAAGCCTTGTGTGGCCTTGATGGAGAGAGCAGTGTGATGTGATACGGAGAGCTTGAATCATCCCCTCCCTAAATCCCCCTCAAACACTTTTAGGGCGTAGGATGGGCTGGGTCCCACATATCTAATCCCACGTGGGTACAGTAATACTCCCTGAGCCTTCTTGCCCACGATCAAGGGCCATGAAAGCCACGAGCGCTCCTTCGCACACAGAGAGCTGAGATCCTATGCCATCACGAGTATTTCCAGTTTCTGTCTCCGTCTCTGTCCTTCTCTCTATGTATCTCTCTATCTCTGTCCCTCTATTGTTGTCTTACTGTCCCTGTCTCTGTGTCTCTTTCTGTCTTTCTCTGTCAAGCTTCTTCGCACAGAGAGTTGAGATCCTATATGCCATCACAAGTCCTTCTCTCTCTGTCTCTCTCTGTCTCTGCATCTCTCTTTTTCTCTCTGCATCCGTCTTTCTCTCTCTGCGTCTCTTTCTCTCTCTGCATCTGTCTTTCTCCGTCTCTGTCTCTCTCTTGTTGTCTCTTTCTCTCTCTGCATCTCTTTTCTCTCTCTGCATCTCTCTTTCTCTCTCTCTGCATCTGTCTTTCTCTGTCTCTCTATTGTTGTCTCACTGTCCCTCTCTCTCTCTCTCTCTCTTGCTTGCCCATTCTTTGTCTGTCTGTCTGTCTCTCTCTCTCTCTCTCTCTCTCTCTCTCTTTCTGTCCTTTTCTGTCCTTTTCTGTCAGCAGCTCTCTCTTGCTTGCCCTTTCTTTGTTTGTCTCTGTCTCTATCTGTCCCTCTCCCTCTCTCCCTCTCTCCCTCTCTCCCTCTCTCCCTCTCTCTGTCTCTGCCGTTGTTGTCACACTGTCAATTCCTTATGAATCACCGTGTAAATGGGGGTCCCGTGGCTCAAAACGATTGAATCGATTGTTTCCTGCATTCGACCGCAAACACCAACAGTCTACGGAGCTAGAGACCGGCATGCAGTAACTGACGGATCGGGACAGGTCGACGGGGAGAGGGCTGGCTGGCTGACATCGCAAAACGTCTGTTGGGAGTTGGTTGGTTGGTTGGTTGGTTGGTATACAGACCTAATTGAGCTGTTACGTGTCCGTCACGTGACGGCTTCCTTTAGTATCTCCGGGGGGGGGGGGGGGGGGGGGGGGGGGGGGGGTTTCACAAAGATCCTAAGTTGAACTTAACAGATGGTTTGGACAAAGAACAATCTCTTTCAGACTTTCAAAGGAAGACAAAGACCAGTTTTAGAAATTGGCTACCGGTAAGCACCGGATCCAGTGACAATGTTTGGACAGAGAACTATTTCACAAGAAGAAGGAAGACTGGTATAATTTGATTATGAGCTCGTTTAGCCACACAGTGAGGGGGTGTCTGCAGTGCATGGGTACTACATTAGGCTACAGCGGTTACACACACCTAGCTACAGTGACCTACCAGTCATTGACACCGCATTGTCTGCAGGGAAAATAGTCCTGTCCTCATCAGCTCGAGATTGCCAAATAACCTACTATTTTAACTATCGCGATCGCAAATTATCCAGCTAATTTGCGTCTTTATCAGCCCGCAGTTGCAATTAGCAGGATATTTGGTCGAGATTAATCATCCCAAGATATCTTGGGCTAGTTTGCAAAATATCACGCTATCTGTCCGGTGCGTCCTCACCAGCCCGAAGACTCGCACTATGCGCAAAGTATCTCGAGCGACGAATTTCTCGAGCTTGCGTTTTGAGTTACATGGTCGAGTCTCGAGCTGATGATGACGCGATTTGTAACTTCAGACTTATTTCCCATATCAGAAATAGCAGGCTTTTTGGCAATCTCGAGCTGATGATGACATACCCAATGACCATGACAACATGGCCAGGAGGTTCTATGACACATCGCTCCTGCAACAGTTGCTCTGCGGTCAATTTCCTAGTAGTTGAATTCCTAAGACCAAAGACCATACCTACAGTATACATGTACATGTATGTATCCCTAACCAAAAGCCTGATCGACCCCCACATGTTTCCTCCATACCTTTGATGAAGTAAAGCCTACAATGTATGAAGCAAATGTCACGTCACCAACCAGATTTAAAATCAATTATTAAGTTACTTACCCCTCATTTTGTATACTTGTAATTCTTACAAACTTCATCAATAAAAATTGTACACATGCAAACCTGTCTTTAGCGCTCACCCACATAGCTAGCTCCCTCTAGGAGAAAACATGTGAACTGTTGAAGAACCTTTTCTGTAGATGGCTTTAATAGACAGGTTTGACAATGTGCTGTGGCTCCTAACTGACATCTGTTTCCTCTCCTACATAGTCTTGTCAATAAGAAGGGCTGTTTCTCTATGCCCAAATAAGCAACAGCAACATAAACTAGGTACAGTCAAACCTTGTTTAGCGACCACCTGTCTACAAAGCAAACATTTTTGTTTCCCGCTGACAATGGCTTCTCATTGAAACATGTACTAAAGGAACCTGTCTACAAAGACCACTTTTCTTGTCTCCCTTGGGTGGCCTTTATAGACAGGTTTCACTGTACATGTTTACCAGCGTGTTTTCCTAGTATTTGTTTCCGAATAAAAAAAAAGTAGATCAAGTACTTACTTTTCCTTGTGTGTGATTGCGTAACCATCTAGGATGTGTAGGGAGGGTGACCAATTGACGATGTAAGGCCTGTAGTCAAACCCACTGTTGAAAGGTGATCTGAATCTCAAGGTTAAGGAATTCCTTTTCAAAATACATGTTCATACATAACATCAATGATAATATTCTGGATTTATAGAGCACTTGAAACATTTCATACTGTCCCTTAGCACTTTAGAGATATCAATTCAGTTTTTAAAAAGTGTTTGGGATAGGTTTTTAAAAAGTTAGAATGGACATTCAAAGATCAAATAAATGAAGTCTACGGCAACTGAATTCATGCATGTCCTAAAAATTATGACGCTAGCTGTTTACTGTTGTTATAAATGAACATACCGCAAAAATGGGGTGGGGCACGCTAGGCTGCCGAAAATTTAGCATAACTTTACAAGTACGTGCAGCTGTAAATATACATGTAGAGAAACAGTAATATGACGACAGATAGTCAACCTGTTCGAAACGTCGAGCCTCTCCCGCCACCCATCCTCTCCAAGCGCTATAGTCTAAGACCCCGTTCTCACTCACTTCGTTGGAGCGCTCTAACTAAGACCCGTTCCTCAGGAGCGGTTCTTAGGTGAGTGAGAACGGTCAAAGTGGTCCAGGAAGTGGACTTCTGGACCGCTCCAGAAGACCACCTTCCGAGGTGGTCTTGAGGAGCGGGTCTTATTAAGAGCGGTTTGGAGCGCTCTAACGTGCAATGTGAACGGATAGCGTACTTTGAACGGAAGTGAGCTAGTGACCTTCGGTGCGAAACATGTAGTACGGTACATACCGTTTGTATTCCGCGCGCGAAAAATTGATCTGCTGACCTGAGCTGCCATAGCAACAAGACCACTGTGACTCGTGGAGCGGTTGAGCCATTAAAAACTGCTCGGAGTGTGTACGCTCGCAAACCGTTCCTCAAGACCCGTTCCTCTGGAGCGGTCTAACTAAGACCACTTTCAAAGTGAGTGAGAACGGGGTCTTAGAAAAGATAACCATCAGTCTTTTTTCAAGACTACACCAACAGTCCTTTTCAGGACTACACACCCTCAAGAAAGATTACAGAGAGTCCTTTTCAGGACTCCTCAATCCTCCCTCTCTCTCTCACATGGTGCATTCGCGGGCCTTCTGTATAATATATGCAACATTTGTCCTTCACTCCATATTAGCCTAGATTTGAAAATACAGCTCAGAAATCATTCCTTCCTGAAAGGCTGAATTCAAATACCTAGCGATTCTGGGCAAATGTCTTGATTTATTTCAATTGTACTTTGCATTCAGCGGTAGCAGAAATCAAATCACGATGTCTACCCGCTGATTGTATCTGTCAATATGTATTCGTAATGAACCGAAAATAACTATACCCTTTATTAACTAATCCATGTAGATGGTTCTGCCTTTCTAGGTTAGGGATAATCTGCTTTGGTGTGTCTGTAATTGGGATTTCTGGTCTCGCTCAGGAGTGCAGACATCGTGACTGGTGAGAGAGAGAGAGAGAGAGAGAGAGAGAGAGAGAGAGATGAAGACAGAGATAGACAGAGATAAAGACCAACAGAGAAAGTTACTTGTTTTGTAGATAGAGACACACAGATAGGCAGAGAGAAACACATGCACAGTGAGAGAGAGAGATAGAGATCAAGATAAAGACCAACAGAGAAAGATAGAGACAGAGATACAGATAGATACACAGAGAGAGAGAGAGAGATAGATCAAGATAAAGACAGATACATTGTACTGTAGAAACAAAGAGATCAGACAGACAGAAAGAGGTAGACAGTGACCGAGAGAGATCAAGAATGATAGAAAGTAAATGTAAATGTTGGAGAAAGGCTTAGAGAGTAAGAGAGCATTGATGATAGACGCAGGAATGAAAGACAGAGACACACAGAGACAGTCAGAGAATGAAAGAGAAAGAGATGGATATTGTTAGAGAAAGAGACAGAGGGAGACAGATGGAGCGTCAAAAATAAGCACACTATCGTCGGTGGGGTGACAAAACCTTGTATCTCAATCTTTTTTGCATAATTTTGTACCTAATGGACTACGACACCACCTGATCCATGGAACGCCTCCTGTCTCAGTTTTTCACAAATTCCACACAAACACCCTCGTAATTTTAACCCCCTTTGAAGCTGCACTGACAAAACCTTGTAACATAAGATACGTAATTCCTTCTTCTTGTAACTCACACACGGCCTAACAGTACCGAAATTAGTGTATTCAAATCCTTGTAACTTATTCAACCAAATCCTCGTAACTCATTCAGAGTTGAAAGTAAGAACTTGTATCTCAATTTGAATAAAAACTAAAAACTCGTATCTCAATGTAGATAAAAGCAAAAACCTTGTAACTCGCTTTCAAATATAAAAACAATTATTTTACTGTATTTCAACAATGACATTAAAAATTGTATAAATATTCCAGTTTTAAAAAGAAAGGGCGGTGTCACAGCACTAAATTTGTTGAGACAGGAAAGTTTTTTCGCTCTCCTGAAAATTCATGATTTTTGAGATCGAGGTTTTGTCACCCCACCGACGCTATGTAGCTTTAGAAAGGAGAGTGAGAAAATCATAGATCGCTAAAGAAGTTGAAACTCCTGACACAAATGATACAAGCAATGGAAATCACTTTCAATTGCATGAAGTTGTTGTAACCCCTGTGTATAAAGACCACCTGTCTATAAAGACCACATTTTTCATCTCCATAGAAAATGGTTCTCATTGGGACATGTCATAAACCAACCTGTACATAAAGAAAACCTGGATATAGAGACCACTTTTCTTATCTCCCTTGAGCGGTCTGTCTAAACAGGTTTCACTGTTCCACATCTTAAAAGGGTGAAACAAATATTGACAATACAAGGTTAGTACCTTTTCATTTCCCCCTAATTATCCAGGTACATTTACATTTACAATGTAAAATTTGCATGACATCGCATCAATTTCTAAAATGAAGATCTCTTCAACCTAACAGTGCCTGCGGGCCGGGCTGTCATAGTTACCAGGCGAAACTCCACTGTGTGGGTTTGCATTTCCGCCGTTCAGCCTTCTCAAGTTTCAGGTGTTTAAATATGTGCCATATCCATGGAAACAAAAACTGCTGTCTAAATGTTTTCATGACTTTTCCTGCCTGCCCTTACAGGGTTTCAAACCACTGATGCATGATCTTCTAAATCAGGAATTACCTACATGCGTTGCTATGGTTACTTGTTTCATAACCACAAAAAATGCAGCGAAGACGATCTCTTTTTCATCTATCCCTTGCGTCAGTAAAAGTTAACATGTTGAACTAATTTGCTTTCGCTTCAACCCTTTCTCATTTTTGCCCTATTTTTTTTCTCTCACTCACCCCCACCCCTTCCCTTTCTCTCTTTTCCTTCACTTACTTTTCAATCATTTTAGAAAAGTATTCAAATTCGTAGACAACAAATAATTAGAAGAATCAGCAAGTTTTAACAGTTTTATTATAGCCTACATTCTTTAGAACCTTAACTACTTCACTGACTGATAATTAGGTTGTAAGTGTACCACTCACCTAAAAAAATAATTTGTGAACAGCTAGAATTTTTCAAATCAACCTCAAAAAACTTCATCCAGCGTTCTATGGGCTAACGGATCAAGGAGTATGAAGGAAATAGGGAATAACATAAAACTACTCGCAAGGAACCAGAGTTGGACTTGAGGTTTGTGCGAGCCCTATTTTATGCGAGTGTGCACTGGGCCCTGTCTTACAAAGAGTTGATATCAATCGCAACTTATTTGCGATTGATATCGATCGTAACTATGTACATAAGAGATAGGAGACTGCAAACTTGCGATTGATTGGAGGACTTGCGACTGATTTGGATCAATCGTAACTCTTTGTAAGACGGGGCCCTGGTTTGTCGGGTAGTTTACTCACAAGCTGCTTTTATGTTAGTTGAGAGTGTCTTGAAGCTTGCAAAATCTCTTTTATACAGTAGTAATGTTAGAAGTATTTCAACTGTAGTATTACGACATGAAACAAACTACCAACATACAAAACAAAATATTTGTCGGTGATTGGTAGAGCTTAAGATTTCATGCAGCTTGAATCAAGACACTTGCAAAAAGTTTCTCTTTTTAAGTTTCTGAATTAATCAATGGCTTTCTATGGATGGAAAGTGATGTTTCTTCACAGCATTAGCTACTGTACACTGTACCTTCAATTTGTGAAATAAATGTATATACATGGTTAAAGTCCATATTCTTTTCTCTTCTTACCTACTGAAGTACATTCGGTATCACAATGAATAATCAGAAACATTGCAACACACTACATTTAAAAGCTGTACAGTGTTGCCGCGATAATCAAAAAGGCAAGTTTTCCACCCCAACCTTGCTATTTATAGAAATAGAAAGACACTGCAGCCGTCTATGCCAAACCTAATTTACGTCACGTGCTGTTGGCTTCAAACTGCGCCCTTGCAAAATCAAGTTTTACACATTGTCTTCCTCTTTCTTGTCACTATCTTGATAAGACAATGCTCTTACGTGTTACGTGACAAGAATGAGGTTGTCTGTGCAAGGCAGCATGACTATTCATAGCTCATGACAAAATAATAGAGGAATATATATATTAAAGCAGTAGTTTCATTTTAGACCCCGCCCCAGAATCTAAATGTGTTACAATATGTTTGCAATTAGAATGGCTAGTTTCTTGTTCCAAAATTTGTTACATGTACATTTGTTTGTTACTGTTACGTGACAAAAATGAGGTTGTCTGTGCAAGGCAGAATGACTATTCATAGCTCATCACAAAATTGTAGAGAATATATATTAAAGCAGTAGTTTCATTTTAGACCCCCGCCTTAGAATCTAAGTGTGTTACAATATGTTTGCAATTAGAATGGCTAGTTTCATGTTCCTAAACAGGCATTGGGAACTGGATATACAGAGGATATTTTCTGCCAAAATTACCAATCAGTTAAAAAGCACTGAAAGTCATATTTGACTTTTGACAGTGAATCTATGATTTATAATTTTTGTTCATCATTGTACAAGTCCTTGCATAAGCTTCATTATAGTCACTGCACAATAGACAGGTTTACTAGCATATGCCAATTTATATGCATACTCTATAAAGCAAAGGTTGTTCTTGACAACCAGAAAACTTGCTGATGCCTGCCTGACCTATCAACAAGTAATGAATGCAGACTGGATCCCAGGTATTGTAGTTCATTCATTAATAACATGTTAACGGAATAAATCGTCACTACATTATATGTAGATCCCCAGGAAAGAAACATCCATAAATTTGAACATGTTAGTAAATGGGTCTATTGATGTGGAGGTTCGATATGAATTTCATAATGAATGCAAAACTTTCAATTTTGTCATGCCACATTTTATGTCAAATAAGAGTGTACAAAAATGAGTATGAACTACCTCTTGGTTGGCAGCCAATAAGTTGTACCATTATAACTTCGGAAGAGACTATCCCGCGAGACATGTCGTCATTCTCTTTTGAAATCATTCTTTCATTCTTTTCTTTCTTCCATTTCCTCCGACCACAAAACTTGGAGCAGATAGTATCCCATGACGTTGCCTTTTCTGGAGAAATCAATGTTTTAACAGTTTTCTAGAGGCACCTCCAGGGGGGTGTTTCACAAAGATTCTAATTCGAACTTAACTCTAAGTTGGACTTGAATATCATGGAGAGCCATTTGTAGCCATATTATGAAATATATTCAAAAGCAAATATTGAAGTATTTTAGACTTTTTATAAATTCCACATCAAGAACATTAAAATCTCCCATGATAATAGAAAATATGAATGACATGAATCAACATTTTAGGCTTTTTGAAATAACTTATACCACATATTTTCAAGGATGCTAATGGCTTTCCATAATTGTTAAGTCCAACTTAATAGAGATAAGTTCAACTTAGGATCTTTGTGAAACACTCCCCTGGTTCCGTTACGTGGGCAGTTGGAAGTCAGTGACGCGCCAGATGGTCTGCATTATATACAGAGACTTGAAAGAATAAAGCATTGAGGCACAGAGATGGGCTACATTGATCTTGTGCTGTTCCCATTTCACAATAGAAAGGAAGGATGAACATGATATTCAGTGACTTTGCCCTTTCAGAGGAAATTTTCGTCAATATGCCTTGTTCACACAAAATGCAGAATACCCAAAAGTAACATTTTCTATGACTATTGTAAATAGTCAATATGAAATTGTAGATTGTATATGTCCAATAACTTTATACTTTGATGGGACTACCGTGATTAGCAGTGTATTTTGTTAGTTTCTTTTACTTAAACAGTTTACTACTGGTAAGTAAACTGTATATATCACTTTGTTGTATGTGCATACATGTGCATGTACGTTGGAAGGGTTTTTATTTTTATGCGGTTTAACATGTCATGTCTGAAAGAGGCGCTAAGATTTATTGCCTCATTAGTTCTTGAAGCAGTCCTTGTCCTACATTGAAGTAATTCAATTTACCTGCCGCCGGATACAGCACTGCATTACTTCATATAATTGACTAAATTGCGGATTGTATGCAAAACTACATTTACCTGTAACTAAAAAGCTTCAAATGTTGTTACTTATGATCTCCATTTCCATGTACATGTAATGGCTAACAGACCTGATAAAGCAGTATGTTTCCAATAAATCTACAAGTTAAAACAAAACTAACTGTTTCTCTGTTGCCGTATTAATAATCTGTTTTCATCACAGGCCACTGAAATTAATACTGTACATCAACAACGGCCATTTTTCACATACTAAAAACGCATTTTTAGTCTTTTATCTCTATATCTTTATGGTATTTCCTAGAAAACAAGACTACATGTATTTTCCCTTTATTTTCTCACGGAAAAATGGAAAATAGACGGAAAATGGAAAATAGACACAAAAAAGACATTTTAAGGCTAAGGATTTGGAATAAAAGATAGATGACAAATATTTTCAGATTTGAAAATAGTCAAGAATCAAATGTTTATGTGCTGTTTTTCCCCCCACTATTTTTGACTAGTTTTAGACTATTTAATTTTGACTACAGTAGGTTAGTCACTTTACCTTGACTTGAATAAATATAAGATTTACAAACAAACTAAAAAAAACTATATTCCTTGATGCGATACAGTATACATGTACTGTACTAAACAATATTTTAAAAATTGTTGACAACATTGCCTAGTATTCCTCCATTTTCTGTAAACTTTTATGACAAATCTGAAGAACTCAAATCCAGGGACCAATTACAAATAAACCAGGATGTAAGATTTAATTTGGTTTGCATACCATTGCGTGGGATGAAAGTTTGCGAGTGGGACGGACGGAACTCCCCTCTAATCAACTCTCGAGATGGGGGTGGGGAAAGACTTTCCTGTTTCAAGATTGGTTGCTAAGCAACCCTCATCTTTGGGGAATAAGCTGGGCCGAGGGAGGGACAGTCACGGTGGAATGCAAAGATGGAACTGATGGAGAAGAAGGAGGGACTTGCAGCAATTATATGTGTAAGAATGACAAGGCACTCGCCCGTGCGTAGAAAATGGGTATCTTTTACTTTTATAATTAACAGAGAGCAAAATACTCATATATTTCCGAGCTGCAACAAAGTTCTTGTATTTCTAAGATTGTCACATCTTCACACTTTAGATGTGAGCTTCAATATGCTACATTCTCAAGAAACACAAATCGGACATATATTATACATTTTTCACATACTTTTAAAAAATTACAAAACTTGTTTAAAGATAACGTTGAGTTCTGGTCATGCGATTGCACTGCAAAAGAAACGTTGTGGAAACGATCAGAAAAGGTTGATCATCTAGCATATAAGTATTGGTGTGTACTGCACGGTTCTGGAATCATCAAAATGATAAGCAATTTGGCCCAGTCTTGGTAAAGTTACAAGCACTGTACACAGAAAGGTGTATATATACATGAACATGTGGCATAAAAATTTGTCCCAATTTGTATGATGTTACATGCCATATTTATAATATTAAGGCATTTGAAGAGCCATGCTTTTCAGGGAACATTTTTTCTCTGGTGTTCTTCCAAACTTGCATAATAACAATGATAACGCCCACAAATTATTTTTCACCTCTTCCCAGAACTCAACCTTCTCTTTAAGGATATGAATAATTTAGTTATTAACTGTATAAGAAACCACTTATTATCATTGGGTGGTATTCCGGTAGCGCGTACTAAGTTAGCGCGTGCTTAGTTAGTTCACACTTTTATGGAGTGCCTGTTGTGAACTAATTTACCCTGAACAGATTATTTTAATCCTTCAATGAAAAGTGTCCAAAAAATTAATTTTGCACTGAAATAGGAAGAAAAAGATAATATGAGTATAAACTAAATTTCAACAAAGTCCTTGGTAGATTATCTTTGTCATGAATATTGAAGGAGGAAGATGAAACCTAGCATTCCATAGAAGTGCGAACTAAAATTCTTGTTTAGTCTGGACTTAGTCCCAGCTTAACTTAAGAGAATACCACCCATTGTTATTATTTATTAAGATCATACATGACTGGAAAGGATACGCGTTGGATGAACAGGGTGTGGCCATCAGCACGCAGGGGTTGTTCATGACAGACAGCTGCTGGAGGTTGTTCAGGCAGGATAGGTAGGACACCTGGGGAAGAGACGACAATGACAAGACAGATCCATTAAAGCCACACTGTACTACTTATAGCTACTTGCGCCCTCTATAGCAAACAATGCATAATTGGTGACCATTGGTGCCCCATGATCCTCTTTTTCTTATGTTAATTGAGAGCTGAGTTGATGAGATAACCACCTGTCAGTGACCTTGCAGGGAGGTCCAATCCCCTGGCCAAACTAGTGCAGACAGGCTTTAAAGCTCATGAACAGTTTCGGCAGGAATAAAAAGGAAATTGGAAAGAAGCGTGTTAAATACATGCAGTTTCAAGTTGTTCTTCTTGTATCAAAAGACATATGTACCAGATCGTTTGGCATTCTATCCATGATCTTGGTTAGTACCTGCAAAGGAAGCTAGATAATGGCTCTACACTCCCCTACGCTACATGTAGGACCCCTCCATCCCGATAGATCCCAGCACATTAATTTTGTGCTGTGTATAGCATATTTTGTACTCACAGTCCTTTAATACACAAATGTATTGCAGGATGCCATGGTATTGAAAATTTACGTCCTAGGATGTAGGATTTGTAACTAAATTTTTTTCTACCTCTCATTTGTTTATTATATTGCACTTGAGAAGAAAAGAAAGTTCACACCAATTTATTATTGCCATTATCTTCATATATATTGTGTTTATAAAGATATATGGCAAAAAAAAAAATTGAGGGCTTACCAAAGTGTTCATGACCTTTAAAGGGCACATGTCACATTCATTTTAATATTAAAAGGCTGTTAACTCAAATCTCTAATACAGTGATAAACATGTAGTACTACAGCAAAATAGCAGACACTGAAAAAAAATGGATTTGGAATTAAAGGTCAAAACAGCTCCGGAAATTTCAAAAGAAGCTCCAAAATGTCAATGTTCAGTTTCTGAGGAAAATCTTACATTTACATGTAGGAAATCTAAAATGAGCTCCATGCAATCAAATTGGAACTTTTAAACTACAAGGTACTTGGAGTTGTTGTGTTAATCGACTTTGCAACAATTTATAATGATATGGGTGCTAGTAACATCCTCCAAAAGTTACTAATCTACCTGGTATATTTTGACTATAATGAGAAAATTGGGGACATGGCAAGATACTGAAAGGAATTAGAATGAACCTGATATGTAATTTTCTCTGATGCACGTGATGGCTTATCATTTTCCCCACCAAATACTATGGGTAGAGCAATCAACATAAATAACTCACATGCATATTTTGTGGTTCTTACAAAGCTTTGAAATACATCAGGTTCTTATGACTACTGTACAAATGCAGAGCTTGTCAGGAAAAGCAAATTATCCACTGCATATATTTCTGATCCCCCCACACTGATTAATGATCACTGGAAAGGGTGAAAGTAAGGTCAACCTACACAGAAAGCCACATGATGGATGACAATATAATTTGCTGCATCATGTAATAATGAATAAGGGGATCTGGATATTATACATATCGTTTCAATTAGAGGTAGCATGTGTGTACTGGTAACTGAAATAGTTTATAATGTAACTGTAATAATGGCAGTGCTAAAATTATGAGAGTTATTAGTGTTTGTGCGTGTCTCTTTTATACAGACACTTTCCCCCAAGAGGATGTACAACATTTGTACAAGTAATGCCTTAATTTTCCTGTTAAATCCTCAGGAGGGGGGTGGTTCTACTGTTGGTGCATTTGAGTGCTATAAATATTGATATGAAAACATATGATATTTCATGAACTATCTCATATTTCTTTACAACAAAAGAATGAAATAAAATGAATGGGATTGCCTTTGAAATGGTCTCCTATTTCAAAATTACTAAATCAGTTTATAATTCAGACTCATTTTGGCTTCATGCTTGTATTTAATATAGTCCATAGTGTAAGTACATGCAGTTTCAGGATTTTTTTATTAAATTACAAGAGATTTGTGTATTTACCTCACAATAAACAATCAATATAAATTTCCAACATAGGATGGTGAACCAGTAAATGCAATAATCAATCTTTTACCTCCTATTAATGATATCATAACCTTTATCTGTATACAAAATAATAATAAACACAAACACAATCATAAGCCTGAATAATCACAAAAGCCTATCATTATGAGTCACACACGCTAAGGATTGTGCCTGAACAATTTCTTGGCAAAGGGGAGATTATCATGATAATCTTCAATGAAATAATACGAAGGTTACCACGTCATTCAGGTGAGAAAAGTGTCGAAGGGAGGATTAAAAACAGGAGGTCTGGATTAAATAATATGCCTTTTGGAGGTTTAATCTGTATTTTATTGTCTATCTTGAACAAAATATGTGCCCTGTAGAGTTTTAAAACCCTTGTGGTTTTCAGTGATATATTATAGATGTACTTGATCCTATCAAAAAGAAGACTACAAAGTTTGATTGATAACAGTAGTGATTCTAAAGCTAATGGATTTGGGGAATTTTTTTTTCTTTTACTGGTTTCTGTTTGTTTTGTTTATTGGGTGTTTTATGTTGTTGTTGTTTTTGTCTTTTGTTTTTGTCTTCTGTTTTCTTGTTATTAAAGAGTATTCACATCCACGACACAGTGACATTATTACTAATTACACTTGCAATATATAAACTAATCCTGCTTTAATAAATCTATTGTTCTTTTTGTAATACAGTAGAGATCTTTTCTGTTGTTTTCCCAAGTAAATCTAAGAGCAAAACAGGGAGTAAATTATTTAGAAAAAGATAAAAACTGTGAGTTCAAATGTCATGGATGTATGCATGATTAATACATAGAAGTAAAACATTCAGCAGTTCACTTGATGATATCCAGATTTGCATCAAGGCTATCATGAAAAAAGAGGCTTTGGATTGAGCTTATTTGATCTGGCTTGTTTCTGGGGCAAACAATCTGCCTGCCTCTTGCACGCACGCACGAGCTGACTTTTAAAGGATTGTATCAACTTTTTTTTTTAAACGTCGTGAAATTTGGCATGGATCAGCAGTACCCTCACGCAATCTACGGTCATCTTCACAATAAACCTTGTGTCTACTTCAGTGTCATCTCTTTCTTATGGTCATCGCTCTTTTTGCAAAGCTTCTGCTGAACTTTGGAACAAACTACCTACCTTTACATGTCAAAAACTGAGTGTCAGACTTTCAACCAATTCAAAACTTGTCTTAAAACACATTTATTCAAAATTGATTTCAATGATTCACTTACTTCGATCACATTGATGTATATATGATATATATGTATTGTAATTTGTAGGTTTATTTGTAATTTTTTGTTTAATATATAATTGTTTGTCATTGTATTTTGTTTGTTATAGCGCTTAGAGACTTCGGTGGAAAGCGCTTTATAAGCACTGATTTATTATTACTATTATTATTATTATGCAAGTTTCAAACATGTAACGCTATTAACTTATTTGAAACATTTACCAAAACAATAATGCATAACAAATTGTACATTCACAGGTTCTGTGGTGGTTTCATGAAAATTATGGGGCTCAAACACTGGTGATTCTAGTTAGAAATCAGTGATTATATGGTTAGGTCAATCTGACCAATCGCTCGGAGTGATAAAATCAGTCCTAAGACCATCTTCAGAGAGGAAATCAGTTCATCAAACTAGTTATGTTGCAAAATTAGTGATTTCGGTTTTGGTACGCCCCCAGCCAAAAAACATTTGGTGACCCGCCTAAAATTCCATTTGGAAAGTAAGTCAAATATTCCAAGTAAAGTCAGTTTCTAGTTCATACGAAATGGAAATTCTTGAAGGGTACATTTTTCTTTGTACATTTAAATTTTTGGCCCGCTAATGGGATACAGTACCTTTAAAGAAGTGTGGATTCATTCCAGAAGGTCATGCCATGACGCAAAGAAACACAGCTGTTTTTTTTAAAAAAAATTTACAAGTAGACAGGGGCAGGGGCCCCTTGTTTCAGAGAATGTTACATTACAATAGGGGCTGATTGATGTGATACACTTTTAGGGCAATATGATGACTTCACTTTGTAAATATTGTGTCAACATGACTGGACAGTAGACTAATAAGAGGCGTAAAAGTACAAATAACCCTCCAAACTTCAGAAGGAACCCACAGTGACAAGATCATCAAGCTGTAGAAGGTGCTTCTCTGAAGCCTCAGTATGCAGCCTTCTGTAACTAAACTTTGAAGGGCTGTAGTTAATAAGAGAGGTAAAAGTACAAATGACCCTCCAAACTTCAGAAGGAACCCACAGTGACAAGATCATCAAGCTGTAGGTGTTTCTCTGAAGCCTCAGGTGGCAGCACTAGGGCACAACTCGACTGTAATGCAATTGTTACTAGCCATAATGCTCACACACACCATGATAGCATGCATTTACTTCGCATGGATTTACGTCGCAAGGAGAAAATCTTTTCTGCACATCTAATTGATCTAAATTTGTACAGTCAAACCTGCTTTAGCGACAACCTGTCTACAAAGACCACATTTTTGTTTCCCTTCAAAATGGTTTCTCATTGAAACGAAATATAATTATAATATCTTTATAGACATGTTTTACTGTATTATGTTCACGGTCTCTTCTATTACAGTTGAACAGTACATGGGACTTTTATCTTGGACTGTATACATGTACCATATATCTTCTCATGAAACTGCCAAGCATCACACAGTGTTCCTGAAGAAAAAAAAATTGCACAGAAAGAAATTGCTACTTTGGAACAAACGCTATTGGGAACACATATCAGTCCTAACTCCAAAATGAAGAATTTATTAAAAATATATATAAATATCCAATATCGGCTGCTGATGATCAACTACACAGATGCAATTCTCTATGACAGCTAAATATATTCCAAATTAACTATATTTAGGAATGGCTGCAATAAGACGATTAAATTTGATATGCTACATTCACAATAACCCTACCTCCGTGAGATCCGATATCTCGTTCTCTGCTAGCGAGAGTATCTCCAGCGAATGCGGTATACAGCCGGGTATGCTGCGTAATGTTGTCAGTATGTTGCCATGGAGAAGCAAGGTCTGCAAACAAAACGAGATAAAGGAAACAAATCATTAAAATGCATTTTTAATTCCAAAGTGTTATATAGCATCAGATTCTGCGACATTAATTGCATGTGTGTTCATTTTTAACATGCCAACAACAAAAAATTCCAATGAGAGCTCTGGTGACAATGGCTCTTCGGTCAGTTTCATTCTCTAAATAACATCTTAACTCAATCTCTAGGCTAAATAATACACATAACCCTAACCCTAAACCTATCCCAACCCTACCTCTACCGCTAAGAAATAGGCTAAGTATTAAGGAATATAACATTGCTGATTGTTAGCTTTGTTTGGTATAGTGACTGGTCTTGGACCTTGTTTCATAAAACTTGCCATCGATAACAAGATACAATGATTGTTCTAAGCTACTGAAATCCTTGCATTTGATTGGCTGTGCGGAGATTTGTAATAGATCTGTGGCAGTTGATGTTGATAGCAAGCTTCATGAAACAGGGCCCGGGATGGACGTTAGTGTAGGAAATTAACCACAGAGTAATTACAAAAATTAAAAAATTAAAATTAAAATTACAGAGTAACAGTCGCCAGACCATTTGTCGTAGAACTCGAAAGGCAAGTCAGGAAGAGTCTTTGATAACTGCACTGAGATAAAGTTGAATTTGTCTATAGGCCTGTCTTCATCAGATCGAAGTTGCAAAATAACCTGCTACTTTCAGACTCGGGATATTTTCCTGATACTTGAAATTACACTCGTTACAAACTAGCTCGGATGGGCGTAAATTAGCAGCTTTTTCCCAATTAGCGGGCTATTCTGGAAACAAGACCAAAATTTTTCTTGACCAAATAGCCCGCTAATCGCAACTGCTGGCTAATTTGAGTTCAGGCTAGTTAAAATAGCGGGTTATTTTTCAACTTTGGTCTGATGAAGGCAGGCCGGCCGGCCGGCCGGCCTTGTACATGTATAACAACAGAGGTAATATTACAGCATGACCTCTTTCATGTTTTTCTACAAGCCATCAGGTTAGAGATTCAATACCCACCTTGAGGTTAGCTAGCATGGAGATGTCCATGATTGATGAGACGCTGTTATCGGACAGGTCCAGGTGACGGAGCTTCAGGTTGCTGCTGAGATGGTCAATGCTCTGTGGATCAAAGAAAAAAAAAGAATGTGAAAAGAAAAGATTAATCATGGATTGACATTATCCCTGACCCTGTACTATCTTTGGATCTTCCAACATTTAAAATTTGAATAAGAGGACCGTGTATACACAACCTAAACTTTCAATCCTGATGCCCCAAGTGAAAAAACAAAATGAATGGAGTCCCTAGTTGATTAAAGTAACCCACTCTGTTGTAGCCAATTCTGCTTTCAAAAGTGGTTTAAAAACAAGATAATTACAAATCAGACTACAATATCAAGAGAACTAAAAAGCAGAGATATGATTTAAGTGTAAGTGTAATGACAAGAGTGAAGTCATGATTTAATTAAACATTCATCGTTTTTTTAGTACAGAAGGAAGGTGAAAGCATTAATTGTCATCTCAAGAAATGTCTATTATGATGCAATGTACATGTACATGTACATGTTTATATTAGTTTGTCAGAAATTCATAGACATATAAACTACAATGTACGTCTATAACATTTGACTGAAGAAATTGTCCTGTAATAAAAATTGGAAGTATCACTATAGGCTCGTTCAGACATGACGTGGCAAAACAGATCTAAATTTTTGATGATTTATAAAAGTGTAATATACTTCACATTTCTGTATCTTGTAATGCCTAGTTCACACCGACGCCGAATGTCGCGCTTTAAATCGGCGATCAATTCGGCGTCATTTTTTCAAAAAATCTCACGATCTCCTGAGATATGTTATGCTAAGTTCACACCGACGCCGAATTGATGGCGAATTAAATCGGCGAGCAAAGCGGCGGCAAAGCGTAACAAAGCTTAATTAAAGCGTAAAGACCGTAATAGAGCGTGAGAAAGCTTTGAGCAATTCTGGACTTCGTCAAGAGCGCCACAAATTTAAACTCTGTTAAGCTTTCCTACGCTTTGAGCAAAACTTTGATAAGATTTGTGACGCTTTGATAAGCTTTAATACGCTCACCCGCTTTACGCAATTCGTGACAGATCGCCTCAAATTTTTAAACAGTTTAAAAAAATTTGGCGCTCTTGCCGAATGTCCCGAATTGCTCAAAGCTTTCTCACGCTCTATTACGGTCTTTACGCTTTAATTAAGCTTTGTTACACTTTGCCGCCGCTTTGCTCGCCGATTTAATGCGCCATCAATTCGGCGTCGGTGTGAACTTAGCATTACAAAGAGGTCAGTGAATATGCGCAAGTCCTTTGTTATGCACAGCTGCCATTAATTTACGCGGGGACAAAAAAAGAGGCAGATTTTTTTGCTGCAAATTAATGTGCCATAGATCTGAACAAGCCTTAACTTTGTCTAAACATGTATATTCCTGATCATTGCAATGACTGTGTAGTTCACACTATACGTATTATGTGGTACACATCTTATATTTCGATGCGTGTCATTTGCTTGAAATCAGACTGAGGACAATGGGTTGATACCCACGATGGCACGATCTTGACATTTTAATTCACGTCGCACCCTACGCCCAGCTGATGGGAATTAGGCTTTTCGTCGAGACTTGGCACTCTGCCAATTAATGCTACATGTTTGACATTATACCCCCTTCCTTAAACACTATAAACAGCACAGCCCCTCTCCTCGTCATAGCCGTGTGTTCTTTGCAGTGTAACTGGTCACATGTCATACTGGGTTTTCAGTTTGGTTCTACTGAGCTCCGGGTGACCTAGCTAATTTCCTTTTTCACTTCTTGCGCTAGTATGTGTTAAAGAACCCACCGTCGCTCCCTGCTCAGGAAAATGGGCTGCAGAGTGCAGATTGACAACTAACAACTTCACAATTTGATCTGTATTCTCAACACCCTGCGGCTACTCCCCCCCCCCCCCTCCTCCTCCTCTGTAATGCATGAGATCACGTCTTAAGTTTTTCAAGTCCTACTGTATGTAAATTAGGATTTTAGTACCGGTAAGTGTTTATTGAGCACTGAGCTCCTATATATTACCTTACCAATTTCTGCTGTGCTGTTGTCTTCAATATAGCAACTTCTTGCTCTTGAAATCTAATTTTAAACCTGCTTTATTTGACGTACAGCCCAGTCCCCCTCCCCCTCCCTTATCCAATCTCATGTTTAATATACCGGTAGGCTTTTATACTTCCTCTTATAGGTTTCACTATGCATACATGTAAGTTACCTTCTGCAGTGTTTCAAGACATGCATGAGTTGGGATCGGGTCAAATCCTAACAACTTTAAAATTTGCTCTGTATTATAACCCCTGAAAACCCTCCCACCCCCCCCCCTCCCCTCCTTTGTAGATAGTCTTTTATACTTCCCCTAGCGTTCACTAAGTGCACGTTGACTTCTACAGTGTTTCAGGTCATGCATCAAACAGGAATGTGTTGATGAGATCCTCTTTGACCTCACTCGTTTCCTTCTGTCCTTTAATCTTGTCCTCAGTGCATCCCTCGCTCCCCACTCTTGGGATCACAATGTTACCCCCCCCCCCTCCTTTTGTTTAAACTCCTTACTCTCTCCCCCCCCCCCCCCCCCCCATATAGGATTGTATCCTTCCTTCCCCTAGAAGGATTGGCTATGCACAAGTTGAGTTCTACTGCATTTCAGGTCATGCTGTCAAATAGGGGTAATAGCGTAGTGTTGCTGAGCTACGTTTCTGACCTTCCCAATTTCCCTTTCCTTCCTTGTGCTGCGCTTCTTAAAGTGTACCAATCACTTAAGAAAATAATTTGTTTACAACCTACATGTACAGTACATGTAAAACCTACATCTACATAAAATTTAACCGAACAAACTTCATCCAGGATTCTATGGGTCAATGGATTAGGAGTACCTATTCAAGTAAATAGATAATAACATAAAACAGCGCACACAGGACCCAAGTCCCAAGTTAGACTTGGATTCCCTCTTTTATGTTCCTATTCAACCCGTTTGACAGAAACTAAATTTTCATGCAACCCGTTATATAGCCGAAGGTTTTCTAGGAATAAAACTATCCCTTACTCACATGGTGAATGACCAACAGATATATCAGGAAGTGTGGTATTTGAGGTCAGTAAAGCGACATTACCATGTACAGCTGTATAGTATTTGTAGATTTTGGATCACTGATGCCATACCAACTGCTGAAACATCGCTCCCAAAATGGAAGCTTCAGGCCACTTTAGCCATGTGGATTCACTGAGCTAACTTTCTGGACTTTTGATTTCTGACTGGCCAGAACATTAACATTTTAAACCTTAACCTACTTGAGGAAACGCTATTAGAGGTGCATGGCATCGACAATGTTTCTTTTTACTCATTATCACAAGAAAATATTGCAAACTTTATTCATAAAATACCCCCCCCCCCCCAAAAGAGTAAATCGTACTGTCGTATTTACTTCTAAAAATCATACGAAATACGATTAAATCGTACTGGTTGGCAGCTCTGAGCTAGGCTATGTTTGAACTTTAAACATTTGCCTACAGCACACCGGAGCGAGAGAGAGAGACAGAGAGGCTAAGAGAGAGCAGGCATATATGCAGGCAGGAAGGATCCATCACTCAGCTCCTAGCGGGGCTGCGTCTAGCTGATAAGGGGGATCAACCATAACTCGTCATCTATTCATGCACACTTCTTGTCGTCATTCCATTCAACCACACCGCTATCACTGTAATTTTTTTCGCTCGCCAAGTGATATTGAAATAGATTAGGAGACAAAGGAGAGGAGTTCGCATGACTTCTGTGTAGATTTATTTCTATATTAATCATCATGCAACCGCTGTGCCATCCTGGCATGTCCGCTCACAGAGTGTAACATGTTCTGCTGCAGTGGAACCTATGGCAATGTCTTTCTTGTACCCCCACATGCCGTTTCTGAGTCAATATGTAGACACTGTAATTTATTGCCACTGTGTGATTGACAATATTTGAAGATGATTGAGGATTGCTTTATCTGACTGCTACGAAAGCATGTATATGCTTGTATTAAAGTAGGCAACCAGGGGACTGACTTCTTTAAGTCCTCTTCGAGGGACTTGGTAATGACGATTAAACCCTTACCAAAGGGCATTGGCGCATTGACTTGGTTTTGAATCCATACCCTCCCGGTTACAAGACCACTGCTCTATCACTGAACCATTGCGCCTCCGCTGTTGTTTGCCAATCAACGCAACTAAACACCCACCAATGATAGTTGATGATTAAACTATTTCCATACAACCTTTACAAGCTACAGTAGTATCAGTTCAGCTTGTATTATATTCAACTGAATAATGTTAGCTATTTTTTCAGTCGTCTAACTGAGAAAGGCATATTTTTGCCAATACACTGATAACCTATAGTTCTTTGACAACTATATTTAAATTGAAGCTTTCCCAAATGACAAAGACATCTTTACAGCACCTTAATGCTATAATATTCCTAGACATATTGAGCCACTGCATTTCTGGTAGCTCGCACTGACCCTCTAAATCCTCTGGATTTGCATAATTGGTATAATTGGAGCTTGTTAAAGGGAAAGTCCACCCCCAAAATAAGTTTGTTTCGATAGAGGCAGAATAATAAGAAAATCAGGTGAGTGAAAGTTTGAGCAAATTCTGAATGAAAATAAGAAAGTTATGAATTATTGAAGTTGTGATCAATCAAATACAAATTGGCAACTCTGTGACTTATTATACGAGCTCTCCTTCATTTGCTTTGTGCATAATATTCCATAAAATCATGTTTTCTTCGTTATTGATGACGGAATATATATTTGTTCCTTGCAGGGGGAGTATAGAAACATATTTGCAATTATTATATTTAGGGTGCATGTATGGTTGAAATTTTTCATGAGGGAAAATGAAAATTTTAGATTTTTTTAGTACTGAGCAAATGGAAGTTGAGCTCGCATGATACGTCATAGAGTTGCCAATTTGTGTTTGATTGATCACAACTTTAAAAATCCTAACTTCCTTATTTTTAATCGGAATTTGCTCAAACTTTCACTGACTTGTTTCTCTCATTTTTCTACTCCTATTAAAACTAACTTAATTTCAGGGTGGACTTCCCCTTTAAGATCTCTGATATCATTCTAGATGGTGCAGATGATCACTTGTACATGTACCTTCTGTCAGTGCATTAGCCCATTGGGCATACCGATAATGTAATTTTCTCATAATTATCATGCATTTCCAAATGGGTTTCATTCAGAGTCATCGGGAGCTTGGTATCCATTTCCAATGACCTAAACCTGAAAGTTTTCTAGCCAACAAAGACAAATAGAAAGGGCATCCTCTACGCTACCATATCCTGACAGATTGAGCAACTCAAGTTCGCTAGGTTCCTCAGACTTTCTATAGTCCTGATGCTGTTGTCAAGTATGTTGGTAACCAGCAATGTAGCTCTGTCAGACCTCCAACCATTGATTATTATATCCTGCACTGTTACATATTCAGTCAAACCTACTTTAATGACCACCTGTCTACAAAGACCACCTACCTATAAAGACCACTTTTCTTGTCTCCCTTGGGTGGTCTTTATAGACAGGTTTCACTGTAGTACACTACAAAAGGGTTTCATCCTAATTGTCTCTGTTTTAGTGCCCAACAGATCAATGCTGAGGCTTTCCAAACTAAGAAAAAAGAAGAATTCACTAAACCATCAGACCTCGATACTGTTCCCAGGCCAGATTCAGCCACTCCAGTTCTGGTAGTTCTCTCAGACTCTGTTACATAAAATAGTACACTACAAAAGGGTTTCATCCTAATTGTCTCTGTTTTAGTGCCCAACAAATCAATGCTGAGGCTTTCCAAACTAAGAAAAAAGAAGGGTTCACTAAACCATCAGACCTCGATACTGTTCCCAGGCCAGATTCAGCCACTCCAGTTCTGGTCGTTCTCTCAGACTCTGTTACATAAAATAGTACACTACAAAAGGGTTTCATCCTAATTGTCTCAGTTTTAGTTTTAGTGCCAACAAGTTAAAATTGAAGCTTTCCAAACAAAGAAAAATAGAAGGGTTCACCATTAAAACCATCATACCTTAATACTGTTCCCAGGACAGATTCAGCCACTTCAGTTCTGGTAGTTCTCTCAGACCCTCTATCATTGATCATTATCCTGCATCGCTACATATAGTACACTACAAAAGGGTTACATCCTAATTGCCTCTCTTTTAATTAAAGATTTCCAAGCAAAGAGAAAGAGAAAGAGGATTCACTAGCCTATCATACCTTGATACTATTCCCCGACAGATTCAGCCACTCCAGTTCCGGTAGTTCTCTCAGACCCTCTATGGTCTGGATGCTGTTGTTGGGCAGGTTGAGGACACGGATGGTCGGCAGTCTTGAGATACCGTTCATCCGCACCAACCGGTTGTGTCCGATGGACAGCTGCGAAGGATGACAAGGAACAAGATGAGAAAAGAGAAGCTGAGACATGCATCATCTTTTATAATGTGTAATAATTGAGTTGAGTCGAGGTTTTTATTATCCAAACGTTCAAATACAGTAATATAACAATAGCATAAAATGCTAATCATGTCTGGTACCTTTAAAGTACAGTGTCTTAACATTTAACAATTTGTATATATGTATACTTGATTGAAGCCAGTGTTATTCATGTATTTTACGTATCAGACTCAACAGTTTCTTAGACGGTGTGTACTTTATTTCTACCAAATGTTGTTATCTATCTGTTTGTATTTTTATTTGTATTTGTAATCCGACCTCATGTTTTGGTTGCAATAAAGAAATAATAATAGTTATCCATAACTCTATGTTGAAAAGCATTAATAATATAAAATAATTATGTAGTTCCTAATTAAATTATTGGTTAAGAGCAGACGTGTGACCACACATTTATTTTTTAAACATGCAGCTGGTCATTTAAAGTGTCAAATAACAGTCAATAGCATTTTCTTATGACTGGCAGTTTATCGTCTAGATCTAAAATTGTCAGTCAAGTCCAGGGCACTATCTTATAAACAGTTGCAATCAATCAGAACTATGTACTTAAGAGATAGCAGACTGCAAACTTCCAATTGATAAAGAGGACTTGCGATTGTTTTGGATTAATCACAACTCTTTATAAGACAGGACTCAGATCTATAGAATTTGAAAGTCTAGAATTTGGGATGAGATACATCAAGTGACAAGGATTCTCGTGACCAATTTGTATCAAGAACACACATCTTATATATTTGGGCATCAGTATAATTATCCACACTATGTACCTTTGAAACAATCCAAAGCCCTTCAGCTACTGCATCAGGTGTTGAGTTGTTCCAAAGGTATTTCATGCAGAGATAACACTTGCTAACATCCTAAACAATGTACTATACAGTGCGTCCAAGAAAAAACGAAACCGAGAACTATCGATATTTTATCATAACTTAATCACAATTATGATTAATAAATGACACACATTTGGAAAGCTTAGATCCTCTTCTTTCATTTGATGCAACTCATATGATGCATATTTTACGCATGAGTAATTAAAAGTAATTTGAAGAGAGGAAACCAAAAAGTAATTTGGGGGCGGTATCTGAATTTCATGGAGAAAATCACATTTCTAAAAAGTTCAATTTCTGCCCTTTCATATGACACCTCAATCAGGAAAAATGAGCCAGTAATAACAAAGTTCTCTTTGTTTAAAGTAATGCTTGCATTTCCAAAATGTGATCAAACAAGTTCGCTTTCACTGGCTGCCTGCCGTAGTAACAAACAGAGTTGACAAAAGACTTAACCCCGTTTTGTTGACGATCAGCCATGCATCAGGTCTTCAGGCCAAATTACTTTTTGGTTTTCTCTCTTCAAATTGTTTTTAATCACTCATGCGTGAGATATGAATCGTATGAGTTGCATAAAATGAAAGAGGAGGATCTAAGCTTTCCAAATATGTGTCATTTATTAATTATAATTGTGATTAAGTTATGATATTAAAACATTGATAGTTCTCGGTTTCGTGTTTTCTGGGACGCACTGTATATGCGTAATATGTACCTGTTGAAGGTTCTTGAACTCCTGTAGATTGTCAATGCGTGATAGTCCATTATGGTCCAGTATGAGGGTTGTACATGTTGCATGGGTCTCCGAGGTCGGCAGGGACTCTAGCTTCTTCAGCCCCCTCCCAGCAAGGTCAACAATCACCATGTTTTCTGTCAAGAAAATAGAAAAATAAATATGTGTAAAAATTAGTCATAATTGTATAACTTTGAGGTGGTTCCAATAAGGTTATCTTTACGCCAAATTTCTCCCTATTTGGGTCCACAGTCATCATTTTGCTGTTAAGAAGAAGATAACAGATTCACACGATTTGTCGATCTTTGGGAGGGGGGGTAATAGTTCACATGGAATGAGTCTCTGCAATTCGTCCTTGTTTTCACGAAGTGACGGTAGTGAGGAAAATCGTAACGCAAAGTGAATGCAATTTTTTTTCACTACCGTCACTTCGTGAAAACAGCGACGAATTGTCTCCCTACCTAATGTACGTTCTACGATGTAATCTAAAGTTACCTGTACAACATCATGGGCAAGAATACAACTTCAGCAATTAAGTTGCCAACAACACAAAAGAAAAACTTTATCACAAATTGGATTACCAGGAAAAGTGAGTGCTTTAACAAAATAACATAGGACAGGATTAAACAGCACTCAATTATTAAATGTACATTGTATGATGCCTCCTATAAAACTACATGTACCTATCAGACTGTGGTCAAGCTACCTGACCGATGGTCACCGACTGATGGAAGGCAAGAGTCAGAGCAACGGTCATTGACCTACAATGTACATGAGGCATCTGGCAATGTTAATATCTCGGTAAGATTGACCAGAATCACAGCTGATCGTTAAGGAGGCTCTATCTGACACCTAAGGGGTTCCTGAATCTGTCACACATCATCTTTCACAAAATGAAAGCCTTGGGCTACGAGGGCAAATAATAAACTTGATCGTACAGGTACAATTAAAGGTAAAGACCAGTTATGGTCATGCGATTGCATTGTGAAAGAAACGTTGTGGAATCGATCAGAAAAGGTTGATCATCTAGCATCTAGCATCTGCAAGGTTCTGGAATCATCAAAATGATAAGAAATGTGGCCCATTCTTCGTAAAGTTACAAGCACTATACACAGAAAGATGTATATGGGACTACCCTATATCTCTCACAGACCATGAGAGAAACAAATTTACCAAATATATGATTTAGTAGGCGGTTTCCCAGCAAAATTTTTAACATCACGTATTAGTCAAAACATATTCTTTCACATGATTGGTAATGAGAGCTTCCATTTCATTTTTTGAAATTGGGGCGTTTCCAATACTGGTCTTTACCTTTAAGGATGTACAACACATGCTCCTTCACCAACTGGGGGGTGTTTCACAAAAATCCTAAGTTGAACTTATCTCCAAGTTGGACTTAACAATTATGGAAAGCCGTTAGCATCTTTGAAAACATTTTGTAAAAGTTGTTTTTAAAGGCCTTAAATGTGATTCAAAGCATTCATGTTTTCTATTACCATGGGAGATTTTAAGTTCTTGATGCGGAATTTATGAAATTCTAAAATACTTGAATTTTTGCTTTTGAATATATTTTATTTTAAGGCTACAATGGCTCTCCATAATTTTAAGTCCAACTTAGAGTTAAGTTCGACTTAGTATCTTTGTGAAACACCCCCCTGTTCTACATCAATTTCCGAAACTTACTGACATTCAACACTGGACTGTGGACCCAACACAACACCTACATGTAACCCTTACTCTAACACAGTCGAAAACCCGGTTTTATACAAAAGAACCCTGATGAAATAATGCCCAGAGCAATTGTAGCATGAGAAAATGTTGGATCACAATTCTACAATTAAATGTAGTACCTAGAAGGGAGAAATCTCTTGAATCCGAGAGACTAGTAATAGAAGCCATGATAACGATTAAAGAATAGTACTGGTGTGTCAAAAGGGTAATATGTCTTGAGCACTTTACAAGAATCTTCTACTTCTCTACAGTATACAGGGCCTCAACAATAACAGAGGCACAGTACATACACTGTACATGTACAGTAGGCCTCCAAATTATAATTTGGAACCCTAAAAGCTCCAAACTTTTTAATAGGGGGGGGGGGGGGCAGGGCCTATGCATACAGGACCTACATGTATACAATGTTGATCAGGATCCCTGCTAAACTGGTTAGTCGAACCCTGATGTATGATTAGATGCTGCCTTAAAAGGAACACATATCGTCCTTGTTTTCACGAAGTGACGGTAGTGAGGAAAATCGTCACGCAAAGTGAATGCAATTTTTTTCACTACCGTCACTTCGTGAAAACAGCGACGATATTGCATACTAAAACCTAACCAACGTCAATGTATATAACTGTAAACAAAATTAGCACTATGGCCATCCCTCTTAGTCTTTGACAAGTATGATGAAGGAAAAAAAAGAGAAACTTTACGTCTCCTGTGGCCGAAATGGACCCTCTCCACAGACGCAAACTGCATCATCCTGAGGCACTTCCAAAGAGCTGACGGTCAAGCCAAGAGACGGTCAAGCCAAGAGAACTGATGAGAACTGTCAACAACTACTGAACTCTATATTCTGCTATTAAAGGCATGACTGGAACAAGGTTGTAGGTTGTAGTTTCTAGCGTCAATAACTGAAGTGTCTTTAATGGAGAACGTCCATTGAGTCTAGACGGTTGATACTGACAGTGACATCCTCGATTTCAGAGTTTCAGGTATAGAAAGGTCATTGACTTGGTTTGCATTTACCAGAGTGCATTGTTCAACAATTCAATAAAAGTTGTCTGCTTATTTTTGAAGCAAAGTTCTAATAGTCTAGACAGGTTGACTTTTAGACCTTCCAGAAATTCTGGTGTTAAAATAAAAGAAGCACCACTGTTTTCATGCAGAGCATAAGAACCAGAGTGCACACTTAAACACAACTGGATAATCTTGAATGTTACTTGTAGGCTGCTTGAGTCCTTGCTGGGACATTATTACTGTTGGGTAGAGGGCGACACTTTCCTACTCCGTTTGCACGAACCAAAGACAAGAAAAGTACCAGCCTGTATCAATCCTTGCTCATGACATCATCAATCAAAGAGTTTCAGGTTTGGCAACGACAAACTCTATACACGTATCAAGGGCACAAAAAGAAACCCAAGTGCATATTCGGACAACCAATAGGAATCTCTCTACCGGTATAGACTGTAAGAGGGTGCTTATACATGTAGGTCCTTGTTTGCAGCATCCTCAATTTCCAGAGTTCTTACTCAATCAATTACAGTGTCTCTAAACAATAGTCACTGACTGCCGAGGTCCTTGTTCCGATCGAGACATCATAGGTTTCAGAGTTTCAATGATCAAGTGTGGCACTGTCCTCTTCAATTTGAACATACTGTACATGTATCGAGGGCATAGCGTGTAAGGTGTGCGACTTTTTGTAGGTCCTTGTTCGCAACATCATAACTTTCCGACTCTCAGGTATCGAGTGTGGCAACGACCCACTCCGTTTGCACGAAGCATGACAGATTCTCCTTCACAGATCATCACCTGCTCAACACAAGCAGGAACACCGATAGCCATCACCCGTGAACGTTGAACCTCCACGGACCAACGTCACATCGGCATCTTGGAAACGGGTTTCATATCCCCAAAGTGGCATTACCCGACATCGGTCGCTATCTTCGGCCCATGTCTCCGCATGGCATGGAGGGAGCTTCCTGCACTGAAGATAGCGATCGATGCTGAGATGATAAACATCTTAATCCCGACACAGGTAGCAATGGATTGCCCCTTGTGGGATACAGATCCTGGCCTGTAGCCACAAACGGCTTTAAAGGGTATAGAAATCAACGGCGCATACCGCAGTTGAACCAAGGTGTTCCAAACTTATGAAACCATCGAGTGGAACATAGCGTTTAATCCAAGTTTGCCATCCTGTCTTGCTCCTATTTTTGTCATCTTCGTTGTCGTCTATAACTGCAACTAGCGTGCGGCTAATAATCTTTTCAAACATCTTCTTCAAGCAGTTCTTGGGACGTCTTAGTACCGGCTTGGGACACGTCACCTGATGTCACCTGATGTCATATGTTAGAAACCATATACAAGTCCTGCGTTGGCTGTATAGGTACTGCATAATTATGCTCAACAAAAAACACTTGATATTTTTGATCTCTGATAACTCAAGTGTTTCTTTCAATTCGCTTCAGATTTTACACAGTATATAGAGCTTTTTTTCTGGAGAAATATGGCCAATAAACAAATTTGAAACTTGATGATGAAAAATCATTGACTTGGCACACAGCAAAAGACATTCTCATATGTATGTCCAATGATTGAACTTTGATTTCTGTATCGTTTTTCTTAATTCCATAACCCTGTTTAACAAGCTAGGTCAAAGTTCACGATGAATCACCCTCACAGGGACATGCACCTGGGCTAGCTAGAGGGGGAGAGGGAAATTTGACAGGAGGGGGGTAAATTGGGCACGTCCTGCAGGGAGCAGGGTGCTAAATACAGTATGATGAGATTCAAATACATGTAGCAGAAGCATTAATGGCCCTTTGGATGAATTATCATATCATAATGATAGAATTGATTACCGGTACATGAATTTAGAGGATTATTGCTGCTATATTCGATTGTGAAAGTGATGGATGAATGTGATTACACTGTACATGTGTATGGGTGTATAGAAATCAAGGATACCATGGAATTGGAAACACCCCCCTCTCAAAAAAATTAAATGGAACAATTATCCACGATCCCCTTTAGTTTTACCCTAACAAAGTCCATGTACATGTAGAGAGCTACATATAGGATCCATACAGACTTGTTTTCGTTGTACGACACATGCTCCTGCATGATTCTCTCTGCAGTCTCTTTCGAACACTAACCTAATTCCTATAATCAATCCTGGAGAGCCAACCCTGTACCTAACCCTAAAGCTAAGTATATATTTTTGACCAAACAAGAGCCAAAGACAAATTTTGATGGGGATCTAATAATACTTTTAAAGGTAAAGATCAGTTTTGGAAACACCCCCCTCTCAGAAAAAAAGAAATGGAAACTCTTATTACCAATCATGTGAAAGAATATGTTTTGACTAATACGTGATCATACAAATTTTGCTGAGAAACCCCCTACTAATTGATAT